TGAACACATGCTGTTTTTAAAAACATATCTAAGCTACGCTTCCCTTCTGACTCATTCTGTTTGCATGCCATGGGAGTGTCAGCCAATGCAAGAAATACATCTGCTTGTTGTTGAGCTGACAGCAGAAAATGTCAAATTTAAGGCCTGAAAACAGGGTTCACAATCACCACACAGGCTACATCCACTTCCTTTATACCTTTAGTGGTCTAATCCAGTTAGTCTTTCAGTCCGTCTTTCCAAAAACTCTAAAATGGAAAGAATTAGTATGACGCTCAAACGACCAGAGAGTCAGAAAATATGACGCTGCTGAGAGTCATCCTCAGTATCAGTAAAGCGTGAAAACCCTGACATCTCAATTTGAGACACAGAGGCTGGAGCAGGACGTCAGTGAAGGGAATTGCATGTTAACAGAGCTGCTTCTACTTTGTGTTGACGGGAAAATGATAGATTTCATCTGGTTTACACAGAGCCTTTAATTTGGGCTTTTAGTAATGACTTGGCTTATGCTCTCTTACTCCTATCATCTAAATTCTGTTGTGTATATACTGGCCGCTGATCTTAGGTGCTCGGTTTGGGTCACAGCATCCATCTCATAACCTGTGTCTGCTATGACAATCTAGCTGGGTGTATCATCACAGGCTGTCCAGTTTCGAGTGCTCCTCCCATATGTGTGTGTGCGTGTTTATGTGTGTGTGTGTGTGTGTGTGTAATTGCCCAGAATACCACATGGTTAAAGTTTCAGCTGCATAACCAGGCCTCGGAGCGGACAAACAGCCCGTCCAGTTTCAGCTCAGTTTCGTCAGGCAGCAGTAGTCTAGCCCCGGGACATATGAGAGTGATGCAATGAGTCCTCATGGCAGGTGGGGTTTGAAACTTGGAAATAAAACTACCTAGAAAGTTTGTTGACACGCATTAATTCTCATACATGAAGAAGTTCTGACAATCGTAGGAAGTTTTTTGCCGTTTGATCAAAAGTTCACTGGGGTAAAATCAGAAACTTTGCAGTCTTTTTGATGTTTTTGTTTCATCATGGTTTCATTTGAGAATAAGTTTTAAACATAGATGACAATATGAAAACATTCGAGTAACTCTAAACCGAAGCTGCAGTCGGAAATTTCTCAACCCTGCTTTCCCCAATCAAGCTCTTCTTTAGCGTTATATAATCTGGGGGATAAACATTGAGAATAATTAGCAGAAATGGCGAAATAGAGTGAAATTTCTAAAGCGGCAAAACAAAGATAAGCGCAGCCAGGGACAACAAAAGGAGATGTAACGATGGTTTGAGAATGAGAACATGGCGTGCTCACAGCTCCTGATAAATATCTGATGTTTTTGACCCGGGGTGTGGTGTGGTCGGTGTTACGTGATGAATGACTTCTGAGCTGCAAAACAGAATGTGAATGAGATCTGTTGGCAGAGTAGATGAATGGACGGTTAAACACAAAAGCAGGAGTGAAAGAAATCTGGCTGTGTGTTTTGTAGATGTGGTGCTAATTAGAAGAAATAAATGCTCAGTATGAATTAACTAAAGCTTGTAATTTTATGTGAAGTGGCTTCTTTATGGTTTCCTGAGTGTGATGATAAGATCTCGTCTTTTTTATTGTCTCGATTCTTAGGATTGTAATTTTATTACATCATGTCCGACTATCAGCTTTTAAATCACACTTAATGGCTATTATTAAATCAAGTCTTACTCGTTTTAGGAGTGTTTTCTTAAGACTGGGACAATTCTGCAAATGAGTAGAGCTGCATGAGAGAAAAAGGGAAAATTTGAGTTGTACGGTCGATACAGGTAACAGGATCATGCTGGTAACTTAATAAACGTGTGTTTATATGGATTTGTGGATCCTTCTCATGAGCTTTATCCTGGTTTTGTTCCTTTCCTGAGGTATGATGATCACATGCACACGGAGAGAATTATCACTATCCCTGTTTTCTGCATTATATTTGCACAGTTAGCCTGACACTTAACTTGCTTGAGCTGTCAGAAACCAGGATAGTTGTGTACTGCTACCTTTAAAGATCTTTAGACTGCCAAATGGGGTTACACAAAACCCAGGATACAGGCTTATCCAGGTTTCTGAAACTGAGTTATGGCGTTCACATGCAAAGATACAAAAACTGGAAACTTTAAAAATCAGAAAAATTCAGTTTTCACATATATTGTGTTCACTTTCTATTCTATTTTGTAATCCTGGTGTTTTTGTATTGTTTCCAGTGTTACTTCCACTACTTCCTAAACTTAAGGCAGCTCCTTTATTTCCCGTCTTACATGATTGGACAAACTGATTAATTCAGGTGCGTCCGATTAGTCACACCTGGATTAATCAGTTTGTCCAATCATGTAAGACTGGAAATAAAGGAGATGGCGTAAATTCAGAAAGTGGTTGAGCTCTGCGTAGAGCCCATTGTCCTGTTTCCCGCACACCTGTGACTCCTTAACAATCAAATTGACCTTTATATAAACCCCAGATTATTATCTAGTGTGTTCATGCTCTCCAGTTTAGTTGTCCTGTTTCCTGACCAGGTTCCTGAATTTTGCTTGTGTATCTGGATTTTGGTTTTTGCAGTTTTGCCTTTCTGGATTATCTGCCTTTTCTGACTCTCTTACTTTTCTTCATGTCCTAGGCCCTGTTTATACGTACCCAGTTGTTTTTCAAAACGGAGACACTAACCATTGTTTGCACCCTTCGTTTTGACGCAAATGGAGAATTCGCACATGAAAACAACGCTTTTTAAAAGATTTGGCTAAAGTGAAGATTTTGGAAAGAAGTAAGGGATGTTGTTGTTGCTGCTGCTATGCAGACTTCTGATTGGCTAATGTGGGCTTGAGCTTCTCGCTACACTGCCACCTACAGGTTTGATATGCTCTTGACGGCATATATACACGGGTTAGCGGTAATAGCGTAAAACTTTTCTGAAAATGTAGTGGTCTGTTCGTAGTTTTTTTTTGTAAACGGAGAGGGTGAAATGTTCGTTTATGAAAATAGCTGGGCACATGTAAATGTAGTCCTAGATTTTCCTTCACAACTGAGACCCTGATTTGCTCTGAAGATCCTCAAGTCTGAAATTTACAACCCCTATTCTTGACTTATTTGCACGTTATAGCTATCATCATGCAGTCATTTAAACCGAGTCGGTAAAGATGTGACAGAGGCGACACTTTGTTCTTTTAAGTACTTTAATCAGGCACTTTTTTTTTTGCTCAAAACATTGAAGTAGCCTTAAGAATATGTGTGTGAACATTTGGAGAACTTTTTGTTTCTATGGCACTGCTGTACACAGTTTGAACAAACATAAAACCAAAAGTGGCAGGTAACACTGTTCAATACAAAACAATATAAACAACAAGGTACCTTCATTTTCATCAGATAGGTAGTGTTCATGTTTATTTGGCCATGGTCAAAATAACATCTGTGTTAATAATTTACCAAACCTCAGCTTCTGCGGTCTACCTATAATAAATTAAAATACTGTTACACGTTACTGTTTCTTCAGACGGGGTAATAAAAGGGCAGAGAACTGAGCGATAAGGAATATTTTAACAATTGAGAAAAAATAAGGAATCCACATTTAGGCCATGGCAGGGCACTGTGTAATGTACATGTACACACTCCATCATTTTGTAAAGGCAACAAAAACACATTCATGAATGTATCAGAGATGTAGGCATCTGGGTAAGAGTATTTTGTGTACTATGGCTGAACATGTACGATAGAAACATATTTTTCTTGACACTTCTTGGAGACATTCTGCGGTGAAGTTTGAACATTCATAAATACATATTTTTATATCCTATATGTGGCATTTACAAGTGTTACTTTTCATCCAATCAGGATATTTTATAGTGCTATAAAAAAAGAGAGGACAAATGTAGCCAAAATAACATTCATCAATTTTTTTTTGTACTTTTATGCCATAAGGACAAAAACTGGAAAAAGCTGCTACAATTTTAGTGTCGAGGTTGCACTGATTTAAAGCCTTAGTAATGGTTCGCTTACGTTTCACTAAGGAGCTTTAGATGAGTAGACAAATGGCAAACACCTGCTCTCATTCTGCGGACTGATCAGACGGCTGATAGAGCTAACGGTTTTTACATTTATCACGTAGCTGCTCGGCGTTCTGCCTCACATATTTTTTACTCGATGCAAAATGAAAGCAGTAAGGCTTCGCTGTGAGAAGTTAAAGCCGGGGGAACCTGAAGGACACGAGCCGAGGATGTCAAACGTGATCCTCTGTTTGAGCGGAAAACACGGGGGGACGTACGCCGAGGCCTCAAACGCCTGACTCCTGGGCGTTTCACATTCATGATTACGTTTTGATGTGAGGTCAAACACAGAAAAACCTGATCACACAACACTCTATTCTGACTGATGTTTCATTTGTTCGAGCAAAGGACACCTCTTCCTCTTTAAATATTTACAGCAAAGCATTAATGAACAGCTTCTTTTCAAACCACACGGTTACGCATTACAAGGTATTAAAATCAATTTACAGTACAAGTGTACAGTACAATCAACAAATATACAAAATATAGAAATATATTCTGAGGTTTTAGCAACCTTTGACACGTAAATGCCATTTCTTGTCAGAAACCACTGAAAGTATAAAAATATAGACAATACTTTTGTACAAAATATTGACATCATGTATGAATCTCCGTTTGAATGTGCAAATTAACACTGATCAACAGAAGAATAAGGAGTTCCTCAATCGCACCCATCACACACTCACTCACAAACACACACACTCACACGCCTACACAAAAGGCTTCATCCATTTTGGCCAGTCATGTAGTTCGTTTTTCCTTCAGTAAGCACCAGAGTCTCAGCTTTTTGGACTTCTAATTGTAACCTTATTTACTCGTTTTCGAGACAGACAAAAGAGGAAGGAACCTCACTGACTCATTTCAGTCTGCAGCCTCTGTGGTCGTACAGTAGGAGAAGTCTGGGACAGCAATGACTCAGTCTTAGATCAGCCTTCAGAGTTATCGATGGAGCTTATATCCTCAGCTCGGCCTCCTCGCTGTGCTCTAAATGGTGTTCGGTTGTGCTGATCATGGATGCTGAGGGACCCTGCGAGACGTTGAAGGGCGTGATAGCAGGAGAGCGCGCCGCCAGGGGGGAGAGTGAGGGGGAGAAACTTGGAGACATGGCGACCGAGGAGATGGATCCCTCAGCGCTAAGGGGAGATCTTCGAAAAGAAGCCAAGCTAGGGTAAGTCCTCCCCACAGCAGGCTTAGGGGGTACAGTCTTAGCCCCTGGGTGGGCAACAGAGGTTATAAGAGGCGGAGGGTCGATTCTTGACTCTGCCTTTGCTTTGTGATGAAATGATCGTCGAGGATTAGGAGGAGCTGTTTCATCTTTTAAACGAGCTATTTCAGTGAAGACGTTAGCCAAGGGTTGGAACTGTGGACACCAGTTCAGCAGGTAGTCCCAGTTATAGCTGCCTCTCAGCTCCTCGTCACTGGCCACGATGGCTGTCAGGGAGCCGTCCACAGCAGGCTTCCCATCTTCTGGGAAAGTATAATCTTTAGGGTGGGAGATGCTGAGTCCCCGCCCCACACCCACATACCCGCCCCCCTCATCCCTGTAGACCGGCACCTGGCCAGCCAATAAAGAACTGTTCAAACTGCCCACCTTTTTCCCTCTGAACCAGTCTATGGACGGCTCACAGGACACATCCGACAGCTGATCTGCGTCCTGCTGGATTCCAGAGTCCGGGCCTCTGGCAGAGATGCGCTCCTGCATGGACGAGGAGATACTTGACACTCGAGGGTATTCGTTAATCATTCTGATCTCATCATCCTCTGCTGCCTCTGCCTCTGCAGAGCCACGCCCACTGGAGTGGGAGGGATCCAGAGACCCGCCACGAGTGTATTGACCCCCGCTGCTGCCGCCTTGATCGGCCACATATCCAGGGAGGGCCTGGTGGTAGATCATTTCATTCGCTGCTATTTTTGTTTCCTCAAACTTGTGCAGCATGGTGCCCGATGTCGGTGCCCGTCCACAAGCTTTATGATCTTTTCTACGACGTTTTATTTTAACGAAAAATAGAATTATAGCAACTATGATAAGAATGATTATGGTCCCGAGAGAAACTGCGATAACACTGATAAGCAGCATATTCATGTCTGAGGAGAGACCAAAAGACGTATGGGTCACATCAACCATAACTTTGGCGACAGCTGAGCGGGACGTCTCTAAAGGACTCTGGGCGGTCACTTCCAGGGTCATTAGACGAAGCTCTCTTTTCGAGCGACTCGCATGTGTACTGTAGCTGTCCACCTTTAGGGAAATCACTCCCGTTGATTTATTGACTTCAAAATAAGGCGAAGTGTCAGTCAGAGAATAGAGGACAATTCCGTCCACACCTCCATCTTCGTCTTTGGCTTGTACCCTGCCAATGACCTGACCTTTCTTTGCTCCCTCAGGCACTTCAAATGAGAACTCTGAGGAGGTGAAAACCGGATCATACTCATCCTCCCCTGTAACATAAATCTGTACTGTTACTGATGCAGAATAGTTTCCAGCATCCATGGCAACCGCCGTAAAACTGAAGGAGTTCACTTTCTCAAAGTCAAAAGTTGAGCGAGTCCGTACTTCTCCTGATGTTTGGTTGATGATGAAGGCCTCGCTTCCTTCTATAGAGTTGCCTATCATGTAATACTTTAACTGTCCGTAAACACCTCTGTCGTGGTCGATTGCGTGCAGCATGGTGACTAAGGCATTCTTGGGTTGGTTTTCCCTGATGCTCGCAGTTAAAAGTTTGAGAGGAAAGAAGGGCCGGTTATCGTTGATGTCCTTCACTTCAATACTGACCGGGGCCAAAGCGAAGTGTCCTTGACCATCAGTAGCCTGGACGACAATCATATGGGATGACTGTTTCTCACTGTTCAGAGGTCTCTGCAGCCGTAATGCTCCCGTCCATTGATCCACTTGGAAAAGGTCCGTCTCGTCCCCTGAGCTGATGTAATACTGCACTTCTCCATTAGGAGCCGAGTCAGGATCAGTGGCAGACAGATGCAGGATCTCTGTCCCAGCTGCCGCACCCTCGCTCAGGACCACACTGTACTCTGCTCGGCTGAAAGCTGGAGGGTTGTCGTTGGCATCTGTAACGCTGATTAGGATAGGCACGCTGGAGCTTCGCTGAGGGATCCCGCGATCTGATACCACAACAGTCAGGTTATAACTTGGCACCGCTTCAAAGTCCAGATGTTCCACCAGGATCAGGCTGCCGACTGTCTGGAAGCCCTGCCCCTCCAAGAAACGCACGCTGCTCTCAATCTGGAAGGCATTACCAGAGTTGCCACTGGCGATGGCGAAATCAAAGCCGCAGTTGTCCCGGGATAAGTCTCCATCCACGGCCTCCAAAGTCAGAACAGTTGATCCAGGAAGCCCATCTTCAGATACTGTGGCTCTGTATTCTGATTGGTGGAAGATGGGGGCGTTGTCGTTGACATCGGACACTTGTACCTGGACGGTGGCTACAGATGAAAGCGGTGGCGTGCCGTGGTCCCGAGCCTCAATGACCACCAGGATGGAGGGATTCTCGAAATCAAACTCTGTTTTTTGGTTGATGAACAGAGTGCCTGTGAAGATACGAAAAAACAATGTTGTTAAAATCGGCTTTTTATCTCCTGCATAGAAATAATCATATTATTTATTAAAGCCATTAGCTGCATACTTTGGTTTGCCACCAAAGAGAAAACATGAAGTTGAACAATAGTTGAAGACGAATACCTTGAGGCCTGAAGACTCCTCTTTTATAACATGCTTTTATAGAGATGCTATCTCACCACAACATCTGAGCCAAATAACACTGACTCTGGCTTTTCAATGACTTTAATGAACAAAATGATTAAATATTTCGCAATGCCTGTTGCAAATATGTCTAAACCTCTTAAGTCTGTCCGAGTAGAGCCTCGGGGATCACTTTTTCATGAAGGGTAATTACGAGAGCTCTGGTTCGAGAACAGGCTTCACAAAGACATACATTAATCAGAAACCTACCGTTGCTCGGGTCAATTCGGAAGACTCCCTTAGTTGATGACATTACTCTGTAAGTAATCCTCCCGTTCTCCCCGAAGTCAGAGTCTGTGGCTGTTACCGTGACGACGGCACTGCCTGCTGGGAGGTGCTCTGATACAGTCACCTGACGATAAACAAACAAGAGTTCAGTACAAACACTCTTAATGATGGAGGATATGCAGGAGTGATCTGAGCTGTACCTGATACAAGTCTTGTGTAAAGACAGGTGCGTTATCGTTGACGTCGTCCACCAAGATGGTGAGGTTGGCCTCGCTTTGATGTTTGGAGTCCGATGATCGGATGGTCAGAGTGTACCACGTTCTCTCTTCATAGTCCAGAGGGCCGGTCAGAGACACCCCTCCTCCAAAACGATGAATCCCGAACATCCCGTGGCTGTTTGCCTCCAGGTGTAGGGTATAAGAGAGGGCTGGACCCGAGTCCACGTCATTTCCTGTCACCTGAGTGATCACCGTGCCAACCAGAGTATCTGTATGGATACAATGGGAGATAGAAAAGAGCAAACATTAAACACGAGCGGAGGTTGTGGAGAGAGTTACGGAAAAACTCTTTGTGTCCTTGCAAAGAAATATTCCTGTTGTGGGAAACCTTGATCCAATAGACGGGAAATGAACACAGAAACTCAGTGATGTTTTTTTTACAAATATAACAAGGTCAGAATTTCTCAGTAAGCCTCGCTGAGCGAGCTGCTGGGCAGAGTGAGATGAGGCTTTCAGATAAGATCACTGGACCAACTTTCGCTGTGAGGCTGACTTACCCTCGGGCACTCGGATCTCTCGAGGCAGAGGAATCATAGGACTGTTGTCGTTGAGGTCGATGATGATGACAGTCAGGGTCGCGGAGCCGGCAAGCCGTGGAGTTCCCCGGTCTGTCGCTGTAACAACAAGCCTAAAGCCACAAAATAAATGACAGACACTTAACTTTGAGCTTTAATGAACTTAGTTGCATAACATTTCCAACCGCAAAAGCCCTTCAGGATACAGTGAAAAAAAGTTATTAAGTTTGTCTTGTATTAAGAATTTAAACACTAGGCAGGATCTGACAACTATGGCTGTAAAGTCCTAGTTGACTGGCCTACTTATTGGTCGATTCGTGCTGCGTCAACCAAAATTCTTGATTTTTTTCCATGTCAATTTACAGTCTATGGTTAATTTCATCAGGAGGAATGTACCAAGTGCTTATGGGGGTATTTTCAGAGCACCCCTGTTTCCAAGGGAACAGCCTGTCTCAGTTTCACCATTTTGGATTCCCCCAACCCACTGGAGACTGGCTGCAGACAGGGAGATTGAAGAGCGTCCACATTAATCAATGTCTGATGGTTTTCTGTATATTTATTTTTATTTTGAGCATTTCAGCTTTTATGTGAGTCATCCTCTACCATCCCTGTCAAAGACATCGGCCGTGTGGCAGAATTTCATCAAAATAGATGGCGGGAAATAGATGTTTAATTGCCTTCTTGGGCCGTGTCGTCCCCCATCGCAGAAGGGTTTTGGGTTCGATCTTTGGTCAAAAATTTCAGAATTGTAATCGATTAAGAGTTTCTTTGGTTGATTACAGCCCTAGTGATGACAGATAAAGATTTGAAAAGTGTGAAAAAGAGATGACGTACTTGGTTTGTGTCCAGATCTCTCTGTCCATGATGGCCGCAGTGGTGATGCTGCCCGTCAGCGGGTCGATCTTAAACAAGCCACTCATGGATGACGACCTAATGGAGTAGGTCACCTGACCATTTTGACCCTGGTCCAAGTCATCTGCAGCAACCTGAGGGGAATCGCCACCACAATGTAGAAATGAAAAACACTGAAATATTTGCACCAGCTGCTTCAGAGGACCATGAACTCATCAGAAATATCGGGCTTGTCATCAAAAGTAAAAAAGGACCGGCTTTTACGGCACAAACGGTCCGAGTGGAGTGTTTTGTTGAGATAAGACATTCTATAGCAGTCCTGAAAATATCCAGATTTCTTGTCCTTCACTTCGTTTTACTCCACAGCTCCACACATAAACATCAGCCAAGGATAATAAACGTGTGTGAGACTGGCTACTGCACCTGGATGATGGGGAAATCGTAGCCCTGTGCCTCTCTGATGTAGGCCACATAGTTCTGCAGCTGGAAGCGAGGTAGGTTGTCATTGACGTCTTGCAGGATTAGGTTGACAGCCATGTAGGAGCTAGAGGATGCCGTCTCGGCTTTCACCACAAGTCGGAGTTTTGGGGTCTCCTCGTAGTCTAGTCCTTCAGAGTTCTGGACCCAAATTTCACCTAATTGACAAAAATAACCATGAGTCACTTTGTGGATTTGGAAAACGTCTCATTATAGCGTACGCTGCCATCTTTGCACTTACCGGTAATGGAGTTTATACCAAAAGACTGGAGTCTGTTTCCACTGAAAATACTGTAGCTGATACCAGTTTGGGAGCCATCAGGGTACTGGGCCTGAGTCTGCGTTACGACTGTTCCTATCAGAGGAAAAACAAACAATGCTGATTATTATTTTGATGAAAGATTCTTGGATTTCCAGGGAAAGCGGTCAGAGTTTATTAGATCCAAACCTTTGGCTGCGTTTTCCTGCAGACTGACATCCCGGGCGATCCGAGCGAAACGAATCCCGCTGTAGGTCTGCTCCCTGATGTAGACGATAACCACCCCCAGAGAGGACTGAGCCGGGTTGCCCTGATCCATGGCCTGAACTATCAAAGTCCTCTGGCTTTGGGTCAGAGTTTGAAGCTTCTCTGTGGCCTGGATGTCTCCTGTCAGCGAGTTGATGGTGAAGCCCCTCACAGGGTTGGCGAAACGGTAAAACACAGAACCGTTGGCGCCGAAATCCTTATCCTCTGCCCTCATGGTGGCCAGAACTCTGCGGCTGGACACGCTGCCGGCAGAGATGTTCACGATGAGGGGGTCCTGAATGAAGAAGGGGGCGTTGTCGTTCACATCCTGAATGTAGACGGTCACCTGAGCAGTGGAGTTCAGTGGGTTCACGGGGGAGGAGTCGGTGGCGTACACCTCGAAGGTGTAAGAGGCGGTTCTTTCTCTGTCTAAGGGTGCAGCGGTGATAATGCGGCCTGTGTTCTGCTCTATAATGAACATACTCTTGGAGCCACTACTCAGATAGTACATCACCTGGCCGTTGGGGCCCTGATCCAGATCGACAGCTTTCACCTCTAGAACTAGCGAGCCGATAGGAACATCCTCTGAAATGTCTGCGGTGTAGCTGCTGCTCTGAAACTTAGGGCTGTTATCGTTCATGTCCATAACAGTCACCTCCACCGTCGTTGTGCTGCTGAGGGGGGGCTGACCCTGGTCCTGAGCTGTGACTGTCAGCCTGTAGCTCGCCTTTTTCTCTCGGTCTAAAGGCCTGGAGGTGGACAGTACTCCTGACTGTCGGTCCAAGCTGAAGTCTCTGGATGGATCCCCAGCTGCAAGGAAATAAAAAGTTAAACAGCTGCAAATCAACAGGACCAGTTGAAACAAAGTGGTCGAATAAATTCAATCTCACCTGTAATTTTGTAGCTAATCTCCCCACTATCACCTGCATCTTTATCAGTGGCCCTCAGGGTGAACAAAGGCAAAGCCTCCAGGTTTTCAGGCACCTCTATGCTGTAGTAAAGGCGTCCAAAGTAAGGAGCGTTATCGTTCTCATCCAGCACCCTGATCCTCACCGTGGTTTTGGCATAATTCGGGGGAAGGCCTCCATCTTTTGCATAAACTGAGAATAAATAAAAACACACATTAATAGTGATCTTTAAGAGATGGCGAAATATCTATCTATCTATCTACATTAACAGTCATCTTTAAGAGGATACGTCTGAGATCGAAAGTTTGAGATAATGTACGTACCTGTCACAGAGTAATACTCCTGCAGCTCCCTGTCCAGCGACTTGGTGGTTGTTATCACACCTGTAACGGGTTCGACTGTGAATCCCTCCTGTGAGATACCACCATAAGTCACCTGCCCATTGGTTCCTAAAAAGACATATTGTCATTACACAGTTATTCAAATAAACAGGCTGTAAAAATAAAAACAGAAAACCTGACAACTGACTGTTACTGAAGCCCTAAAGGGAAGGATCTGTTCCTAATAATCAACTGACAATGAATGAGAGAATAAAGATGGTTAAGACTTGTAAAAAAACATGTATGCTAGTTTGTTGAGAGCTTTGCTGTCTAAGCGTTTAGCAGTAACCCCCCCCTCTTTAAAGTCTGGATGCCAGATTGCGTGCTAAAACAAAGCAGTCTGGCAACCTCACCTGTTTACTTCGCTGATTGCTTTTGGAGAGAACGTTTATAATCCCTCTGTTTTATGTGATTCTGACTAAGTCCAGGAGAATGTGCTGTTTCTTTTACCCCACCCCCACCCTACTGAGTGGTTTTCAATTAAAAACAACTGTTAATGTTGTTAATTTCTAAACACGTACGCAGCCCGTGACGTCCGGGAAGAAATACAGGCATTTTTGTTTGTCTTAATTGCTGAGGCAGCACCATTTGAAACCCATTAACAAAAGCATGTGTTGGTTAAAACCAGGTTACATTTGGCTGGATCGGTTTTGAGGATGTTTGGGTGAACAAACAACACAGCTGTGATTAAATTTACTGTACTTACGCACTTTTTTGTATCCAGTGTCATTCAAATCATGTTAAAAACAGCCGCTGCTTCACTTTGATGACTGAATCCAAAACTATGTCACACACAAATGACCAACTCAGTGCTGACTGGGAGAGCTCTGCTGAGGATTAAATGTTTGTTTGCTCCAGGAAATAAGTCAGTGTTCCTGTTTTTTTCTCACCTTGGTCCAGATCAGAAGCAAACACAGTCAGCACACTCGTCCCTGGAGGCTGGTTCTCTAAAATCTGAGCCTCATACTGGCTCTCCTCAAACCAGGGCACCTCGTCGTTAACGTCGATCACATGAACACACAGCAGCTGGCTGGTGGAGTGGGAGGGGATCCCGTGATCCTCGGCGACTATGGTGAGGTTAAAGACGTCCTGAATCTCGCGATCCAGTGGTTTGAAAATAGACAGGGAGCCTGTAGGAAGATGAATCAGGGTGAAACGTGAGAAGAGATTTCCTGTGTGCGTGAGTCTGTGTGGGTGTGTAAGCGTGTGTTTTACGACAGCCCCACAGAGGCACTTAGACTCAAAAACACAGGATTGAAAGCATGTTATCAAAGGCAATAAAACATGCAACTTTCCCCTGTTCTGTGGAGTCATGTGATTTCCAAAGCAAGTGTGAAAAGTTGCCGTGTGAGGGCCAAATCAGAGCTAATCTCCTACACACACACACTCACACCCACACGGCTCTGCCTACCTGAGTGCTACCACCACCACCACAGCTCTAACGGCCCCACAGTCTGGCCACAGTTTACGAGACTTTCCATCGGAGAGTGCCGCAGCCATCGAGAAAGAAGCAGTAAACACACACCCTAGACACGCAACAACCAGGCCTGCCGTGCTGCACAGAAATTAGGGGCACTCTTTTGCTTTTTCATTATCCTGCCCTATGAGGCTCGAGCTAGCATTGATTCAATTTCAATTTCATGCTTTAAAATGAGCTACAACTGTTAAAGAAAGAGGCCCCAGCGCTGTTTTGGTTTTAACTTTTTTTTTGTGCGTGCTTTTACTTTGAATCTTGCGAGGACTGAGATAACTTGCCCCAAAGACTTTAATCTGGTAGGAATTACGGGCAAGAATATTTGCACCAAATTTGACTCCTCTGTGATCTTGCAGAATTTGTAGTCACAGATAACACATGGGCAGAGAATAAAGAGAAAAAGAGGGAGAGAGAGAGGAGGGGAAAGAAAGAGGAAAAAGTTTTTATTTTGGATGCTTCCAATTCCAACATCTTAAGCCGGCGTTAGGCCTGTGGCGCCAACACTTCGGACTGCAGCGTGAGGGTTAGCCGAGGTTGCTCACACCACAAACACGTCTTTCTTTTCTCATATGCTGAAGTCATTTATCACCATTTGATGTGTAAATCCCTGAATGTGTTGTCTTTTGTGAAGAAGTAATTTACCTTATCACCAGCGTACTCTCCCTTTGCTCCAAAAGTGAAATTAATGACCTCCCCGCTGACAATGACTGATGAGACCGTGTCTCTCACTCTGAGGCTTTTTATATTTCTAATAATAACTTCACAGTTCCCTCTGCTGTGGTTAGCCGTGATGCCAAAGTAATGAAAACAGAGTGTGCAGAGATGGTCCAAGGTCTCTGGGCACTGACCCCGAAACAGGAGCAAACCAGGTGCTGGAGTGCTAACCCTGTCATATACTGTGTGCACGAACACTTCAAGGTCCACACACACACACTAGGCGGCTAAAGGAGAAGCAGCGTGCATGACAGCTCCTGACTGTTTCCATCCTCCAGCTGCTCCAGGGAGCGAACCGGTCGGCGACTCAAAAGGAGGGGGCGGAGCTGATGTGGACACGTGTCTCAAAAACCACAACAAAGCCCAGAGGACCAAATAGCCCAAGGTCAGCGTTGACTAAGTGACAGAGTCTCATGCAAGCACACAGACACATATGTGCATGCCTACACACACATACACACACACACACACACGTGTGCACACATAAACAGGCGTAACTGATCCTTTCTCTAATGGTTCCCAGAAGCCCAAGCAGGAGGTTCTTTGGTCTTTCTTGGGAATAGATCCACAATAACAGATGATGGGTTGTGTGCGTGTATGTGCTTGTGTATGCTTGCGTAAGTGTTTACGTGAGTGTGTGTGTGTGTGTGTGTGTGTGTGTCGTATATGTATTTGGCAGGCAGCTCCGTCTGTCTGGCCTCCAACTAGGAAGAATAAGTCTTGAAAGGTGAAGCAAGAGTTGTGCCGTAGTCAGATGTTAGCAGACGTATTACATGAGTTTGTGTGTTTATGGAGGAGGATGTTTGATGATTGTAGGAGAAGAAGAAGAACAAAGAAAGAGGAGCAAACATGCTGTACAATTCAAGATAAAGAGGTGGCATCACCGCCTCAGACGCCCATGAAAGCCTCAAACAGAGGTGCACAGATGCCGATTGGCTTTTTCCCTAAGAATGAGAATATTTCAGCTTGAGCGTGGGATTTTCAAGACTCATTAAAACTAAAGTGTTGGGAATAAAAACAGGTGTTGGTTAAAGTATTATCAATATGCAGAAACAGGTGGTGCAAAAGGAAGAGGACCTGGTGGAACGTAAACAAACAGCTGACAGTCTGAGATTCAAAAACCTTTTCTAATGGGAGAAAAAAAGAGAGTGCAGCCATCTGCTGTTTGCTTTGATGAAATCACTGATATCTGATGTAAATATGTGTTTTCATTGCATTGCATGTGTAAACCTCCTTATTTCACCATGCCACACACTCAAAGGCGAGTCATGGCGAGCAACTGAGGACAATCCTGAAGCTAAAATGCAGAAGATACTTTCTTTCAAAGAGCTCTCTTATAAAATATCACAAAAAGGGAGGAAATGTTTGTTTAAAAAAAACTGACCCCGAATTTTTACCCTATCCAGAATGGCTCAGATCCAGAACAGCAGCGATTTTCACCGTTTGCCAATAACTACTGGATCTGTTTATGAGGTGAATTTCGTGGCAGATTACGGGCAGCGGTAATTGCGAGAATTTACAAGAACCTGTGGATTCACATGCAATCATGCAATAACGAGTCGTCTCTATCAAGACAGCCACATAACCATATGAGCAGTAGATTGCGTCCTTCAAGAGGAGGAAATCTACTTTTAGACATCTAAAATCAGCATCCCCTCATCAATGGCGTCATCGGGAAGAAATACTGTCTAAAAACTTTTCACTTGTTCGTCCCCGCCCGTTTGCATGGTGTGAAATACGATCTGCCTGAAACACATAGTGTTTTATTTTGAAAAGAAGCCGGATGTTTTATTTGTGTCTGTGCCCGACTTCCTTTCCAGCACGGGTTAATCTGAGTTCAGTGATCCGTAGCAGAACAGAAAGAAGCCGATGGAAATTGACACATTAACTTGAATGGTTACAATCAGCTACGATCGGCAGAAATGGCGTTTTCGTAACCGTTCCGGTTGCGATGAAAATTGGGGGTTACAGCTGTCCATGATGAGATGCAAACTGTCCCCCATCAATGAAAGTTCTCTTTGGACTGAACTCATCGACTTACCCGTGTTGGGGTTGAGGTTAAAAGTTCCTTCAGTGTTCCCCGACTGGATGCTGTAGGTCACTCTGCCGTTTTCCCCTTCATCCACGTCTCGGGCCATAACATACAGCGCCACAAAGCCCACCGGCTGGTCCTCCATCACACTGACGGCCGTGGGCGAGCTGAACACTGGTGGGTTGTCATTCTCATCAGTTACATACACCCTCGCAGTGACGGAACCCCAGCGCCTCTGGCTGACGTCTAGAGCCGAGTCTGTTGCCTTGACAACCAGTATCAGGTTGGAGGTGAGCTCGTGGTCCAGCTCTTGGCCCAGTGATAGAACCCCAGTCGCAGGGTCAAGGGTTAGAAGGCCGGGAGTGTCCGGCCATTGGTGGAGGATGGAGTATCTCAGCTCGCTGTTGGGTCCGCTGCCGTCTTTATCGGTGGCCTGGAAAGTATAAACAGACGAACCCGACGCCATGCTCTCAGAGACCACGATGGTGATGGGGTCTTCTGGGAACTGAGGGGAGTGGTCATTGCTGTCCTCCACATCAATGTCCAAGTGGACCAGGGTGCTACTGGGAGGAGCCTGGGAGAAGTCATCCACCTCGATCTGCAGGGTGTACCGCTCGTCTCGTTCGTAGTCAAGAGGACGAGCCAGATACACATCCCCGGTCTGACGGTCCACGACAAAGGTTCCGTCTCTGTCCGTGCCTCCCACCACCATGTAGGTCACCTCCCCTTCCTCTGAGCTGTCTCTGTCACGAAGGCGGACCGAACCGATGACAGAACCGGGCTTGGCCTCCTCCACGGAGTTAAAGGTTATTGAGAGGGAGTTGCTCTTCGAGGAAGGCTTGTTGGTGCTGAGAACCTGTAATGAGGAGAAAAACTGCGTGAATATTTGAGGAAATAGCAACTTGTCGGCGAGTCTGACACCTCTTTAAAACAGCGACTCAAGTTCACAAGTCTTGATAGAAAGAATGAAAATATTTCATGGATTCAGAGCAAAGAGAAAACAGATTTTATCCACTTCACGCACTTGTACTGCATGTATTCTCGGGGAATAAACGAAACCAGTTACAGGAAGTTTTCATAGACTTGAATAGCATGCCTGCTAACCCTAATCACACATAATGTGGTCGTCAAGTTGCTGCCAGGAAAATAATAAAATAATTCATGATAGAAGTCACACGATCAGAGGAGAGAACTGAGAGAGGACTGGCGTCTTCAATACTTTCTTTAATAATGAAAAGTAGTAAAAGGTGGAGGGATAGAGAGATGACATATGTTGGTGACATTTTCAGTGGCTTTAGAGATAGTGATTCATAAGCTTCATGGGTCATATCAGTACTTGGCATTGCAGTCCACCATTCTCCGAGTAAGTAGGCATGAAAATATGTTTTTTTGTTTTGAAATCTCACTTGACAAGCTGTAAATTGGTTCCACATTAGATGGAAAAGGATTGTGCCATAAATAAATTGGTATAGTCCAATTCTATCATAGATGGATTTAGAAAATTAGCCTGAGAAGATAATTAAAGAAAATTACAGAAATGCGTCAGCGGGCAAGAACAACACTGTACTATTGAATCCAATCAGCTAATAATTATGATTTTAATTTTTTGTTTGTGGAAAAAAGGGGAAGGTGGACGGGCACTTACTGCAGCTGTTTATATGGCAACTCTATTTTCCTGGAACGTTCAGTAAAAAAACGGAGTTCCTTCCAGCGCTCTTCCATTGTGTCCTTTTCTGTTCTTTATTAAATATTAACTGAGTTACTTTCAATGCAGTGTTTTATGTGAGTGTAAAGCCCTACCTCTCTCTCCAAAGGGCTACTGTATTAAAAAAGTGTTGAAGTCATTGTGTATGACCTTGATCAGAGCGCTCTGCAGCTGGCCCTCATCACCAGCCAGCTGGGAGTATTTCATTCAAACCCACTTTTCCATTTCAGATAGAAATTTCCCTTTTGAAAAGTCACAGGGGAAGAAAAAAGGAGGAGATGGGAGGGGAGCTTGTCAAAAGTGAGGGCTGATATGTCTACAGCGGGTCTGAGAGGCCCGGAGACGTGGATCCTCACAGCCTCGGGTCCATTCTTTGATATTAAGTAGATTCTTGTTGAGGGTGTTTGTGCTGGCTGAGCTCCAGGGGGAGGCTGACCTGAATGGTGAGAGAGCAGGAGGTGCTGCGAGGAGGCAGGCCTCTGTCAGTGGCCGTCACTGTCAGGGTGTAGTCGGCCCGCTCCGAGTGGATGAGAGGAGACGATGAACGCAGCTCCCCAGTGTTCGGGTTCAAAGAGAATCGCTCCGCCCGGGGACCTGACAGAGACAGAGTCCAAACTTTAGGTAAGAATGATGTATGATGGAGTAAAAATGGGCAAACCCACTGAGTCAACGGTGATCTTAAAACAACACACAAAAAAAGAGCGAATAAGGAACTAAAACAAGCACAAAAACCTCAAAATTATTCACACCAGTTAATTTCCGAAAGGCTCTAGGGAACTTTGAGAGTGTCATCTATAGTCAAAACACTTAACAGGGTGCAAATACTTTTCTTTAACGACCACTCAAAGTACATTTGAATGGATTTATCACCCAGCTTTCTCACCAATCCACGACCGTCTTAAATACTTGATCTGAAACCTCGAAACCACTTATTAGAGGACACTAGGGTCAACCTGATCAGGTGTTAGACATCTCAAATCAATCAAGAAGTTTGTTGGTAAGAATACCATCGTCATGAACATGCATTTTAGCTTTAAAGAAAATCATTTGTATGTTTTGTTGGTAGCTGGGTTTGTAGCTGGGTAACTGGCAGTATAACCAGTGATTATGCCAAGTTTAAGCCCAACAGACGAACTCAAATGCAAAGCACAGGGGTCTAATCCACTCTGACAGGAGTCTATTTGGCACAACTACTAACTACACATCATCCTACACAACACTTTTGTTTTTGTTCCCATTTTTCATGAGCTGAACTCAAAGACTTTTTCTACTTCTCTCAAATATCTGAGCATTCAATTCATGGTGGACATTCCTGCAGTCAGCGTGCCAATCACACGCTCCCTCAAAACCTGTGACATCTGTGGCATCGTGCTGTGTGATAAAACTGCACCTTAACCCTAACCCTAGAGTGTCCTTTTATTGTGGCCAGTCTAAGGCACACCTGTGCAATAATCATGCTGTCTAATCAGCATCTTGATATGCAACACCTGTGAGGTGGAAGGATTCTCTCAGCGAAGGAGAAGTGTTCACCAACACAGATTTAGACAAATTTGTCAACAATATTGGAGGGAAATAGGTCTTCAGTGTAGATAAAAAAGTCTTCGATCTTTGAGTTCATGAAAAATGGGAGCACAAACAAAAGTGTTGCGTTTATATTTTGTTGAGTGTATATTAAATACATCTTAGGTCATCATAAGACACAATAGAGACAATAACCATGAATGATCATCTCTTGTTTACCTGATAGAGAGTAGAAAACAGTGCCGTTCTCTCCTTCATCGGGGTCTTTGGCCTGCAGGCTGCCCAGTAAAACCCCGGAGGACTGACCCTCTGTCACCTGTAGATTTAAAATGCAAACAGATGTCAAAAAAAGACATGAAAGACATTTCATTTTCTGTCTCTGAGAGCTTTTCATCTGGTGGCATCACCTGTATGATGAGGTTTTTGCCCGACTGGCTGTGGGTGAAAGTGGGATCGTTATCGTTGTCATCCAGCACGGTGATGAAGGCTGTGCCTGTGGCGCTACGAGGGGGCGAACCTCCGTCTTGAACCACCACCACCAGCTGGTAACTTGACTGCTGTTCCCGGTCCAAAGTAGTCCGTGTGCTGATCTCACCTGGGAAGAGGAGGGGGTGGATGAGAGGGATTTTATGCCAAAGCACCGGACCAGACGAGTGGAATAATGATGAGAGACATGGAGGCCAGCAGGCTTTGATCAATGACACACCAGTAATGGACATGCACAGTGTTCAGATGTTCATGTACATGCACTCACAAACACACACTCACACACACACAGAAAACGAGGATTTCTGAAAGGTTGGCAGATGCTGTAGGCTCATAACTCAGCCAGAAACTGATCACAAATCAGAAAGTGTGTCTCCACCCACAGACTAACAGGCACAGCAGGCCAATTAGAGCGCTGCGAGACTCTTAGTGCTGCTGTCACTATCATCTGACTAATTCATGGCTGTGGAGGAGAGGCATCTGCACAAGCTGAAGAGAGGGCATCACGAGTTTACTCAGAACGGATTGAGTTTAAACACAAAGAATTTCAATTTGATTCCCTCATAGATTATGTGACGAAAGCTTGTTTGAATGAAACACTGACAAAGTTAAGTTCGGCTAACATTTTAGCTCAGACAAATACAGCAGCTGTAACCAGTAAAGTGAAGATGAAGTAAATCTAGAAGGTATCAAAAATTTAACAAACAGTTTCAGCAGTGCAGTCTTCTTTTTTTCAGCTCCTGTGTCAACAGCTGCATTATTAAAATGTGATGTTACAGCCAGATAGCTGCTTCTCTTATTCATGCCTGCTCTGCTGTGCTCTCTTTTTCAATTTCCCCTAAGACATCTTTATGATTTGCATTTTTTTTTCACTAATATGTTGATTTTCTTCTGCAGTATAAGTTAATCCAGCATACATTTCTGTACATCACGTTTTTGAATATTAACCTGTGTGGGAGTTTATCTGGAAGTGGCGGTCCGGGTGCAGCAGGCGGTAACCGAGGCGTCCGTTGGAGCCGCTGTCTCTGTCCGTGGCCGACACGTGACCAAAGCCTGTCCCCGCTGGCAGGTTTTCTCTCACAGCCATGAAGACCCTCTCCTGTGTGAGCCGGGGAGAGTTGTCATTCTCATCGGTCACTGAGATCCGCACTGTGGCGCTGCCCGTCTTCTTCAACTGTCCGTGACCCTGGCTGGCCATCACTGTCAGCAGGTACATGTCTTTGACTTCTCTGTCCAGGGCGCTCTTCACAAACAGCCAGCCACTATCTGCGGCGATGCCAAACCCCGCTGCGTCTCCGTCTGGACGCAGGTGATACGCCAGGGGGCTTAAGGAGCCTGAGCCAGGCGTCTCTCTGTTCAGAGCTCTGACCTGCAGGAAGCGAGTGTTTATCGGCGTCCCTTCTTTCAGCTCCACACGGTACGTGAGAGTATCGAACACGGGTCCCTGGTCATTCTCCGCCTGGACGTGAACCACAAGCATGAAGGTCGCACTAAGCTGGGGCACTCCACCGTCTTTTGCAGTCACCTGCAGGTCATAACGGGGGTTACTCTCATAGTTCAGGTTCCCCACCAGTCGGACCTCCCCACTGTTGCGCTCTATGCTGAAGGTCCTCTGGACTCCGCTTGTAGAAGACAGATCAAAAGTGAGCTGCCCGTTGACTCCAGAGTCTCTGTCCTCAGCTTGGACCCGATACACCACTGATCCCATTTCTGTGTACTCTGGCAGCAGCAAGGACTCCGAGGACAAGGGGAAAAAAACAGGCGAGTTATCGTTGATGTCTGTGATGGTTATGTGGACACGAGTCTGGCCAAAGGCTGGGGGGTTTCCACTGCGGGCCTGCACCTCCAAATCAAAAACTGACTGGGCTTCATGATCCAGGGGCAGACTGGTCCTGAGGGCTCCAGAGTCAGGATCCACTGTAAAGTAACCTGCAGGGTCCCCAGAGCTGATTGTGTAAGATATATCTCTGGAGGTTCCTGCACAGGGGAGACAGGAGACAAAAACCAGAGACGTCAGAACAACCGAGGAGGCCGCACTAAAAGCCCTCAAGTAACAGTATACTCTTAAGATGTCATTTTTCAATTTTTGAGACTGTAATCGAGCTCCAAAAATGTGGAAAATGGATGTATAAACAAAGTTGTGAGGTGGAATTTTTGATTGATGGTATTTCAAAGCTAGGTGTGTACGGTAGTCCAACGCCTGTTTGTACAAGTGGTGCAGGGAGCAGTGAAGAAACTCTCTCCAGTATAATCCAGTGTGACTGATAAATGTACATTACACTTTTTAATATGGGCTGTGAGGTCGCAGTATGAAAGAGTGAGTGAGTGAATGACTGAGTGAGAGAGAAGAACAGAGAGGGTGTGTTTTGTCGACCCCACCTGTCTTACTGCTGGCCTGGACGGTGCCTACGGTTGTTCCCCGCATGGCGTCCTCCGATACAGTGAAGTGGTACTGAGTCTGTTCAAACACAGGCGGCGCCACGAGTCCAGCCACCACGCTAATGTTGACTCTGGCGTTGACGAGGGCGGTCAGACCCCCTCCATCCTGAGCGGAGATGATCATGGGAATGATAGAGTTCGCCTTCCCGTAGACAGAGCGAGACAGGGAGATCACACCTGCAGAGAGGACACCGAAGAGGAGCTTTAAACAGGAAGTACAATCCCTTTTACTATAAAACAATAACAAAACACTGGAAACTGTTTGTGTTTATGTAGTTTATGAGAAGAAACCTTTATATTCTGTTCAGCATTCATGGTGCCTTCATGTTTGTGTCGGTTACCCACCGTGGGCACTTAGGAGCTGAGGGTGTGGCGTCCATGATTTCCAAAAATAAAATGTCAGATCACCGAAAAGTTTTCCACTCAGTCCATCTCCACCAGGTTTTGGCCCAGAGGAGTCACTGGCATTTCTGTACAAATGATTACCTCTTTGCACAGTACAGTTTTTACCTGCTTCTGTAGATGCATTAGCAAACTGTTCACGGGCAAAGGGTTTTGAATGTTATTCTGAGTCCCTGTAGCGATTACCACTACAAAGCCAGGTCTGATTTTAAAGCAGCGAGGCTTGAGGGCTCAAAAATCAGTCTGCTAGTGTTGATTTTTTAGCTCTGCCCCTTTTATACAGAGGTTTCTCCAGATTCTTTGAATTGAAATGAAATGAATAAAATAAATTATTTTCTAGTTATTCCTTTCAAATGAGTGCAGATGAATATGAGTCTGTAAATCCCACTGAGCAATAGACAGATATTAGACATCTAGTTTTTTTAAGACCTAATTTCAACCGTCTAGATTCTGTATATTTTTAGACAGAATTTAGATGTTGCACTTTAACCCATATCTTGATAACTATTTATTTCAAAAAGCAACTGTGAGTTGCATAACTGATCTCCAAGTACTTAACCAAAATAATTATGATAGCCGTTATAGCAATATACAATGTAGTATAGATATAGCCCAGATTTAGACTTGGTCTGATCTTCATCTAAATTTAGACATCTAAAAAACTTTTGTTTTTAGACCTGTGGTAGCCTGATTTTAGACCAGTCTTCTAGGCTACATTTAGACTTCTATTAGACCTTTTTTAGACCAAAAAATACTCAGTGGGTTGTTAAATTATTTTCTCTCACAGCCTCTCACTGACTAGTAATCCTCTTCATTATTTACCCTCAAAACCTTCAGCCTCTTTGAAAATGCTTTTGATTCACTTTCATCTCACTAATCTGTTGCAAATTAACCCAATCACTCAGGAGATATTTTTTTCTTGTATTCTTTTTCTTTAAAGACCCACTCTGATGAAAATCATGTTTTTTACATGTTCATACGGCATTTTTCTGATGCTACAGGGCATATCATGAGAAAAATAAGTGGCAGACTCAAATGGCAGGTTCAGACACAGTGAGATTTCCTACATCACAAATCCAAGCCCCGCCCCCAGAGCCCCACTATTCAGGCCAAACTTGTAAAAATGGAGAGGACAATTGTAGAACAAGCCTTTGCGTTAGTGGGTTGCGATGCTCATAAGAAAGTTAAGCGCTCTCTCTGCCCACGACTCAGAGGCTAATGAGTTACTGGAGCTCTGCAGAAGAAAAGCCCTTGAAAATTACACAAGTAATGTGATTTTGGATAAAAAACTTCATAATCACAACTTAGAGACTGCTGAGAACACTCTAAGTAGTAAAAAAAATCCTGATCCAGCCATCTACCTCATCCTACTAACAGTCCATCACATAAAGTATAGTTGGGTGTATATGAAGATCGTAGAAAAGCTCTCCTGCCAACCTGTGTCTTTGTTGAGAGTGAAGTACGGCGAAGCTCCTCCGGGTACTGTTTTGTACGTAACTTTGCCATTCTCGCCTGAATCGGGGTCATAGGCCGTCACCCTGACAACAGAGGTCCCGGGAGCGCTCTGCGTGCTCAAACTGACGGCGTAGCTGACAGGGTAGAAGGCGGGTCTGTTATCATTTATGTCCACCAGATCTACCCTCACGTAGGCTACAGAGCTGAGTCCGCCCTGCAGAGGAAACAAAAAGCTCTTTTGTTATACCCTCACAGACAATAAATCACGAACTGTAAAAAGCACACACCTGAGAGCGGGATTAAGGCCACATTCATGGCGAGAGGAAAAAGCAGCAGAAAAGCCTTTTAAAATGTGAATGTGTAGCGCGGCCTTTAAAATATAGTCCCAGCAGGTTCTCGCAGGACTACAGATTGATAGTTTCCCTCGGGAAGAGTAATATGTCATGACCCGTAGAAGGTGAGAGTGCTCGCCGCAACCAAACAATCTGTTTCATAGGCTATTCATTTGCAGAAAACACAGTGTAGGCTTTTCATTTGGACCAGGTGGCAAAAACGAGGGAGGCTGCAGTCCAACTTGTTAAAATATTACAGCCTGACAGTTAAGGCATTTCTCCATCTGATTGCTTTAACATGGCCGCAGTAATTTACTTTCATTTTAAACCTCTCGTTTTTTCACGTATGATTTGGCAGAGAAGGGAACAGGATATACTAACTTTTGAGTAAGCCTGTTATGGAGAACCATTCAAGCTTTAACTTTTTTTTTCTTGGCTGCTCCAATCAAGAGTTTTTCTGCACAGTTGGCCGTGTCTTTACTCTCCTGCCTCTACGAAAAGTACGGCTGCTGTTTATTGGATTACTCTCTGGCTCAATGGATTCATATTAAGCATGATTTCAAAACTCGGTGGCTCACCCCATCCACTGCAGTTACAGTGAAATCAAAGCTGGCCGGTCCTTCGTCTCGGTCTAGGTCAGCGCTGGTGCAGATCTGCCCCGTCTCTTTGCTGATGGTGAACTGAGAGGGAACGGCGCTGTTGATGCCAGAACCGAGGGAGTAGCTGACGGAGCCAAAGGAACCTCCGTCTGAATCAGTCGCAGTCACCTACAGAGACATAAAAGACACAAAAAAATAAGATTTATACAGATAAACGGGAGATATTCCAGTGTATAATTGAAGCATTTCCATACATTAGACCAAAGTCACTCAGGTTCATCTCTTAAATCTATTAGAAGAAAGTAAAAGATGGCAATCCACACATCCAAACGCCATACCAGGTGGCTTTGGAAAACATTTTTGGACCCGCTCTTTCTTGTTTATCTGAGCCAGAACTGAAGCCAAACAGGCCCTTTGGCAGAGAGAGGCTCTGAGGGAATGAAAGAGAGGGTGGCAGGAAGGAGAATGACTTCAGCAGACTTTTGGGGAGCTGCCAGCAGGGAGAAACTGCACTGCTACAGGAGCGGCGTCTGTCTGCAGAGGACAGTGACGGGGACGGCTGGGGAGCAGTGGGATACCACACAGTACGCCTCAGTGCAGCGCATTATACTCTAATGTAATGTCCCGTTCGCGGTCTGGTTTTAATAACGCCGCACATCTACAGAGGGCTGGAACTGCTGAAGCTATAAAACCGGCACACAAGACATCAGCCAGGGAGCCGACTCAATTACTACACCATCTCCCGAGACAGCGAAAGGCAAATACACCAATCAGAATGGGCCCCTTGGTACCAGAAGTGTAATTGTTTGCAAGTGTTGGCCGTGGATCGCAGTTTGCGAGGGACTACGGTCGGGTTAAACCTCACAAGTTGATTAGAATTCTCCTTCCATCTTTTATAAATGGATCTTTTAAGGGAAACACTAATTGGAGGCTGGATTCATGCTCTGGTGCTCTTCCACTCAGCAGCAGGGAGCCTCTTCTTCTGTGTGAGAGCGAGCAGTCATCAGGAACTTTGCCAAGAAAAATACGGCGAGCCATGCTTATCATCAAAAGCCGACTTTATAAAAGATGGCATTGGTGGAAGTGTGAGTAGATGGAAATCATTCATTGGAGGTGATGAAAGTTTGGCTGCAGTAATTCAGGCTCCGTGTCTTTCCTGAGCAGATGGTAGACGGGGGACTCAGCAGAGAGCACGGCCCAAACTATTGACTGTAAGTCCTGACAGAGGGGGAGCGCCGTGGAGGAGTACGGGAGTTGTAGAGCTCGCAGGGCCACCGGCCAAAGAGAAGAATAATAAACCACACGAAGAAAGAGGAAACCAAGAGCAACGCAAGAAAGCTACTCCATCTTTTAACGCGCGGAGGCTGCAGCTAGCTGCGGAGTTTTATCATTTTTCAGGGGGACAAGTTATTCATAACAACCAGGCAGCTTTACAGGTTGTTTTATTTTCAGTTGTGTGATGAATATCAGCTGGAGGGAGAGTTGAAGGGGAGTTTTAGTGATACCTCAGAAAAAAAAAACACCTTTGCAATGTTTCCAAAAAGAAAAACATTTCCCCTCTTGTTTCTGACCAACTCATGACAGCAAGTGGATGTAGCAGCAATTTCGAGAGGCTTGTTCTTGTTTTTCCATTTGAGTTACAAGCAGCCATAGTCTTCTGAACAAAGCGGGCTCACATACAGTTCAGAAAGAGACAAAATGGTAAAGCTTAAGAGGAAAAAGAAGAAAAAGATGTAAGGAGAGAGAAAAAAGGCATCTGAAAGCCTCTTTGGGTGAAGTGGGAGCTCTTTATCAAATGAATCTATGATGATTCCTGCATTTAAATTCTCTGTTTCTACTGAAATAAAGGTTTTCTTGAAGTCTGTCTTGAGCAGTGGGTGGTGAAGAGCAGATTTTAAAGAGAGGCTGACGATTTGATGCAAATACAGATAAATAAATATACATGAGGGGGATCCAGTGCTTTAATAACTGCACTTATTCCAGTGGTGAAGATATCTGGAGCCGTGTTTTGTCAAGAACAATATGTTCCATGAGTTAATTGTACGACATTGTGGAAGAATATACCGTAAGCTTATAAACCGCACAATCACATTTGCATAAATCCTAACCACTGTAAGAATAATGCCTGCAGCAATCAGTCTGTTTTGGAAACCGGAGAGACTGAGATTTCAATTCCACTCTCATTTCAGAGTTAATAGCAGCATATCAGTGTCATCTTACTGGAACACGGAGGCTCGTCTGTCCAGGAGATTATTACTCGCTGCCCACCCATAAAAAAATGACAAATGAGGCCGTATGCAAATGAAAAATGAGCCGCACAATTAGTCAAACTCCAAACCGTAGACCCTGAGAGAGGATAAACTTACATAATGTGGCCTCTGGCATCAAAGATTGGGATAAATCCATTAAACAGTGAGTGTAAATCTGAACAGATGTAACAAGATTCCCGCTAAATCTTGGATTAAGACTGAAGTTTAATGCTGCAGTTCAGCAACAATGTCACAGACATCCATCTTTCTCAAAATATTTCCTTTTTCTTATATGTTCTTGTTCAAATCCTGAGCCTTTTATTAGCAGAGTCACTCATGGGAGGATGGAAACATTTCATAACTAAAAAAAGTCATTTAATGTTTTCCAGTCAGTCGAAACTCTCCAACTCTGCAGGGGAGGAGAAAATACCTCCAAACACTTTGTAGTACTCCTTCTTGACAAGGATATAAGGGCCTCTCGCTGCCTTTCCCACCAACTTTCCCTCCTTCCACTTCAGCGTACAGGTATTATGCAAACTCTCCACCTCTATCGGATTAAAAGTTCAAAAGCAGGAGTAATCTTAGATCATCAGCAGCAGCAGCCAGCAGTATTCTCCTTACACTCTGAATATGTGAGTGAGGCATGATGGGAGCTGTCTTATCAGCGGGGGAAAGGCAACGCTTGGCCGTCTTCTTAGTAAAACAAGCCGGGGCAATCCAAAGACAACTCTGGCACCCATCAGATTCATGGAGTCTTTTAAAGGAGACTTTCTGAGAGTCCAATCAGGAGGGCGGGCGGGATTCACAGGGGAGAGCATGCCTTTGTGTATTTATGTATATTACATTCAAATAGAATAATGATCCTGAGGTTTTGGATGCTCCAGAATGTTCTGGCCCATCTAATGTCCTCACTTTGTGGTCTGAGGAAGAGCCAGGTCTGGAAAAGAACAAGCCCAGGATTTCATTGCTGTCTATTTTTAGAGCCCGAGTTAAAATTCTCATAAAGTAAGTGTTCGTCCCTGTGGCTTTGTAGCTTTTGCTCTTGCATTTTTGTAGATAATACGTGCAAATATATGTCAGTGTGTCCTTATTTGCCCAAGCGGCTCCTCCTCTATCCCTTATCAGTGTGCAGTCATGTGAAAAAAAGCTCTGGGTTAAAAAGAAGTGGAGTAAAAAACCTGCGAGTAAATGAATGATGTCGAGCTGAAACCATTGAGGCCAACAAAGGGTGAAATGAAGGCCATGTAGTTTTTAATCACGCTCCCCGTATTTCAGAGTGCCCAGTCAAACAAATCTGTCTCACGTAGTCATCAGTGAAACCAGCCAATCAGGGCCGCGCCTCTGCCAATCCAAATAGGCCACAAATGACGGAGTGTGCGTGGAAATGTTTGCCAACTGGGAAATTATCACACACATCAATCAAACTCCGCATGCAATCATCCGTTCAGTGTACCTTCGATACGTAAGCAGAGACACAAATGTACAAACACTCAGGGGAAAGCCATTGCTCATCACAGCCTTCAGATGCCTGCGGAGCTAAACAGTCAGACCGAGTTCTTTCTGCACCCTGATTATATCAAACTCTTCTTTGTATTCACCAGGAGGAGCCAGCCAGTCAGTAGCCAGCAGTGGCTCCTGTGACTCTGGGCCAGATTAAACTCTGGCACACAAGAATGTTCAGACAATACTCGATGACATCTCTGAGACTCCGAAGAACAAGTTTATGTCTGAGCCCTGTGTTATCTTACTGGAAGAGAGCTTTGACTGAGTATACCAAATGTATTTTAAGAAGTGCCGACGATTGAAAATGTCAAGCCGCAGTTAGAATCGGTGTTTTCCTGACACTTTTGACCAGTGACAGAACATTTAACTCTATTTGTACAGGATTGGATTACCTAAACACCTCAGATTTGTACAAAAGAGGTTTAGGACCACATGAAGAGAACAAATTATTACAGGATGGAGAGAAGAGATGAAATTCCTAGATTAAAAAAATTGAAATTATGTCAATATAGTTGAAATTTTGAGATTAAAAAAATCTAAATTATGTCAATTAAGTCGACATTTCAAGATAAAGAATTGAAATTTAGAGATTAAAGTCAAAATTATGTCAACAAAGTCGAAATTTCCAGATTAAAATTTTAAATTTTAACATTAAAGTCGAAATTTGAGATTAAAATTTAAAATTTCAATACTAAAATTGAAATTTCGAGATTACAAAATGTCAAAATGTCAAAATGTTGATATTAATTTCAAATTTTGAGATTAAAGTCGAAATTCGAGATTAAAAATTGAAATTTCGAGACTTAAATCGAAATTTCGCAATCACAAAATGTCATTAATGAGTCAAAATTTTGAGATTAAAAAAAATTGAAATTTCAAGATTAATGTTCAAATTTCTAGATTTATGTTAACATGAATAAAGTTGAAATTTTGATGTTTTTAAACATCAACTTTAATCTCGAAATTTGGACGTTAACCTTGAAATGGAAATTAAAATTATCTCCCCATTGAAATTATTTTTGTCTCTTCTTGTGGCCCTAATCCTCTTTGAAGTTTTTTAATAAGTGTGGCAGATAACTGTTTTTTTTTTTCTTCTCATTGGAACTGACTATGTCTGTAACCTGAAAAGTAAGAAACTATATTTTCTGGCACACACAGGGGTCGTCTGAGACTATTTATACAGCATTTTGATTGCTAATTCAGATCAATCGTTTCACCAAATATTATAGAGACCGGTTTGCAAATTGAATCCCTTCCAAAGACCCCGTTGTCATTTCCTGTCTTTCAAATGGGTTAAAGGTTTTTTGCTGTTTTATAATTAAAGAGCACAGCACTTAATTTATTGTGGCTTGGTTTGGCAGCGACTAAATCACCCACACAGACATGATCAATATCTCCTCAAGTTTTTAATACACTTTCTTAGAGGATGTCTTCGACTTGTTATGAATCTACAGCAGGCTGTGTGCTGAATAGACAAGGTGGATGTCATCATTTTACATCAGAGATGCCAGTGAGTTTATGTGTATTATTATATACAGCACTTAATCCTGTGTGAATGAGCCACACCAAACACTGACCTCAGGGGTTAAACCACAGATTACCAGAGGTCCACAGGTAAAACTAAACCTGTCTGTAGGACTGAAAGTTTAGCTTCTTTTGTGGCTTCTCACTTTATTTTGAGGTCATGATACCTTCACCCAGAACCAAAACACCCACAAAAACATCCCTGTCCTCTTTATAGCCGAGCAGCTCAGTTACAGAAACCGTTAAAACACTTAGTGGAGCAGTTCTTCGTCAGACATTTGGAGACTGCAAGCTGAGCTGCTGCTCTAAGTTACTAGCACGCTTGCTTTTGTTCGATGGCACAGGTAATCATGATGATGAGACACTTAAAATACACCAGGAGGAAAGTGTCCGTGTAATAGCACAATTTGGACCAAAGATGATTGAGCTGCTATTTGACTCACAGGTGGATTAAAGCCGAGTAATAACACAAAGTCACCCGGAGAGAGGTACAAAAATAACACAAAGATACAGAGCTTGACCAAACGCCTTTTACCCCAGTGTATGTTTATGTCCCAGTGCAAATAACCCATATAACAACAGTTTCACACACATGACCAATCAGGCCTGCGATAGCTTCACAAGAGCGATAGGATGTAGCATGTCATAGATTGATGGAGTGACATGGAGATCATTAAAAGACAATAAAGCGAAGGAGGAAAGCGTAGGCTCAAAGAAATCAAACAAGCAGGCGAGTTGCAGAAATCTGGACTGAGAGTTGCTTTGAGCTTTCACAGCTGGTGCGAGGCCGTGCACACTCCTCTCCCTCTATTGTCCTGGCATCACTTCAGAGGAGAGCAGAGAGACAGAGAGAGAGAGAGAGAGAGGCGGAGACCTCCTCAAGGCCTCTTTCACTTTGCACTTAAGTAGCAGAAAGGCAGGTCAGAGACTGTGTGACTTGTCCACCACCACAGTAAAGAGGCAGACAGAGACCACACCGGACCGTTGGAAGGAAGGAAGGAAGAGGGCCCACACACTGTTGACCAATATATCATATCTCAACAAACAGTCGCCGCGCAGACACTATCGTCTGGATCCCCACCAACCATATGTGAAAGATTGTGGTTACTCAGGAGACAAAAAAGCAGAAATCTTCACTGCATAGTTTAAGAGATGTGTAAGGTCTGCAAAAGAGTGACATTACATTGTGCCAAACTGTGGCCTGTGATGTCTGGCTGCTTTTTAAAAGTGCGATAAAAGCGATGAAATTTCAAAAGGGCCTCCCAGATGAAACAGAATGAACGATGTTGAAGAATCATCCCAGCTGCCTGTTTGTGTTCTTCAGCTTGTCTACTTATGTATACAGAGCAGGTCGACGTCATATGAAACAGCCAGAGCAGATAGAAGATTTTCCCTTAGGCGCAATTACTTTTCTGACAGGCTCATCTATGGTGTTTTATACATTCAGAGGAACATCACGAACTGTGAGGTCAACTTTTAAAAGCTCCTGATTCTGCTTTTTTAATCATGCATATACTTTGCCTCGCTGATAGGAAGGACGAGATGCTTCTGATAATGACAGAAACCTTTGAAAGCTGCCTCTTGTCATATATCTGTGGAAAATTTCACTCTGTAAATGCACAAATACATAGTTTCAATGCTAAAATTTCTTGATTAACCGTAACATCACAGCGGCATCAGCAGAGCAGCGTTTCTAACAGAGAAAGGTGATGTGGACTCATGTCGAAGTGTATTCAAATTGGCAAAAACCTCCATCTCTATCCCTGCGTGACTCCACATGAATAATCTCCTCCAGACCTGTCAGACTCTGTCCGTCCAGATGTCCATTAAAATACAGCTGTTGTATCGGGGTATCCCGGTAAAACATAGTATAACTGTCAGGGTCAGTAACCGTCTTAATCACGCTGATTTCTCCAAAAATATACACGCATGCGCCAGTTGCCAAATCATATCATCCAGAGCTGTCCATTCAGGGTGGAAATGACTTCCAACTGTCCAAGCCGGGGCTAATGATCTAACCAGAGCAGAGCTGTGGATGAACACGAGTAAAGTCTGAAGGATAAACATGATAACAGATAAAGCTTTATAATACACTTTCCTGAATTATATGGTCTGACAGGATTAAATTTCCCAGTCTGAGTAACTTTTAGCTGCCTTTGGGAAAAAAAGAGCAACTTTTCTGACTTGTTTGTAGCAGGAACTTCAAATTCTGGCCCCGGCAGTTCCTCCTGTCCTAGTTTCTCAGGATGGGATTGTCTCGGCTCTTTCAGGGGTGCAATGGGAACTATTTTCTGTCTCAAGGAGACAAAGAAGTATCGATTTCTTAATCAGCGTTGGCCCCGTGAGCTGCAGCTTTTCATCTGTCTCTGAGAAAGACGTGGAGGTTCGAGGCTGAGGGCAGCAGGTTAGTATGTTGTACGGTCCACATGCCTGGCAGAGGAACAGAGGGGAGGTCATAAAGCAGACAGGGGTATGATTCCACTCGCGGCTCGAGTGCAGACACAGGACAGGATAAGGTTTCTGTCTCGCTCCTTTCCTCTCACACATCGCTCACCAGAACAACTATAGTGTTGGAAAATGTGAGCGTGACAGTCTCTGAGTGTGGCGGAGCATGTAAAGAGTCAGTCTGCTGATATAACCTGATATAACATGAAATTAAAAAACCATCAGGTAGATATCATTCTCTTCTTAGAGATGAATTTGATCAATTTTTCCACTTATCTTCTACTCAGAAACGCTGTACCACCTCATCCTGTAGATAAGAATAAGACTCTGTTTTGGAGAACAGTACCTTCTTTAGCTCCATTTTTGTTATTACCCATGAAAATAACTCAAAGACACGAGCCTGAAAAATACTTTTTCTTGACTTCTTCTGCTTTTAATAAGTAGTTCCATTTCTGGTGGCTAATGATGTCAAGAATTTCAACTCATTAATTGGCATCATGTTAAAAAAAAAAACAATAAAAGGCTGAGAAGCGTTTCCAAACTAAAACACTAATCAGGTCCAAGTCTTGTTTTTATTATCAAATATTCACCCTGATGAACCTTTGGTAAATAAGCATCATGTCAGCGTGTGAAAGGCTCTAACAACTTGTGTCCTGATATTAAAAAAACATCTTTGTTAGTGAGTTAAGTTCAGACTCGCCTTCAGGTGCTTCTGAACTGTCGGAATAATAATAATAAAAAACATATTTTAAGTCTAACAACACATGCATACTATATACAGACAGGCGCCCTTTGTAGTTTGCACTGAAAGAGTTGTGACAAACTCCACTGTTGAAAGTTAGGTGGCCTGTTTTTTTCTTTTTTTTAACTTCAGCAGAGTTTCAGCTGAAACTGGAGAACCTGTCTTTCATCTAGAGCAAACATCTGGAAGTGATTAAGCTCCAAACCTTTTAAGGAGAGGAGGCTTCCAGAAAAGACACAACGAGCAAAAGAGAGGAGGTACGGCGCAGCCACACAGAGAAGGTCGAGGTTTTAGATCTGGAAACCGTATTCAATATTTGACTGTTTTAAAACTTTGGAGTTTGATCATGATGACACCGATCCACTACTTCTTGAACTTAATACAGCTCCTTTATTTCCTGTCTTACATTATTGGACAAGCTAATTAATCCAGGTGTGTCTGAGTAATCACAGTGATTAGTCACACCTGGTTAAATCAGTTTGTCCAATATTGTAAGACAGGAAATAAAGGAGCTGTCTTAAAGGTGATGTACGCAGGATTCTGTTTAAAAAGCTTTTAATATCAGTCAATAGTTATTAGTTATTGATGACATTTGGTAATTTAACGATATCGCTGTGTTTTGTTAGTCAACATTTTAACATTTTTGATCAGCCTGCTGTATCTGACTATAAACAAAGCCGTTCTCCGCCTCCCCCAACCTGATTGGTTCTAAGGCGGACCCTGCTCCTTAGTGCTGATTGATTGTGAGGCACGGTCCCCATCCTTGAATAACATTCACGAGCCCAAGCAAAGTTAGCGAGCTACAATATCTGACAGTAGAAAAAAAAAAACTAAAAAACCTTTGTCTGTCACTTGATCCCGCCGAGTAGATGATTTTACTCACTCTTGGTGTGAGCGCCCCATTACCCTTGTTTTTGTCTTGTACATTTGTTCCTGTCTGGTCTGCCCTGTCCCCGTCTTGTCACACCTGCCGCCTGATTGTGTCTCCTCACCTGTTTCCCATCACCCTCGTTATCTCTTGTATTTTACACTGTGTGTCAGTTCGTTGCACTACATCTCTAACAAGCTTCCCCTTCTCCCCTTTACCAACTCCACATCCACAGGTAGAGCATCATTCTGTGGGAAATACCAAAATGTACATTCACATACTAGCCTATATGTAGAAGCTCCAGTAAATGATTTAGAGTGTAGGTTAGCAGGGGGAGCCTGGGAAGGACGTGCGTGCCAGACATGTTTCTGACCTTGGTCTTCACTCACAGTCTGGGATAAGCAAAAACTCAGCTTATAATATCAAGGATAATAACTCTCAACCTTGGTTTTACTTTTGGTTGGATTAATATGAAACAAACCCCAGTAGATGTGAGCTGATGAGTTTGGAGTTCACCTTTTGCCATCTGGAACCGCTCCTCCTTTAAACATTACCTGTTTTTTTTTCTTTTTCTAAAGGTCAAACAGGAGAAACAAACCTGCTTCTATTTTCTTTAACATGCTGACTGATAATCAGCCAAGGGACAGAAAACAAAGATAATTGCCAGTTTTAGCGCGGAAGGATAATTATTTTGATTGACAATCTCATAACAAAGGGGAGTTAGATCGGAGGAGGTCTGATATCTACCTTGTTTCAGGATTCATGAAGGTCGCACCAAGTTTAGTATTTATAACTTTGATTAACCCAGAAGCACTTTTTCACACAGAACATAACCCGACTTTTTATTCCAAGGGACACAACGCCAGAAAAAATCTCATTTATGCCAAAATATGACAAAGATTGTTTGTTTTAAAGATAGGACAGCTTTGGGAGAGGCTGAAAATATGAGGAGAGAAGGGGAAGGAAATGCACCAAATCACAGTGATTGATTCTCACATGATTCTTCATGACACCCAGTTCGGATCTGAGCTAACCTCCAATGAACCAAAGTCACCCATAAAGACACTTTAAGCCTCTGAAGTCCTGCCCAGGCTCCGGTGTGGGAGGTGAACTGATGCTGGAAACTTGCTGAGCAGATCCAAGGAGGCGACCTCACATCAGATACCCACAGAGCCGGACCTAGCAGGCTCTGACTTGGCTCTTTTTCAGCTCATCGTCTCTTTCTCTGTCATCCAATCGCTGTCCTGAGCTCTGGTCTGCTGAGGCTGGCCGGGGCGGTGGATCCCAGGGTCTGGGTTGGTGGGAGGCCAGCTAATACGAAACATGCACAGTGTGTGGGGGTGCAGGCACTGATGTGGGCTAGGCTAATGCTACAGCTGCCTGCAGTGGGTGGGAGAATGCCCACTGAGCGTGGCATGCACAAACACAGCCCAGATGAGATTGTGAAGTCAGATTTGGACTCCGGTTCCCAGAGGTCTGTAAGATTTTTGCATCAGACAAGTCAAAGCCAGAGTTTGTCCTCTCTTCTCAGTGTGACTAGGTCTTCAGAGCGGACTTCAATCGCGCCTGTGATCAGACTATCTTTCTGTAAATTTGTGATCACAACTGGCAACATATAATTCATCACTTCAGACGAATCCAGGGGAGTCAAATTCACCAAAACCCCTTTGAATGATCCTCTACATGGATTTATATCTCCCAACAGGAACATTTAAAGCAAGAACCGATCAAAAGGCTGATCTTTCTTCCCTGATCTGAAATTCTCCAACAGGCGATTTACATTAGCGTGAAAAAGTTTCACACAGAATCACGCTCAGCGGCTTTATGACATAAAAAGACGTGGATGCAGACATGTAGGGAAAAACACAGAGGCAGTATGACTCTGCGCTTCACGGCATGTTTAAGTGAGACTGGGCTGAAAATGGTTGAGTTTCCCGGCGCAGCAGGGGGAGCCAGATCTGTGGTGAGGCACGCAGTCGAGTCTACAGCTTCAACTTTACAGCACCAGTTGGAAACTGATGAAATACTAAAACTTCATCTTTTCAAACGCCTTTTTTTCTGTCTGAGGGTAGGAAACGGGAAGAGGGCTGCACCAGAGGCAGCTTCAAGAAAACAGAGGACATTTTTAGCTGCTTTATGCTGCAGTGGGGATTTAAAAGCACCCCGAATGATGGACATGTTTGTTGACAGCTGAACTGGAACAGTAATTTAATTCACTCTGATGGTAAACAGTAATTAAAACTGACAGTCCTGAAAGCAGAGGGAGTAGTGTTGTGACACTTCGCATAGATGCTTGTGTTGAGTATCTAGACTTTTCAGCTGGAGGATCACATGGATACACGTTTACAGGAAGATGTTCTGTATTTGCAGCAAACTAAGCATAAGGTATTTTAAACACACGCGTTTCTAACATTTCAAATTTCCTGTCAGGATTCAGCACAACATGTACTACAACTCAAATTTTAAAAGACACTCCAGAAAGGCTGGATCTTAGGAGCAAAGATGGGAAATGTCTGTGAGCAAAGTCCTGCAACAATCTCAGAATAATGTTACTGAGCATTAAATTTGTCAGGATTCAGCACAACATGTCCTGCGACTCAAATTTTAAAAAGACATACCAGAAAGGCTAAATCTGAGGAGCAAAGATGGGAAATGTCCGTGAGCGACTGCAACAATCTCAGAAAAATGTTCCTGAGCATAAAATTTCAAAGTATTTGGAGATTTCATGAACTACAATGAATAATAAAAGACTCAGACAATCTGAACAAATCTGCAAAAGAGACAAGGATGAAAACCAATATGGTTCGGCCATGATCTTTGGGACCAATGTCCTCCGGGTACTTTTCTAGTTTTTTGTAATGTTTCACTTTTACGAAAATCAAAGGAACTTAAGTAAATACAGGAAAAGTCAAGCCTTGTCTGATTATTGGACGACTCCTAAAATATTAGCTGTCTGTCTGTCTAGGTTTGCATATACTGCAAGGGCAGTACGCTATTCTGATTCAGGGTTGTACATGATGAGAGTGAGAGAGTTACCCTGAAAAAACGGTGTCTCTACAGTTGGTACTTGAAGTGGTTTGACAGAGGCACTTCCTACAGTGATGAAAAACATAAATAGATGAATAGATCATCAGTATAGAGCCGTCATGTTCCTTAAATCCATTAGGCTAAGTGACGCTTCGTGTCATAACTCAGTGTTCTCTCCCGGGGCAGCGGCTGCTCCTTCTAACGATGAAGTTGACAGACTTCCCGTCGTGATGTGGCCTGCAGACACTTTAATGCGACCATAACTCTGCAGCGATGTGGCACCAGCATTTTGTTGAATGTTTACATGGAGAAGCAGTAAGTAAGTCCATCAGTCATCCTCTGAGGAGAGGAAAAACTCTTTTTGAGAGGACTAGCAGACTTTAAGGAAGTGTTCAGCTGCTTCTTAATAAAGATGCTTTCAACACACAAGCAGGTCACTGTGCTGTTGATATTAAAAATGTAAGCACAACATTATGTCATCTGCAGACGGTTCTCACACAGCCTGTAGGAAACTTATTAGCAGCATTTTGGGCCGTCTGTCTCACATCTGCCTGACAGATTAGATTCAGTTTGATTTTAATCAGTGCAGCTGTCGACATCAACCGAGAACTGCCCTGCACTTCATTTACATGTGTAACTCACAGCATGCAGATTTTTCAGGTTTCAAGATGTTGCATGTCCTGCAGAGTTTTCTGACATGCCGACGGACTCTGTGAGTTTCATCATCCCTGTAAACCTTCAGTCGTATTAATGTAAGTCTGCTTATTAGAGGGAGATGATTACATTCAATCTCCGGCAGCCACAGCTTTACTGCACTCCTCCTGCAGCGATGGAGTCAATCCTGAGGAAATACAACCCAATCCCTCTCTAACTTCCCTCTCTGAGTCCAGGAGAGGAGGAGAACTGGGGTGGGTGAGCGAGGGCAACAGGGTCACCAAGGCCTACTGAAAGCACACGCATAAACACACCCTGTCACTCACTAATAAACACTGCAAACAAATGAAGGCGGCCCAGGCAGAGTTTTGGCGTGCACGCCGCGTCCCTGTAGAAAAGTCTGTTTAACTGTCACGGTGGAGGAGGAGGAAGTCGTTTCTGGTTCAACATAAGCTGGACACATAAAGACGATGTGTTTTGGCAAAAGAAGCAGCCGAGGAGAGATGAGTGTCTGTTGGATCTCTTTCTTCTGTTTCACCGAGTCGCGTAATTACGAGTCGACAGAGATTCATGGCGAGCAGACAGAGGATCACGCAGATAGACAGATGAGTTCACACAGACACACACACACACACACGCTCTGCGCTGCTGCGACTTTCCAAACAGTTCCCTGCCAACAACAAACAACAGCTGTTCTTCACATTCAACTCCCGCTCCGTCAAGTGGAGACGGACTGAGACACATCGCCTCACCTTTTATCCTGTTTTTCAAACTTCTCTGGAAAATGTGATAATGACAGTTTCCATCCCTCCGCATGTAAACCTACGTCACCTCCTGAACTGGAATCTCTCTGTTTGGTCAGAGCCCGTTTTCTATTTGTCACATTTAATATGGTTACTATGTGATATTTGTGTTTATCATCTGAGATGTTTGCTCTGATTCATGAGCTGTGTGTTTTTTTTTTCACACAAATTCCTTTGAGCCTCCGAAGCAATAGGTGGGTTTCATTTCCTCGCTGGGATATTTATTTAGTTCTCTGCAAAATATTTAGGTGATAGGGTAATTATATTTTATCTTGTATACATGTCCAGTCCCCTCCTTCATGTGATTCATTTCAAACAATCCTTCCTGAGTATACATAAGGTAGTCAGCGAGCTCTTCAGTTGTTTCTCAGAGTAAAAGGGACTTCCACAGTAAACATGTCCTCAGCAAGATTACACTCACGCAACCTCCTAAAAAGGAACACACACCAGTGTGCGTCCACCGCAATTCATCCGTTTGAAAGACAAAAACCTGTTTTGCTTACACTCGAGTTAAGTTTTGGCAAAGTCATCACAAGTTTTCTTTTTGCTGAGCAACAGTCTAACGTGCGTCGAGGTTGGTATCAACAAGTGTGGGGATAAACGCTCGGTATTCATTTTTTACCCAGCTGTGGAGGAGGAGGAGGATGTTTTCAGTGTGCATCTGCTGGAAAGACACTCTGATTAATCTGTGGGCTGTCTACCTCAGCGAGAGGATTAAATATGCATGCGATAACAGTTTGCAAGGATCTATTTACCACAATCACCAAACGTTTCAACATTTATCCTTTTCAGGTCTCAGCAATTTGTGCTGAAAACTTCGGTCCAGCTGATTTAGAAATGATGTTACCGCTCCTGAGACGCACTTCTTAGTGAAAGTGCGCTCTCTTTTTCCCCGTATTATGGTAGGAGCACTTCAGAGTCACAAACAAGCCAAATCTTTCCAAAGTGGTCATATAAGGAAGTCGCAGTCACGGGCCGCAAACAAACTCAGCTGTCCAATCATCGTGAAAAAGCACTCCGTCGCCTGAGTCGGAAATGTTGGATGACTGCAGCCACCCGTGAGACCGCCACTTTCAGCTCTGCCTTCAGGCTGCACAAAGAAGAATATTTATAAGAAATCATTTACCCTAGTTGCCAAAAAAACATCTCTTTTAGTGATGCACTTAAAAGCTAGCACACTTCCTCATACTGCAAACAGCACATTATACTGAAACTGTAATATCCTGGTACGCTCTGTTTGCTTTAGCTGTTTGTCTTTAAGTTGTGATTATAAAGTTTTCAGCTAAAATCATGTTACCTGTGTCATTTTCAAGGACTTTTCTTCTGCAGAGCTCCAGTAGCTCATTAGCAATTCACCTCTGAGTCGTGGGCGGAGACACTGCCGGTGAAGTAGAAGAAGCAGGTAACCAATTCAGCTCTTGGACTAATGTTTTTGGGGTCATGATGAAAGCTATATCATAGGGGGACCGTACGACCTCTTTTACCCAGACATGTCCTCTTTTTTGGGGGCTGTCCAGCCTTGTCCAGGGGGGATTTATAAGATCCTTCAAATGTCCCGGGTCTTGTATGGAAGTTTTGAATTCGTGTCGCGTGGACTTACTGAGTTAGAAGTGTGCAAAAAACACTTGAATCAACCCGAAAAACTCTTAAAATTTACTACACGTGACTCCGCCCCCACATAGTCATGTCCTCTCTATGGTCACACTATTATATCATACTAAGTTTTCTTACAAGCATTGCAATCTGCTAACGCACACACTTGTTCCGTGATCATCCTCTCTACTTTTCTGAGTCTGAGGGCGGAGCTTGGATTTGTGAAGTAGGAAATCTCACTGTATCTGAGCCTGCTGTTTGGGTCTGCCAGAGATTCATGGCCATTTGAAAGCAGAAATACTCAGAAATGCAATTTCACACATTTCCTGTAGCATCAGAAAAATGCCATATGAACATGTAGACAACTAGAAAAACATGATTTTCATCTGAGCGGGTCTCAGCGGACTCCTGATACCAGCCTGGTCTGGGCTAATTACGACCAGTGAGGCTGGCCCAAAAGAACAACAGCAATGTGTTAAAAGAGTCCAGGAAGTTGATTGGCAGATCGACAAGGAGCCGAAGCAGACTTATACGTTTCTCTAGAGTTTGAAAAGCAGACAGAGTATGATAGGAGCAGCAGATAGTGCTCACAAAGGCACGTAGAGACCACGCCTCACAGACTTCTTCCGCCTTTTCTACACTTCGCCAACAAACACTCTGATAAGGGATTTTTCTGGTTTGCTCAGAAAATAAGGGAAGGGTTTCCTCTAGAAAGGACATATCCACTCTCACACCAAGCGAGTGAAAATGAAAATATATGCTAATATAACAGCATTCTTTTGTTGACAAAAGTCTAATATACATGCAAAAGAGATCCCTTTGCTTTAAGGCAAATGAATAATGAATAATAAAACACTATTATTTCTCTGCTTGTCGGAGCCAAGACTCTAATCAGCTCAGACGGACGTGTCTTGAGATGAATAGAAAACCTGTCCTGGGTGTTTTCTTGCCCTCGACACACTATCTGAGCTCCAGGCTTTCCAATGATACGGAGGGGCAAATGTAAAAATGACAGATTTATGATATCACTGTGTGTAAACCACATATGGGGAAACTTGAAAACTTCTATTAAGTGACTGCACATCTACTTCTGTCTCCAGTATTTTGGCTTCTTTACTTTTCACGCTTGTCTCGATGTATTGAGAGACCGAGCCAAAACCACATCCTAGTCGTGTTTTCATTGATTTCAGATCCATGTTGCGCCTAACAGTGCTGATATTGTTTGACATGTACACCAGCGTTAAGTTTGATTCCTGGGGCCAAATGCATCTGTGTTTGTGTGATTTACACAGAAAAGGAGGACTAAGCCCACCTAATCTAATCCAATCAAGCAGAAAGTTCTGGCTAACATGTGAGCCCCCGAGGTCACAGGTCGGCCAAACGTCCAGCTGCCCTTCCTGACCTCCTGGCCTGGCAACCATCTATTCCCTCTTTCATCTGGTAGCCAACCTTCAGCCACCCATGTCTGGGAGTCATACGAGGTTCTCCCGCCTTCATCAATAACAGCGAGGAAGACAAGTGAATTATGGCACAGGAAAAAGGAAGGGTAATATAAATCAAAGATAAACTGGCATCGAACTTTCCCCCAGAGTCTTTTGTGTTTTTCCATGATCCAAGCGAACGTGTGTAATTAAAGACCGCTCTGATCTTCTGAGGTAGGATATTACAGGGCATCTCAGAGCAGAAAATGATCTTCAAATAAGCCACCAGCAGTAACCCAGTTATTAAACAAGCAGCAAAGCCAAAAGACAACATTTTGTCTAATGCTTTAATAGGTTTCCACTACAATTCTGCTCCATTCACCCTCTGTCATTGAGACGCTGAACTCGACGCTTCATTGATAATGATGAAACCCCTTCCCGGCCGAACTCTGCGATTCATCTCGTCTCGGCCTGTGGCTACTTGTTACCCTGAGTGATGAAAATGTTAGAACAAACCCAAACATACAGCTCCGGGCTGAACTGACCTCAGGAACACAGCAGAGAAACATCATCATTATAGCTGAATGCATACATCACGCACAGAGAGGAGGAGGTGAAAGGGTCGTCATCTGTCATCTCCTTATCTGCGCACACATTCACCGACTTCAATGTGAACTTTTTACTGTTTGGTTATGGTCGGACGGAGCTCCAGCAAACATATGTCATGTTGCTATGGTTAATCTCAGATTGTTTTTTTGTGTGAGAACATGTAATCGGTTGCCAGCAGAGCTCCATCATTATCAGTTTGGTACGAACGCTGTGGAGAATCCTTCATCGTCTGACGTGTGTTCGAGTGGAAGCCAAAAGATTTCTGTCTGCTGATGTCGGTATCTCTCTCTCTCTCTCTCTCTCTCACTCCTTTCTCGTTTGATCAGGAAAGAATACCGACATCAGCTTAAATGTGAAGTTGCACATCTTTTTTAACGAGCAAGTATCACACGCTTCGGTACAATAAGACTGTGAGTATGACAGAATCTAAGTGTGAGAATCTCTGCAGCTACAGGTGAAGAACACTGGGAAATTTCACACCTGTGGAAGCCAAAGCAATCAAAGGTGAGTATGCTCCCTTGCTCATCCCTCTTTGGATGGACTTCAGGTACAAGAATTCATGTGAGTTAGGGCTGGGCGATATGGCCTCAAATCACTATCACGATATATTGAGCAGTTCACCTCGATAACGATAAATGGATGATAACTACTCCACAAGCTGCTCACCTCCTCCCACATTAACTTTTGAACCGTCCTCCATCTCCTCACTTGTCTTTCCCTCTTTGTTACGGGCTGGATGTGGTGGAGTCACGTCTCTGACGTAGGACAGCGTCTTAACCCTAGAACACTATCGCCGGGTGATTTTAACCCGACCAAACATGTTTTTACGTGATTTTCATGATGTTGCGTTTGTCTGAGTATCATGGGTCCCAACATTTCCTTTGACATCTTTGAGGACATATTGTGATAGAGGGTAAAGTAGGTTTGGGTGGATTTGATAGCTGCATGTAGGGAATAAGGTCAGTTAGAGTGGTCCTGGAATTTGCATGCTGTCTTTATTTAGCGCAGTGGTTATGAATAACTATCACAAAGTAGTTATTTTCAAGTGAATTCATATGGTGATGAGAAATATTTGAGTCAGCTGGTCATTTTTACTCACTCAGAATCTAACATATTTTGGTTCTCTCTTCTGCAGCTGTTATTGTGCCGAGGACCCTGAGTCTTCACCAGGGAAAAGAAACCAAGTTTACAGTTTATGTATATACACACATATAATCTATTTAGGAATACTTTGTTCATGAATTCCTAGTTTCATATTTTTTGTTGCATTTTTATCTGGTCCCTAATGGCGTTTTTTCCCTCCCTTTGGACATTACACAGTTAAAAATAAAAGAAAACTACTTTAATTTGTTATGTATTTTGATATATTTTGATGACAAGTACTTTTCTTGGGTGTATTATTCTGGGTAAAAATCACCCGGCGATAGTGATGGTGTTACTAATTTTAGTGATAGTGTTTTAGGGTTAATGAAACATGAGATCATAGCCTACCTACACACAACCAAAACCAACTCTATTTATTCATTTATTTGACATTGAATATACCGATATGGGCAAAATGACGTCAGTTATTGTTGTCATTTTGGGTATTGGTAAATTTTCGGTTTATCGCCCAGCCCTAATGTGAGGCACGATGAATTGAGGAAGAGTAATATTTAATTCATTTTGATACAAACAACTGCAGAAAAAGGATATTTTTCCCACTTAGCTGATCTTGACGGATAAAAAAACTCCACAGGGTCTTTTCACTTGAAACAGCAAACCCAACAGATGGATCAATTTGCTCTTTTTTTCACTCTGAATATCTTTCTTAATTATTTCTGTTGGTAGAAGTAATGTGATCCAAACAGTCAACAATTTCAAACTGCAGACGAATATTTCACACTGCATCACCGTGCATCTCGCCATCTGTAAAATAACCCAATTACATGCAGCCCAGACTGTTAAACCAACAGGCAGCAGCGGCTCTACGCGTTGTCGAGAATCTCATTACTCCACATTAGCTCCTCTGTCTTGCAAATGCTATTGTTTAGCCGAACAAATTATTCATAGTCATGCATATTAGTCTTTCACAAATGCCCATAATGGCAAAACAAATTAGGCTATTAGAGCAGTTTTAGAGGGCATTACAGAGGATGTAAATGGGTTAATGTATCATATCCTGCTGGGAGACCCTGAGCACTAACCTCTGTGACTCTCTGTTGAGTGCTTTGACTTTAGACCTCTGTGACAATGGCAGAAATAAATCACAGTGTGAATTCTGAGGAGAGATTTATCGGGAGGAGTGGAATGTGTCACCGGGTGTGAGGATTGTGTGACCTAACAGACACAACATCAGTCAAGAGGTCACCGTTTCTCTTCCTCGTCTATCTGAGCGAGGACAGACGACGATAGCGGGTTTGTTATGGTGCGTTCAGGGTTTCGAAATGAAGCGCAGGACATGAACTACAGGAGGTTGTTTGGCTAAAACTAAAGCTTGAGTCGACTTTTATTTTTCTGTTTAGTATTTTTAAAACCAACTTTTGATTACTTTATGTGACAGGCTACCGCGGAGAGACGCGAAAAAAAGTGAAGCTTTCTTTGATGAGAACATTTGCTGCTATTTAATGAGGCAGTTTGTTTTTCATTCAGTTGAATATGCCACTTTTAATAGGATCAGCGCAGTGCATATGTAAAGCAGACTTTGATTCTGGTCAGTGTGGGCTTGTGTGTAAAGGAGATGTGACTTTTCTCCTGCAGCTTCTTTGATACGTTTTTATTTTTGCAGCTTGAGAACATTTCCTTCAGTCGTTCTTGTTTTTTTCTCATTCTCCATGGATCTTCTTCTTTTATGCACCAAGAATTTAACTATAATCATATGGGTTTTTCTCTGCAGTATGTATTCTTACTCCTAAAGTGACTGCAGATTAATCTTCATTAATCTTTATATTAAAGGCAGAGCTTGGAACGGATCCTCTCTGCACCTGTTGCATGGAAAACGGCCAAAGCGTGTCAAGAGTTTGCTTTGTACTTTTCCTGATATAAAACTGTCAGGCTGAGGCGTATTCTTATTCCTGGATGACAGAAGTCATGGTGACATTACGCTGCAGGCGCACAGGAGAGGTCATGAAGGCAGCACATCAGATAAAGACGGACACAGGGTCTGAGCACATCAAAGAGACGTGTGGGCTGCTCAGTGAAAGGAGCTACTAGGTAATTCAAGTCCTGCCGGGAGGACAAGCTGTCCCAAAGACACGTCCACCCGTGTCTTAAATTTCTGGAGCCTTTTTGAAATGGGAGACGAGCCAAGGCGAGTCAGTGGAGCTGCACTGGTTTTGCTGGTGGTGGATGCGCCGAGTGACTCTGAGCCAGCCACGGGGAAGGAAGAAGTGCTGAAAGACTAAGAAAATAAACAAGCCAATGAAAACAAACAGCAGACGGAGATTTAGCGTTAGAGGAAGAGAATTAACAGAGGTGTTTTTTTCCCCTCTGTGACACAAAGCAGACGGTCGTTTAACTCCTTCACCCACCATTAAAAAAAAAAAAAAGGCAGCGGCTCTCTTTCTTCACGGATTAGTGATGCATTGAGAGTGGAAACCGAGGCTGGAGCAGAGCAGGGTTGATTTTGGAGAGAAGATAAGGATGACCCGTTTGAGCAGGACGGTAGAGGAAGGAGAAAACAGACGGCGCATATGACACCCCCACAGTGCTGATTAACCCCACCGTATGACACAACAGGCTCCATGAAAACACCCGAGCGAGCACAGCGGAGTAGTTACATCTGACATTTTAAAGCTTCCATCCATTATTGTACTTTCTGGATTTGGTTTTCAGTAGGAAATAATCAAATTTGGGATGTGGCATGGAAACCACCACTAGTCCCTATTACAGTTTGGAACTTGAGCCCGGTGTAAGCATCTTTCTCACATGGCAGCGCAGCAAAATTATGGTTTGAGCGTTATTATGGTTCAAAAACTGCTGACATTTACTCTCATTGGAAGCACTGGGGCTGGAAAATAAAACCACATTAAAGAACAAGATAATACTTAACCATTATGCGACCGCATGCTTATGGTTTCAGGCTGAGGTTCTCCCTCCTGAAAATGAAAGTGAATCTTTGTGTCCATGTCTTTTTCTCTGTTGCACTGATTTGTGTTTTAAAAACGATTTATTTGTCATGTCATCTACAGCGAAAACTAACATCTGCTGGTCCTGCTGAAGTGTAAAAGGGTCCATTGTACTGTGAGGCCTGGAGCAAAATTTAGTAGTCTTTTTACAAAGAAAGGAAAAAAAAAAACTGTGAGGAAAAAAGAAAAAAAGGGGGAAAAGTGAAGCCAAAGTCTGAAAAAAGAAAAAACACTAATCCTCCAACCCCCTGTTCCCAGTTTCCTCTGAGGCCGGGCTCTTCCAGGGCTCATTCAGCAACAACTATACAATGTTTTCCTTCCCCTTTGCAGATTACATCAGCACATAAGAGTCTATTTGCTCCAACTACAAACAGTTTCACTATCTAACAAAAGCGCATTTAACTGCGGCCTGCTGTGAGGGGCCCTGCTGTTCACAGATCAGCGTGATGCCAGACACATATGGACCAACACACAAAAAATAACCTGATAAGACACAGGTCAGTGCAAGAGCTTCTTAAAAACTTTCATTCTTGCATGTATTGCAGATGTATTGGACATAATTTCAACTTGAATCCACTAATCTGGACCACATACAAAGCTTGCAAACATTATAATAAACGCCTGGATGTGGGCTAATGAGGGATTAGATGTGGCTTTCATAAAGAAACCCTGGGTTATGTGGCCTGTTTTAGCGTTAATAGCAGAGAGGACAAATGGAACAAAGAAAACATATTGTAATCCAAAGAGCTGAGGGGAAACGGGGACTGTGGATTATTGGCAAGTCATGGGATCTCTCAAACTTTGCCTCAGCAGTATAACTTAAGCTTATTTGATGGGTTAAAGATTCAGATGTCACATGATAGAGTCTTTGGGGGGGAAAACTGGCTCTGCGTGTGTGTGTGGAGGGAAACGATAAGCAGATCAGCCACTCCTCAGAGGGATTACACCTCGTTTCAGAGGGCAAAGACTCCGAGAGGGAACTGCTGAGACAGAGAGGGAAAAGGTGTGTGGCAGGAGTTGGCTCTAAAGTCGTGAAATATTCAGCATGAAAACAAACTGTTGCCGTCATAGTTAACAGAAGCAGAAGATATCACCACTTCAACACGAAATGACTAAATGAAGTCTGACTTAATCACCACCTACAGAGCAGCTCCTGCTTTTCCACCCTGAGTGATTTAATAGTCAGATATCTCTCATTTACTGTAAGAGAAAATACGCAGTGATGAATTATTCTGAAAATTCAAAGTGCACCAGAATCTCTGATCCGTGTGTTCACAGATGAAAACCCTGCTGCACTCCTTCATATTCCACTCATGCTAACTCTGAAGTGAGAAAGTCTAAATGATGACCCAGAAATATCAAACCTGACCATCAGCTTCAATCAGCGATCAATAACTAATGAGGGATTACATCAGCATCCTTTAGCACTATGTGGATATCAACAGTCGTCATGACAACAAGCTGTTTAAGAGCTGCTGGATGGTGATTGCCGCCTCTGTCTGAATCCTATCGAGCAGCCTCTCCGGTGAACCGTGTATTTCTTTGCCCAACACTCGCTCTGGACATCAAAGCTCCTTCTTTTAAAGACTTTTCACTTTTTGTTCTGCTCGCTGTGTGGCCTTTGGTTCGAGGTTTAAAGGACAACACTGTTGAAAAACAGACTTCACACATTTGAAGTCGTCAGTCTTGGTATTATGAGTTGACTTAAGACCTTTTGGCTGACCAAAGAGTGACTTTTTTTATAAGCTTTCCTTTGTCTGATATGTTACTGGCATTAGAGAGGGATTTAGTTTTTTTTTCCTGTCTTTTTTAATGAAGGCTGAATATTCCAGGAAATCTTACATATTCATTTTCTTTAGCCTGGTACTCAGAGCAGGGCTGGACAGTGCGACCATTTCACTCGCATAGATGTGTGCGAATTGTAAAATGTATAGGGCACATGTACGCTTAAAAAAATTAGCCGAGGCAACAAATATTTTTTCATGTAAATACCGCGGTGAAGTTAGTTTTAGGTTGGATATCTGACGGACATTCACTGCGGATCTACCGGTGTCTTCTCACTCTCCGTAACCGGGAATAGCAACAGCAGCGTGGTTAAATCTACTCGGCACCCTCGCTGTCAACGCAAGGGACCGTCAATAAATTATTGGTCAATGTTCTCAAAAAAAGGCTGTTTTCTCTAAATGGCTTCCATGTCATGTGACCAATTGACCTAAAATTGATTTCAAATAATAGTTATAAGGTCAGAAAATAAGACACATCTCTTTATTTCCCTACTTCCTCCTCTAAAAAGTTTTGTTTTAAATTTAAAGGCAAATTTTTAACATTTTCTTCAATAGCTTCCACGTCACGTGTCCAAAAGACCTAAAATTGATTTAAAATAATAGTACTTATGTCAACCAATAAGACAAACATTATTTGATCAATCTTTATTGTGCCCCTAAAGTTCTTTGTGAGCTCCTTACTTTATCAACTTAGGAGCACATGTGCTACTAAGTTGAGAAAAGTTAGAGTCAAGCCCTGCTGAGTATCTAACTCTGTTTGTATAAGACAGTGTTTGTTCATAGTTTTGAAGGAAACAATGAGCAGACAGTTCAGAGATATTACTGTAAAAAAAAAGAAAGTATATTAATTTTGCCTGTTTTCATCATTCATGGTCTCTTAGATCACTGTCACTCCTGAGACAATGACTGAGGGGTGAGCGGGTGGCTTTAAGCTTTCCCAGACCCGACCTCAGCCCAGGACTACGTGTTTATGAGGTGCTTTTGAAATGTAATGATGTCACACGGGCTGTGAAAACATGTTAGGCGGCCGCTCTGCTGGCTGTAATACGAATATTAGTGATGAAGACGGAGCGGCGAGGAGAAGTGCTGAAGGGGCAGGCAGCGAGGATGTGAGTGTGAGGCCTTTTATCACTCCCCCCTAACAGGATAGGTGTGTTATCTACTGCAGTAAGACTGAATTTTTACTGAATAATCTTAGAGTTTCAATGAGTGGGTATGAGTGCAGCTAAAAACACACCTGCAAACAATCAACTTTCACCGTCTACCAGCTCTACAATGCCCTGTGTGTGTGTTCTGGGGGTGCATAAACATTTTCTGCTCATTTAACTATTTTCTCTAAGACACAAAGCGACACTCATCTTCCTCACTCCTGGGTCAGAGCTGTTTAAAGAGTAAACACTCGTGCATCACTGCATGTCTCGGTGCGATCACCAAACTAACACAGCTGTTTAGGACAGGCCGGGTGAATGTTGCTGAAGGTGGCTATAGGTTAGGATAGTAGCTATAGGTGTCAAGTATATAACTGTAAAGTATGAGGCTGCATCCCTGCAGGTCCTGGACCCATTTGTTTCTAATATGTGATCCTGAGGGAACGTGCAAGATGATAAATGCTCTTCCTCTAACTGACATATTTATGATGAACATTTTAAACAGTGGGTCATCGCAGGGCTGTAACGTGCTCTTCTCAACCCCTGCAAGTGTGGTGTGAGTTAAAAATCACCGCCGGGGGAATAAAACCATTTCACTACTCCCATCTTGATAGTGTTGGACACAGAATGTAGAGTTCCTGTAGTAAAAGCTTCTTTTCACACCTAGTCCGTAAAAACAGAAACAAACTGAAAAGAAGGGGGTCGGGTCATGAGCAAAGAAAGCTCTTTGTCTGGTCCAACAGAAAGACCGTTCACCACTTATGAACTTTAACTACTTTGATGCGCAACAAAAGCATCTCTGTAGAGCCAAACATTTGAGATACCAAATTTAGTATCTGACTGATGGTTCACAAAGTTTTATTTAGAATAGTTCCTTTTAACATCCATGAACGTTGTGAACACACCGTAAGACAGGGCTGCCAAGTTTAAGAAAATGACAAGAGTGAGACTTAAGGTCCTTACACACTGGGAGCATTTTTTTTGTGCCATTAAATCGGACGTCAATATTTTTTTGAACCCGTTTCCTGGCAATACAAGCATTCACGTGAGTGACGTTTTCCCGTCCTGCGATATTGCGGCATTTATTTTTTCGTATCACAGTTGAATTTTCTAAAGTTTTGCATACCGTGTGTCCACTTCTGACCAATCAGATTTCATGTTGTTGCGACGTCAGATTCACCGGTATATTCAACATGGCCAACCCGCTGATTATTTACGTGTTGGAGAACAGAGTGATTTTTGATAAAAAACACAAAGATAACGACCTGAAGTACAACTTGTGGAGAGTCATAGCGTCGGATTTCTCATATGACGATGGTTTGTGTGCTTTAACAGTTTGCTAAACGTCTTTGTTTTAACTTTCATCTGTGCTAAGTAACTTTAGAGCTCGTAAGCTAACCTGTTCAGATACAACATACCACAGGGCTCTCATTTTCACTGTCTCAAACTCAGAGGTTCCTGTAAACATGGAGATATTAGGTCTCGGTTGCTTCCTTACATTTATGGATTATAGTTTAATGTGCTCAGCCCCCAACTCAGTACATGCTATCATGACAGACAGACATCTATTTTTGTATTTATTACTCATTTCAATAGCCCACGTTCTTCATATCTCACTTTTTTCTCTTAGGATGTTTAGTATATTTAGTCTGTATTTATTGTATATACTTAGTATTTTCAGTATTTTTAGCCTGTAATGTACTTACTTCTTCTTATATTTAATTTCATTTTTTTTTTATTTTGCTGCTGCTGTAACATGAATTTCCCAGTTTGGGATCATTAAAGTATCTATCTATCTATCTATCTATCTATCTATCTATCTATCTAAACACTAGTGTCTAATCAGAACTGAAAAACAGTCAGTCTGGTGTTATTCAGGCATAGAGCTTTATGATGAATAAAATACATATGGATTCAAAGTGTGCATCAGAGACATGCTATGAACTAAATGAATCCCGTCTGTGTTAACACGACCATCATCGTAATTATAGCAACTTTGCTAACACTCAGCAACACGAAACTCGACCGAACGTCTCAGAAACGTTATTAAGACTCTTCATATTAATTTGTCTGAGAAAAGAAGCTTATACAAAGCTTGTGCCTCTATCAACCAGGTACTTTAGCAACTTAAAGAGATCGTTATTAGCGATCGTGTGTCTTGAATTCACACATAGTTATTACTGCTCATTGACTGATAACTTCCGGTAATTTTCCTTTCAAAATAAAGGCATCGGTATCTGTTATATTGTTCACAGGAGGTGAAATAATAGCAAATAAGAATTACACCAAGATAAGATTGGTGATATGAACATAATGTGGGTCATTTACACCAAATATTAACACTGTCACAACATTTAAAATGTACACAAACAGAGACTAAACGTGAAAAGATGTCTTTGCTCAGGCAGGAATGACCCAGGACCCTCACAGTCTGTGACCATATGGAGTTCCCCCCACAGCAGACCCCCTAACTCTCAGGGATTAGGACCCTTCCTATCACACAAGCCTACTGGAGGGAGACCAAAGGAGGAATTGAGTTCCCCGCCAATCTAATCAAAGGGGAAATTAAAGACTATTCCTGATTTTCTGCTGATTATTTTAAAGTCAGATAAAGAGGACACAACAATTGAAGCAAGATGTTGATTTTCCCACATGTTGTTAGAGTTTTCGCTCGCTCTGTGTCCACTTACATTAAGTTCAAGTTATTTCTTCGAGTCAATTCTCTCCCCGATGCCTCGATCAGATTTCAGACCTACACACACTCACAAGATGAACATCTTATGAAACACTCTTGCACTCAGAAAACTACAAATTCACTCATACGGGCAGACTGCCCAGGAATTCTGGTCATAGCGGTACGCAGCAAGCAGATGATTTGTCTTTGAGCTGTTGTTCTCCTCCCTCCAGAGAGCTCCGACTAAAAGCGGCCTGGGACTCAACACTGGTACAAAATGAAGATTGTCAAAACAGGCCAAAGGAATGAGGATCTAATTCATTCATTTCTTCCCCCCTTGTAAGTGTCTAAATGTCCCTGCTGACTGACTACAGAGCTGCAAAGAGAGAGCACATTCCCCAGCTGTGACTAACTTTTCCCTTTTTACTATTAAGGGGAAGAAATAAAGAAAACATTGTATTTTCTAAACAGTGAAATGGAAATCAAGCAGTGCAAATAAGTCCACCGTTCAGACCAAACAAAATCTTTATCTGGAACGAGGTAAATTTGGTGATCCAGATGCAGTTTAAGGCTCAGAGATTTCCAGATCTCTGTAAGCCGAGGGGGGAAACCTGAAACCAGGAACTCTTGTGGGGGGAGAAGAAAAACAAAAGACCTGGATGGAAAAACGCTGAGAAGAAAGAGGCGGTTTTCATGCTTTACCAAATTTCAGATGAGATTTAAAAACATCAAAAAGGATCTTAAATAACAGACATTTAAAGAAACCCATTAACTGTGTTGGCCTCAGTGAAAACAGGAGAATTTTCTTTAATAAGATTCACATTTGTAAATCCAAGTATGACAAAGCAATTCAAGATTTTACGATTTCATGTTGGCTCCTCGAAATTCAGATCTGGCCTTACCCCCCTCTGTTTTTCTTTCCAAAGCTAAATGACACTGATGCAATTTTACGGATATTAAATTTTTTGAATCAACCAGTGTTTGATGTCACAGAAACATGCTGTGAAATCTTAACACCGTCACGTACTGCCTGTCGCCATGCCGGGGCTCTAAAATAAGCCTGCAGTGGTTGTCCTGTTAGAGGGACTTTCTTCTGCTGGCTGTAGACACAAAGCTCAAACAGTGTCTGACACATCCTCATTGACATGATGAGCCTTTGGGAATATTTAGCTATGCCATGTCGGGAAGTGTTGTCAGTGATTGAAAGATGAGGCTGAGCATGAGGACTGACAGGTGTGGGCATTTCCTTTCTGTGTGCGTGGACACTAAGTTGTCTTCAACGCCACCCCAACACCACTCAAAGTGTTTGTTGGTTGAATCTTATTGAAAAGCTATGTTGCTGTCTTTTTGTTTGGCTCAATATCAAACCCCAAAAAGGACACAACTACAAGGGGGCGGAGTCATGGAGTCCCTAGCTGTTGGCCAAACATCAAAACATTTCCACTCTTCTACCTTCATGATCCCAGAGAATTTTCTACCATTTTTGACTCGAATCACTGGATGGTAGGAACTTTCTCAATGGACCAATGTCATGTTTGCTAAGACATATATTAAAATGAAAGGTATAAAGGTAAGAAAATGCTCAAATAAAGGGGTCACAGTAGGGCTGTGCGTTATGGCCTCAAATCAATATCACGATGTATTGAGCAGTTCACCTCGATAACAATAAATGGACGATAACTACTCCACAAGCTGCTCACCCCCTCCCACATTAACTTCGTCTACTTCAGCTGCTACAACTTTTGAACCGTCCTCCATCTCCTCACCTGTCTTTCCCTCTTTGTTACGGACTAGATGGGGTGGAGTCACGTCTCTGACGTAGGACAGCATCTTAAAGGGACATGAGACCATAGCCTACCTACACACATCCAAGTATTTGTTGGTTGAATCTTATTCGGATGGTCATTAAAAAGCTTTAAAACTCATGTTTCATTGTGAATTCATTCAATTGTGAATTTCTTGCCATTTTAACTAGAATAACTGGATGGTAGGAATTTCTCCAACAGACTAATGTCATGTTTGCTTCGACAAATATTAAAATGAAAGGTATAAAGGTAAGAAAATGCTCAAGGAATGGTCAAATCTTCACAAAAAAGGGGTCACAGAGTCTGCTGGTCGACAAAACATTTATAAAAATGCTGCCAAACCATGCCGTGCAAAAAAATGCAACCTGACTTCTGCGTTTATTTGTATCCAGGTAGTAGAGTATAGCAGCGTTAATGCAATTACCAGCAACTAGAGACAAAAAAGCAACAGAAACAATGTGGTTGCCATGGTAGCAGGTATGCACTATTGTTGTCTTAAGATCTTATTTGCTGTGCAGGTTCGTGGTTGTCACATAGTGGCCTTCTGTGTGACCGATCCTGCACAGATAATAGGAAGAAGTCTTTGATTTGAAGTAATCTCAGGTAATAGTTTCCAGAGGGTCGTTCAGCACTGAGGAATGCAAACTAATCTGGTCACATTGGTTCTGCTGAAGCGCTCAGAAGAGCCCGCAGGGTCGTCACCCCTCAGAATACCAGCCCACATTTACAGCCCTCTTCAATAGAAAGTTAAAGGAAGAGGACTGAAAGGAGGATGGAGAGAGGGAGGGGCCCTCACATCATCAGGAGAGCCAGAGCTACTGTTCACATGTGCAGTGAATGCTCTGAACTGTGCCATAATCTGCAGGTGTGAGCTGTTGACGCCTGAATGGAAATGAAGGTTCAATCACTTCACTGAATTCTCGTGTCGCGTTAAAAGCAAAGTTTTGAAGACAACTAGAAAAAAAAAAGAGAAAAAAACTCTGCGGCTGTTTTGCAGAGTCAGAACCTGTTACTTTTACCAACAAGTGTTATTCAAAAATTCCTGTTTTGATCAGGCCTCGAAGTGTTTGAATTTTTTATAACTGTAAAACGAAGGGAAGACAACACCTCAGCTGCCAGTAAAACCCGGCTGCAGAGATCTAAGCCAACAAATTAAGAACGCCTGGCGTACTTTGTGAAATCCTGTTAGGGAAACTGTTGACGGGCAGGGACTTTGTCACTCTGCAGACAATGGCTTCACTCTGCTCCCGGGTCATTTTCATTAATTAAGCAACGTGGCGCTCAAAAGCTAATCCAATCACACAGCAGTCTTTTCTCACGGTTTCAGGCCTGGCTTCTGGATGACTCCTGTCGACCTGCTGCTCGACACCACAAGCGACACAACAATGTGGACTGCCAAACGGAGCCAGGACCGAGGACGGGGATGTGGAGAGAGCGACGGAAATAACAAACCGCCCATACATAAACCAACAAAGCCGAGGCTCAACAGTTGCTGAAATTCCCTGCATTATGTCGAGATCTTATTTAATGCTTCACGGCACTGTCTTTGAGCGAGAGATGAAAGAACAAATACCTGCTTTCATGTTTTCCTGTTTACTCTGAGGTTACCTCTGTATGTTGACAGCAGCTGTTGCAGGTTAGTGGGTTCACAGATGCCTTGTATTATGTTGATCTTTTTTTTTTTTTTGAGGTAGCATTGTGTTTTAAGCTTTATTGAAGTATCTTGACCTCTCTCTGCTCCTCTGCTAGAGTCATTTGGATGTCCAGGCACGCCTTCAGGTCTGTCGATTAGTTTCCCATCTCCCTTAAGCAGAGTGACCTTTTCAGCTTGTTGTACGACTTCCTTTATAATCCTCCTGATCTGCTAAAGGTTTCCTAATTTGTCATGCAATTTAAGATGGAAAAAACAAATTTAAAAGATGTTCTTTTATTCTATTATATTTCCATGTGTTTAGGCACAAACCCGCCTCCAAGTTCAGGAGCATCCGTCTCCATTATTTTCTCTTAACCTTTGAAGATCTCAGCGTCTCGAGCTTCAGTATCTTCCTCTATATTTCTTCAGATGAAAAAACAAACAAAGTCAACATGCCAGGCTTTATTCTTCAGATTTAAAATAAATACTGTTTTCCATTTTTTTTTTAAATGTCAGAGCTGAGACCAGCAGTCTCCTTGGTTATTGGCTCAGACTCTCAGTTTGTCTGTCAGCTTTTTAGTGGTTTGTCTTTTGAAGCCCATGCTTCAATTCTCTGCCTGACTTTATGTGCCAATAGACCATTCACTGCGAACAGTTTGAAATATCCCTTCAGACAAAGAGCCACAGGCCTCCTCAGACTAATGGATCCAACAGATCGTACCAGACGCAGATGAAAAGACTAAACTCAAACTGGAGAGAGCAGCAGAGTACAAACACTTGGGGGGGCGACCCTCTCACGGTTGGATTTATTTTTGTTCCCATTTAGAGAAACCTGATTTGATTGAGAATCCTGGAGAACAACTCTGAGCAGGGAGTTTGTCTGGATTTACTTGTATTTCAAACTATGCAGATTGCTGAGCTGACTGATGGACGTCCTCTGACCCTGGACTCTCGGCTTTACTAACCCCGAGGATCTGTAAGAAGTGAGTCGGACTGTTTTTCTCACAACATCGTACAATATTTTCATTCCATTTACTTTCAAGTTATGCCTACATTTGCACTCCGCCGGGGCCATAAGTTAATCCAGCTTGATCTTCTGCTGCCATGCCTCATATCCTACAGATTTTGGTTCGGGGTTGAAAAAAAATCAATTAAGAACAGCTGCCAGAAACTGCTGCGCTGACCCGACTGTATACGCTGTAGTTGTCTTATCATAACTAAAACACTACGAGAAGTACGATTGTTCAAAAACATATCCAGACAAAAGGAATTAATGGAAATACATCTAAAGATCAATCAACTACAAGGGATCTAGGATGAGATGAATGTGGTAATGAAGGATGCATTTGTTTTCAATCAGGGGAACAACTGCAGGATTAAACCCGGGGGCCGCTGCAGACAGAGTCAATGAGGGGAGATCTACATCTAACAGCTCTATTTTTACAACTGTCGGCTTCAGATTAGTGCAGCTGACCGACGACATGCGGGTGTTGATGGAATCCATGCTAAAGCTGGCAACCCAAGTGTGCCGCCCTCACTCGGCCCGGTCACAGATATCCCACCTGGGCATTGTGTAACCATGGGCTGAGACAGCTGCTGCGAGAAGCCAACCTCAGCGGTCAGCCAGAGGAGGTGTGCATGATTGCCCACAACACTTTCTCCTTTTCTACTTAAAACAGGAGAGAAATCAGCCATGGGAACGATTGGATTTCACAGCAGTGGTAGTGTGGGATTGGGTGGGCCTTCTCCTCAGAACCAAACAAGTCCTCTTTCATGCCAGTTATGAAAATCACATTCTTCAGTTTCACATGCTATACGTTCAATGCCTCGGCGAGGAATGCGGGACGTCCCTCGTCTTTTGTTGAGAACAAATTAGGCAGCTAATTTTCCTCCAGTGAAGCATCGCCTCCCCCGTCTCGTCCAAGAAAATGTTTGGTTTATTGTTATAAATGGAACTTAATTTTTCCCAGAGAAGAAAATCTGCTCCTTCATCTGATGAGCTCAAGCAAGCCTGAAAGCTAATTGAGCTTTGGGACGGGGAGGGAAACTCCAGTGGGGTGTAATATGAGAAACAGCACAAAGCACGACTGAAATCAATTAGAAATGACACCACAGAAATTACGTATACTGGAGATATTCGATTTCTAACCCACTGAAGATGCACCACCCCTCAGTCAGACTGCCCGGTGCATCCTGCAGATAAGGATAACATGCAAACCTCGCTGCAGTTGCACCTCGCAGACTGATAGGCTGGCACAGTGTGGAGTTATGAGGTGGAAATATGTACTTATTTAACCTTTTAGAAGTATACAGTTTAATAAAAAAAAGAGGAGGATGGATCATGCAGAGCAACAGGAGGAATGTGCAGAAGCTTGGAAGGCAGCATCCCTCCGTTCTGGCTCAGCTACTGGCACTCCAGGGCAATCTTGGAAAAATATTGTTCTCCAGTCTCGCCAGATTTCAGCAGCCGGCTGGACTAACTCAATGTGACATCGACTTCTAATGTAAAAAAGCAAAAAAAAGCCCACCACCAACACACTAATGTAAAGACCCTCTCTTCTTCTCAGACAAAAACACACTCAAAAACTCTAAAGACCCGCAGAGTCAACCCACTGTTCTCTGAGCCGCCGGGGGACCCTGCAGGAACACAGAGGTGAGGGGGGCCGCAGACCTCTCCTTCTCCGTTACATCCCAGAGGAGTCCTGCGCTACTTCCATTTCACAAACAACCTAAGGACCGTCGCGCAGGATGCGGGAAGTGGAGGAGCCAGATTCCAAAACAGAGAAACAGATATAAGCCTGAGGTTGGCAGCAGACCAGGTTTACATCTGAGCGGGTGACCCCTGACAAGAGGAAGAGAGGGGGAATGGCTCTGGGAGAAAGTGGAGATGTCAGGCTGAATGGAGGGTGCAGCTCTTCTGCCCAATAATGGTGAACCAGCGAAATCAGTTTCCATAAAGTGCGACCAAAGTCGGAGAAAGTTCAGGACTAGCTGTACCCGGTCGAACAAAAACCGCTGTATAATCATTAACCGTTCATTCAGTGAGAGCAGCAGACATCTCTGTGGTGCAATAATGAAACACTGAGTGCCTACAGCAAAGTCCCCAAAGGCCCCGGAGATACATGGGGTTACGTGATACCCAATCAGAGCGGAGTCATAACACACAAGCTTATACAGAAAGATGAGAAGCAGCTGCTCCCTGCCGGCTACTAGCTGGGCCTCCCTTCACCCTGTTAGACCACTCTCAGTTATGTAAATGAGAAAACAAAGAGGACCGAAAAGGTCAATCAATTTAGTCAGCATGAAGTTCTGTGCAGGTTTTCAGAGTCAGTGTAAAAGTTAACCCCTGCAAGCAAATCATACAACCGATAACCCAAAACATCGACCTTTAATAACCCCGGCTGTAAGATGTCACCTTAAAGGTTGACAGTGTCGTCTGATTCAAACACATGCAGAAGGATCACATGGGCCTCCACCTTCATGTTTTGCACCTGATCAAAAATGCAGCGAAGCGTCTGTCATGTCGGTTAAGTTTCCTTTATTTCTGCACATTCATGTTTTGTTTCATGTCTTTAGAAATAAAGTTTTATTATTGTATGTCCTGTTTTATTTTGTAGTTCACTAACCCTTGTTCCTGTTCTCTGAATTTGTTCCTGTCTTGTCACACCTGCCGCATGATTGTGTCTCCCCACCTGTTTCCCATCACCCTCATTACCTCTTGTATTTAAAGTGGGGTACACACATGAAGATAAAAAATCAGGCATTGAACAGTTTTGATCGTACTCTGTGTGCTCCGATAATCTCAACACAGCACACCACACACAAAACGATTCTGTTCCACCACCGATCTAGAATCTAGTCCGCCAAGACAGAAATCTCGTGTGATAAAACGTGAACTAACTAAAACCAAGTAGAAGAAACATGGCAACAACCAAAACACAAGACGCAACATGGAAGAGGACACACAAGAGGAGGGATGATGGTGGTTTCCATCCCGTACTCCCGTAGGCCACGCTTTATTTCTATTTGCTTTATTTGGTTCTTGTTCCTCAGTCAGCTACCTTCTTGATCGGCCACATTCCATTTCATGTGACAATTCACAGGGTCATGACTCCGGAGTCGTTGGCTTTCCCAACACATGTCAAAATTTTTGGTCGTAAATAATGAACAAGTTTAATATTTACGATTGTCGGCCCAGACCCGTTTAGGAACCAATAATCGGGACAAATTCACAGACCACTGGATTATCTTATAGGATAATCTTAGAAGACATAAAATAATCTTCAGATTGTCATCCTTGGTTGGGAGGGAAAATCGGGACAAAAACAGTCCGATTATTTTTATGTGTACCCCACTTAACCCTGTGTGTCTCACCGTCTCATCGCCAGTTTGTTGCACTTCTTGTCTTGTTCCAGCATTGTTCATAGTTACTGCCAAACTTGGTTGGGAGGCCTGCCCTTTTGGAAAGGAGTAAGCAGTTTTTTTCTAAAACATAGAGGTTTGCACACAGTTTTTTAAATGTCCGTTTATGAAAATAGCCGGGTACGTGTAAACATAGTCCAAGTATGTCATCGTCATGATTGTGCGTGCGGCAGCATAGAGTCAATGCTGCAGTGTGAACCAGGCCTATTAAAGATGCAACAACATCCAAACAGCTGTGCAATTTCAGGGCAAGACAGAGACGCCAGTGTAACATCTTCAAGTGCTGCTGATAATAAAACAACAAAGTTTGTTTCTGAATCACCAAATATTTTATCTGACGTGACTACAAAAGCCTAAATCAGATTTGATAGAGGATCATCCAAACATCCAGGGATTACTGTTCGCTTTGTAAGGAGGGAAGAAAGGATTTAGTTGTTTCTACATGCTCTTCTTTTCACTTTCTAATGACTTCAGACGGTTCACCGAAAGCTGCGGATAAGTCAGAGTAACCTGAGCTTTTTCTGAATCAGCACAAAGCACAGACAGTACTGAAGATACTCCACACTAGTCCTGCCTGACAGCGGATATAATTCCATTAACTCCGGTTTTCACTCTGAGACATCTTGGTGATATGATAACATATAATCCAACCATGCTGCTTTACGTCTTCTGAGTAAATCTTGATAATCAAATTGATTCAAAGTTGGGTAATAAAGGGCAGCACACTGCAAGGTGCACACAGAAAACTGTAGATTGAGAACATTTTGCTCCGACAGTCGAAGATTACAGCTGTCCTGTCTCCGTCAGAGACACAGTTTGACCCCACAGCTCTCACTCTCCACAGGAGATGTTCAATAACGTCGAAAAAACTCTGTTGGCTTGTGTTTCCAGCAGCTGTGACTGTCTCCCTCTCTCCTTTTCTTTCATCCCTCCCTCCCTCTCCTCTCTCTGTACCCCCGTATTATCTTTTTCACTGCATAACTTTATCTCACAGAGGGCCAAAAATGAATGGAGCAGGAGGTTCATTCACTTCTTCGTCTGACTCATTTAAACCGGCTTTATTTAGACACCTCTCATTTCCTCTTCTGTATAGACATCCTGCATCCCATAATCCCACAATGCAGCTCTCTATTGACCTTAGTGAGAGGACGTGCCGCAGAGTGGACATGCGTGCCTGATGCTAAGGTTAGGGGTTTTTGAGGGGGCTGCATGCTCCCAGACTGCTTTTCATCTGTTTAGACAGACAGTTAATATTACCTTTTATCCCAGGTCTTACTCTTTAAAGTTGAGCGGATATGATTTGTTTTCTGTGTGGGAGATAGCTGAAGGCTGTGCTGTCCTTCTTTGACCCGCTGTGCTGCTATCATCAGCCCACAGGCTCAGTTCGAATTGAAAAGCATGGAACCAGTTAGCTGCGTAGGTAAATACGGCTGCACTGTGTGATGACTCCGAGAGAAATTCATCAAAAGGAAATACGCTCTATCCCCTGAAAGGAACACATATGGTGCGTGTAATCTGGCAACCATCACTAATATTGCATGCACACTGCAGCTTTTTTTTCCCCCCCTGTGTTTGCATTGGAGTTGAAATCTGCGTCTCATTTTCTTCATCAAACCCAAACACACTGCGGTGACAGTCTCATGAAACATGAAAGTGGAGGCAATTACAACCAATCTGTGGTGTTATGAATGAAATCAGCACATTTACCCATAATTCCACTGTTATCTTAAGAGTAATGAGCGGCAGCGAGTTTCAAAAAGAGGAATCGGTTTTGTTTACAGCGCGGCGTTCATCTTCAGATAAAAACATGAAGTTTTGTATCGGTGTCCCAGTTTCCCTGTTCTTCCCTACAGCAATTATCCACAAATTAACTTGAAACTGCTATTTTTCCATTTTAAAAGAACATTAAGCCTCGCTGCGTCCACGGCCTCTTTCACATTTCATTGCTGCTCATGACAGTGGCTGATGGATTGGGCTTTTGGTGACTGAAACAGCTCACGGCGAGATTGCTACCAGATGAAAAGGTCTCAGAGTGCAAACTGGGCGGTTGTGAATAAACTATAACTCTGCACACTCAATGTTATCATGGACCTCTTTAAATGAAGAACACCGGTGTGACGCGGACAGACATGAAACTTAATTCGCTCCAAATGGTCTGATAATGAGACTTTTCGATGAGAAACACTCGACTGGATGAAAGTCGTCTTCTTGTTTGCACATTTCCTGGAATTTGAACTATTTTGAGGTTAACCTCTTTCAAAGACAATTGAAAAATTAAAATGAAGCTTTACAAAAATGGTTTTCGGCAATGTCTTGTGGCTCCCATCTGGTCTTGGTTGTTGGGCGATAAAACTTGAGGGAGGATGGAAAATACATGTTTGGAGCTTGCCAAGGAAACACATAAAAACCATCAGGATAGCGCTGAGGTAGGGCTGCACGATTTTGGCCAAAAATTAAATCCAGAAATTCTTCACTGAAAACTTGATTTTCGATTTTGATTTGGTATTTAGTGACAACTTCACTAAACTTCACTTTAATAATAAAAGTTTTTCTATCATTTCACAAAAGGAATCCATTGAAAACGATGTGGCACTGCCAAGGAAATGTACAAAGGACAGAAGAAGAGTACAGAGCATTTTTATAAAGGTTGTGAACCTATGACACATGATCGTTTCCAGAGATGAAGATAGACATCCACACGGAGATGAAATGGTCTTGGTTTACGGATTTATGCACACTCTAATGAAACGCCAATATGACAAACAACTTTTGCGTTTACTCCTGAATTTGTTTCCATGTGGACAGGTTGATACCGCCTCCAGACAGACTTTGCAGCGGGGAGTGGTTTTTCTTTATCCAACACTGCAAAGTCGTACCAATTCCACATGACTGACTTGCGCTTGTCCTATTTAGCCACAAAATTATCGCCTTCTTTTGCAAACGCCATGTTTGTTTACACTGGTGCGTATGAGAACTGGCCTGGAGGCGCAAGACACGATGGAGAGGAAAATCGATTTGACGATTTTAGTTTTTTTGACATCGTCATCATTGAATAATCTGATCATGATTCAAAGTTGTTGAATTGTGAGTCACAAATTTACTCTTAAATTTCCAACTTAGCAGCAAAAATCTCTCTTTAGTAACCGATGATTAGTTTCACTGAGAGTACGTCCATGTTTTATAACGTCAAAGTGCTCTACTATCCGGAACACAAACAGAATTATCTCATCCTCACCTCCATGTAACATGCTTGACTAAATTATACGCTCCACTTTAGTAGGAAAAGTTAAGAGAACTCACAACGAACCAGACTGCTTAGACTCACAGAAACTTACCAACTTTGTGACAAATTTCAAACTCTGTGGTTAAACGAAAATAAATTTTAGTTCCTGGCAATCTAATGTCATGCTGTTTTTATTTCCCAGAGGAGGAGAGGGAAACGCATGAAGGAAAACAACACCATAAAACACCAATCCAATTGTTCATAACTCATGTGCTCTTCTTTGACTGTAAAGTGACAAATCGAAAGAAGAAAAATACTTCTTTTAAGATACAAGTAATAAAATCCAGATGTTATTTTTCTCAATTGTGGGAAACTATGTGTGTACGGTCTCCCTAATCTGCCTTAAAATGTAAAATTTAAACAGTAATGAAAATATTTTGCTTCTGAATATCCTCCAGATGAGCGATCGTGTTGAGCTGTCTCAATCTCTCCTCGTCTTTGTCTGTCAGTATTTCCCAGCTGACAGAGTAGACTTCCTGACAGATCAGAATCAGTTGTTTTTCTATGAAAACGAAGGCGGATTTACTTTTAATAAGTCTTGGCATCGTACACACGGCTTAAAAAATGGACATCCCTCGCCTCTCCTCAGACATCACCGACTGATAAGGAGTCTGGATAGTTATCTGATTTTAAAAGTCAGCTCGATTTTAGATGCATCATTAAGTGTTTCATATTCCACTATTTTCCATTAAGTTTCTGCAGCCGCACACCGAGGAGTGAAGGCTGACAGGCAGTGATGGTAAACCAGTGGAATTTCACTCCCAGGTCAGTGACCTCCTGCCAGGTTCATGTCTGCTCCGTCTGCCCCGAAACCGTCTGTGATTGATGTGACCTCCACTGCAGCGTGCAGTCGGATCGCCTGTGCAGTTCAAATGTCAGGCTTCTGACTCAGTAGCATCCAGCTCCCACACCGAGTTAGAAACTTCACTGAACCAACAGAGCCATCGCAGAGACAACACAAAAAAACTCCAGCAGGTCTGATGTGACACCTGGCTGCTGGCTGCTCTGGAGCGTGAGGGGCTGCCCCGTCGTTCGGAGTGGGGGGAGGCGGTGCTTTGTTGTGTTACAAAGTCTTCAATGACGGGCCCCTCCACCACCAGACAGAGAGGGAGAGAGTCGGCCTGGCGCTGGAGCCTTGGCAGTCACAAAGATGTGTGGTGTGGCCCCTCCTTTTCACTGGGCCGGGATAAGCCCGGGAGTGTGGCGCCTCTGAGGTTAGTGGGCTGCCTCATCGAGACACCAGCTCCATCATGAGCCTATTTTTATTCCATTTTCTAGCTGGCTCTTTTTTCTCCTGCCCTGCTCAGACCTCTCTCACTCTTTTTTTCTGACTCTCTCCTTTTGCCTTTTCAGTCTATCTCTTTACCACTCTCCTGCTCTTCTGAGCTGCTGCTGCTGAGATGTGTTTTGGTCTGTGTGCATGACAGAGGAAAATAAAAAAAGGAAACCTACAGGGCTCGGTTTCTGGTTTGGATCCCAATATTCACTTGCCTTTTTCCCCCTTCTGTCTTACTTTATTTATTTAGCGCTGAGACTTGCCAAGATGGCAAGAGCTCCCTGTCACCGGTTTGGCCGTATCCATATATTCAAAGTGCTTTTGCCCTTTTTATCTGAATGTACAACAGAAGTATTGTAAACCAAATCTTTCCAGTTTCTCATGTTTGTCTCTCGCAAACATCGATTTAATCCCAACATGAAAGCTCCTCCATAGAGCTGCACAATTAACATGCAGGTTGCTGTCTTCCTCACACCGGGGCCAAGAATAAACAAGAAAGAAAGCTTGAGAAAGATTGAACAGTCTTTGTTGGTATTCTAATGCCCTAAATGTCAGGTTTGCACGTTTGAGCGAAGGATCACTGTATTTAACCAGCTAATCCAACACGCCGAGTCAATTCACGTACAATGTGGTTATGCTGGCACGTTAGCAGGGGGTCCTCAGCTTTCAGGAAGGAGTTTACCATCATAAAGCAGCTGTCCCACACCAACAGTCCCCACGGACACAGACAACGCCGTGTTTGTGCCATAAGCTATTCTATACGGGCGCATTGTGGCAACTCCTCCGGCATTTTTAACAGCCTGGCAACAGGAAGCTCGCTGTGAAAGGGGTCTAGACTGGTCCTCTAAAAGGGACCCTCTCTTCACATTAGCGCTCCGGGTTAAAAGAAACAACAAGGATACTGATGCACTTGTAAATAAAACCTTAATTAGGTCAGGATACCAGAACTTCAGATTCACTACAGTAACTTTGGTGTCAGGCGGGGTAAAAATAGGGGCAGAGCAACAATGATGGGAAAAACGAGAAAACTCTGGATGTGTTTATGTTTTTTTTTTCGCACTAGAGGCGAAGATTTTGAAGGGAAGAGGTGAAAGCAGAGTCAGAAGGTCCCTGGCAGCAGATAAAAGAATTATTTGATTTATTTAGAACCAATCTGCTTTCGTCTCAGCATCGCCCATCACTCTGCGAACAGCCAAACCTAAATGAGCAGAGAGAAAAGGAGTTTCACACAAAGTTTTCTATGAGCTGTCCTGGCTGAGTGGAATTCATTTGAATAATTTACTCGGCAGAATAGCATGAATATGTGGAAATGGTTGATCCATCAATCCGGTCTGCCACACAGCTATAAAGGCACTGTTTTTGTTTTTTCGATAACTAATGAGCTAAGAAACAGAAAACAAAGTCCTGAATCATATTAAAGAAGAAGTCCTCTTTGGTGAGCCTGGAAAGGATTTGAAAACCCTGAATTAGTTTGGTGCTGTATGAGCGAGCAATTTCCTCTCTCTCATCCACAGAGCGCACCGCTGCCACGGTGTTCATTTCCACTGGCTTCCTTCAGAGGCCACATCTGAAGATTCCCAGGCTTCAGCGAGGCTGGAAACTAACCTACTGTCCAGCGTGAACACGGCTATGAGCGTGTATCATGCCACTCTTTCCAGTCAGAGCGCTCTGACGTCACACCGTTAATCCATTTCACCATACCACCCAAGCCTCGGAGGGACCACACCAAATCTTGAACTCTCTCCTTTGAAAACAGGAGCGAGGGCCACTGGGATTGAATCCGCGGGGCTCATTTCATATACAGTAAACCAGTAACGTCAAACATCAGAGCGCCAAAGATCAGCCAATAGGAGGTCATATCGAACCGCCGCAGATGTTTGCCAGTGAGAAGACCTCATGAATGAAAAACTCTCCTACTACAAAATCTACTATGAGGCAGCAGAGTTTTTCTGAGGACATGAAACCTCAGCTCAGCGGCTGCTTGTTAAAGGGATATTCCAGCGTAAATTTAAATTATGGTCAAACACACCAACTTAGACGCCTCCTCGAGAGATGAATGTTGCAGACTGCTCTCTTCTCTAGTTATACCAACTTAAGTAACGAACACATCTACATCTCCACGTGCAAACCTCAACCAAAACGCAACTCTATAGCCACAAATAACAGCACCTAACTTCACCAACAGTACAAATTGGGTCCCAGCCATAGCACCAGCCATCAAACATCTTTTCAGCTTTGCTTAATTTCTCTTCCAGCAGCCGCTTGTTTGTGGGGGAGCCCTGACGAGTCGATCACAGAGACGGTAAGGCAGAAGAACTACCATGTCTGCAGTGCACATACAAGATACACAAGAACTCTGATTGCATTTCCATGAAGTAATGCTGCGTTCCAGTTGTACTTGGAAGTTGGAATTTCCAAGCTCTGAGTCTGAAATTTATCTGGAATGCCCCCCTGAAGTCGGATTTCCGACTCGGAGAGTTGGATGATCCTCACCCACCCCGACTTGACGACAACATTACAATCCAAGATGGCAGCGCAGTGCATCAACAGTAAAGAGTAACAGTGAAAGCTCTTGTAATGTTTTATTTATTGGCACTTCTGTTTTGTTTTTGGAATATTAAATAAGTGGTTTATGTTGTGCTACCCAACGTCTTACTGTGAAAACGGTGCTATGGTGTTTGTAGAGTAAAATACTCTGTTATGAGTTGTTTAAAAATGTTAAAGCTAACAACAGCTGACAACCACTAACAATAGGCGTCCATCTTGGTTTTCCGACTGGTTAACTGGCATGCTGTCAACTCGGGTGTAACATCATTCCCAGCTTCATTCCGACTTCTACGGTAACTGGAACGCAGCATAATAATCCTCAAATGTTCTTCTTTGAGCTGTGAAACTCCGCTGCACTCGTTTATCAACTCGTCAGGGCTTCCCCCACAAACAAGCGGCTGCTGGAGGAGAGTGGGTGAGTTGTATTTAGTCTCTTTGCTAAAGAAATCAGGCAAAATTAAAAAGATGTTTGATGGCTAGTACTATGGCTGGGACCCTAAGTGTGCTGTTGATGAAGTTAGGTGCTGTTCTGAGCATTATTTGTGGCTATAGAGAGGCGTTTTGGTTGAGGTTTGCGAGCTACTGCTATTGTGCGGTCGTTACTAAAGTTGGTATAACTACAGAAGCAAGCGGTCTGCAACATTCATCTCTCGAGGGGGTGTCTGACTCAGTGTTACAGTGTGTTTGAACATAACTTTTTGTCTGAATGTCCCTTTACGCTAAAAAGTACTTATAAGTGCATACATTAAAAGTTACCCAGATCTTATTAGGTTATTTTCATATCTGTACGCTTTTAAAAATCAATCAGAAGACCCTTGAGAATTCTTCATGTCATGTAATCCATCAAATCTCGTCGGGGCGTGAGTGCTGTGATGCATGCGAGCTTTTTAAATCTGTTTTTTAATAAATGATATGCTTCAGTAGTGAGACTAAAAAAGGCAGATTTGATTAAACTGTAATGGATTGCACCACTCATACAAGTTTCAAGAGTCTTCTTATTGATGTAAGTATTGCACTCAAACAAAGGAGAACACTGTCTGCACATAATGAGGGTGAAATAAAACATGAAAATTCAAACAGTATAGCATGCAGAAGTAAACTGTCTCTAAGAGTTTGTGATGTTCAAAACTTGAAAATATGTGGATATATAACAGCATCTTTAGCTAATGAGATACTGAGAGAGGATCCACTCCAATATGGTTCTCAAAATATCACACGGCTCTGAAAAGTGATGATTCCAACAATGTCCTGCAAAAATAGCTCTTTAGAAAATTACATCCGACCTGAGAGGTTAAAACGGTCCGAGAAAGGCCTGAAAATTGTAGCGCCAACTCCGCAGCTACACTAAATATCCAGCGGGGAGAGCTTCTGTAAGTAATTCTTTCCTCACATACTTAAGCCCGTATAATCATGGCCTGTGACCTAAAGACGATCATTCCTGCTCTGCCCTCAGAGAGTCCAAACGGAGGATGTGGACGGAGAAGAATTCTGCACCAGTCCATCGAAAAGCCCAAACATCAAAACAGCCACTGAAGCTTTCAGGTGGAAGACCAGAAATGGGAATATAAGTATGTTTGAATGAGTGTACTCAGGTCCTCTTCCACGCCATATTTCTACCGTGGAGCAGAATGGACAAACTAGTGACACGTATTTAGCAAGTGACCAAGTGAGATGCACCGGCTGGAAGATGAAGAAGTAGTCAGTGGTCAAAAGACTTTTTAATGGTGTAAACTTGACCAGTGGAGGAGCACTTAAAGTCCCACTCTGATCGTTTTTGTTAACTACTGTTGTCACTGGTCTTTAAATTGTGATTATGAAGTTTTTATCCCAAATCAAGTTACCTGTCATTTTTAAGGAATTTTGGTCTGCAGAGCTCCAGTCGCTTATTAGCAATTCAGCTCTGAGTCGTGGGCGGAGTCAGCGCTGCTCTACACACTCTTCTTCACATTAGCTTGCAGCCTAACATTGCTGGTGTGGTAGAAGTTCTCAGACACTTATATCTTTAAGGACATAATGAAAGTTAATATCATAATTAGCTTTCAATCCACTAACGCACACGTTTGTTCTGCAATCGTCCTCTCTACTTCTCAGAGTCTGGCCTGCATAGCGGGGCTTCGGGGGCGGAGTTTGGATTTGTGACATAGGAAATCTCACTGAATCTGAACCTGCCGTTTGAGTCTGCCAGAGATTCACAGCGATTTGAATGCAGAAATACTTAGAAATGCAATTTCGCAGTTACTTTTCTCATGATATGTCCTGTAACATCAGAAAATACCATATGAACATGTAGACAACAAGAAAAACGTGATTTCATCAGAGTGGGTCTGAAAGTCCAGAGTTTAACTGCTAGATAATGTGGTGATAGGTATTTCAAGTCCATCAAAGAAGTCGAAAAAGTACAAAAAAAGAGTATCAACAGTACTGTCCTGAGTTGAGAGTGGACAGGGCCATCTGTAACAACCAGATCATGGTTTTGAACATGCTATAGAAGAGGAAAAACGGGGTCAGATTACGTCTTTATGCAGCACTGGGTTATCCTGCATCAACACTACTTAACCTCCTTTAGTAAACACCCATATTTAAACACTCATCTGGTCATCTAACATAATTAGCCGGCCAATTTATTACCTCAACTCAATGATTCACACACACACACAAAAATGGGTCAATTATGTCGTGGATCATTTTCAGGCCTCTCTGTTCTCTGAGTTCAGGTCTACTCTGATTGAAGCATTGTCTCCTGAACGCCGAGGCCAAAACTCTCCTCGGCTTGTGTGCTTTGGCCCTCGTCTTGATGCACCCTTCTCCTCCTGCACAAACACCGGCCAAATCCTGCAGCTTTGTCCTACCTTCCCAGACTGGGAAAAGAACACACTGGCACGCAAACTACTGCACAATTTATCCCTCTCATACCCTTACATAACAGGATATTTTTTTTTTTTAAATGGTCCAACTCGATGACTAAAGATGGTCGGAAAAACTCAAGTTTTTCAAAAGTTCAAGTTTTTAGGCACATTTTATGGATGTTATTTTGTTGCTTGTTTTAAGAGGGGTAATATCCCACAGGATGAGCTGAACTTACCGGGAAAAACGTGACTTTTTAGCCGTAATACAAATTGAGCTCAGGAAATAATTCACTCTGGAGACGGCTTATAGAAACACCTAACATGAGCCCAAGAATTCAGCAACTTTGGATAATCTCTCTTTTTCTCAGATTATCTAATAATTAGTCTGAGTGATGATGGAAAGGTGAACTTTCAGTGACCAGACTGAACATCCGATTTACGTTTTGGCAGATTTGCTGTAACCTCGAGTCTTCTCCGGTTTAAAAACTTAGACTGACGAGAATCTATTTGACTTTTTCCCCTAAATGTGGATTTCAAGCAAACTCGTCGTCAGCAAGTGAAGCGAGCTTGTTCACATTGTTGTCCGCAGTGTCCACACGGACTTCGTCTGGTCTGAGATAATACATTTGTGTTTGTTTTCTCTCATGGCTGAACTGAGATAACGTCTGGATGCTAGCATCAGCGCGGCAGCCCCGAGCAGCAGCAGAGGGATGTAGGTGTGGGATAAGTCTGTTTCTGAAGGGAAGTGTTTTTTAGACTGATAGCTCTTGAATCCCTTGTGGAAAAGAGGGACAATTTGAACGTAATCAGGCTGGCACTTCATTAGGATGCCCCTGATGTGATATCAGAGCCCGAGGGGACGGGGGTGAAGGAAGTCTCTGCAGCGAGACAAAAAGCATGGACAAAGATGTCTGAACAGAGCTTGAGTTTCAGAGCGAGACAGCCTTGTGAACTTTCCCCCCATGTCTGTCCTTCATGACGGATGCAGAGGCCCAGCCACTGACAACATGTGAGGGAGGGGGGCCTGAGGAGAGTGTCCATGTTGAATAAACACACCCAGCCCCCTCTCAATCCCCCTCCAAATGAAAACCTCAGCTGATATACAATATAGATTCATCGGATAGCCGAGTTTATACTCTGTGTTTATACGCCAGGATAAATGTACCTCCTCTGGCCAAGAGATCATGATGTTTCTATCTCTAAACAAACATCCTCAGACCCCGCTACATGTTCCCCGGACCCTTAGGATGTGTTGATAATGCCGTGCGATAGCTGAGACGGTCCAAAAAGAAACAGCGATGAACTCTGGGGAAAGGACATCTTAACTCTTTGTAGTCTGGTATCTTGACAAAACAAAGAGTGAGAGATTTGTGTCTGTGGAGACGGAGCGGCTAAGCTTTCACAGTGCCATTTGTTCGACTCTGCGTGATTCATTTACCAGCTGTTCTGTGTAAATACTCCACCACAACTGCAATGGAAAACATGTATTTTGGGGATGATGATTCGCCCGTGAAATCGATGGGGTTCCTTGTTTACGCCTCCCTCGTTTCCCAATATCTCCATGGTAACAAAGGACCATTTCAGCTCCATCTACACGCCACTTTTGCACGCACTCTGCATGAGGTAAATCACCTCTTCTCCACTCAGCATCTGTTTTCTTCCCCCGTTCGCACTCCTGTTTGTTTCAATCACTCTCCTCTTTCTTTTTCAGTCACTTCAAAGAAGTCACGGCAGGTCAGAGTTTCTCTGCTCGATTTCTCAAAATTTTAAGACTCGTACTTGAAAAGTTTTGAGAGGTTTTCATGAATAAAATGTTTTTGTAATTCAAGAGCAGCAAACTTCGCACAGCTGATTACATTTTGAACACTTTTTTTCTCATAACTTCCACATTTCTTGTATCCGTCCTTGCAGATTTAACTTTCCGCAGAGCGTGTCAAAGCCCGGCCCAGCCCTGCTGCAGCAGTGATATGCTCCCCCCGATCTTTTTTGGCCAAAAACATCCAGCATACTTCAATGTGTATGTGTGTGTCAGAGTGATGAATAAAGAGCGGAAGCAACAGGGCACAGGGTGACTTCACACTTAAACAGCCTGTTTACAAGTCATTTACAGAGCTGCAGGAGGGAGAGGGGCTCGGAGGAGTCTCCCATAGAAAGCCTCCTATTCAGAAATTCACAAGCAGAAGCAGAAAGAGGCTGCAGAAAACTTCTCCCGGGTTTGAAATGTGGTTTGTTAAAGGACAAAACATTAACTCTTCAAACTGGAAAGGTTATACGAGCAGAAGACGCTCATTTTGATCTTTTAAAGATGACTCTATGGTAATAAGAGAAAACTTCAGCAACCACCAGGCCTATTAGACTGTAAAATTAGTATGCTTGAGGTAGAAAAAAAGACTTGGAAGGGGGAGAGGCCATAAATAAAAAATGGTGCAGTAGCAGGGATAACAGGAACTGTGACAGGGGAAGAGCTTTGACTGAAACTATCTGAGATTTAAAGCCAGGAAAAAGAGGGAGCCTTATTATCCTCTCATCTTTCCCCCCTCACAGTTACGATGTACTCCATATATCATTAGTCGCTCAAAAGTGACTGTCAAAGGAGCGTGGCAGCATATTTAACTTCTTGAACTGCAGCTAAAATACTCAGAAAATGCATTGTGCTTTCCTAAGAGTAAAGGGAAGCAGATTTCCTCTCAGACAATTTCCATCAAATTGATGAATAATATTTCCAATCTCAGAAAACAGGATGTGCACAGAGCCGAGAATCACGTATTGAGAGCTGGACTGTAATAATCAAACTATGACCGTGAAATAAGCCCTTTTTGCATGCGAGTATTATAGATTTATAAGACAATATGAATAAGACAATCTGCGTCTCAGTAGTCCGATCAAATATTTAGTTTGCTTTGGAGACCAAACAGTGATTGATCGGAGCTCAGGAGACTTTTCTTATGTTGTAAAAATCTACTTTCACATCATACAGTGATTCACCCTTAGGCTGAAAACACTATTTATTTTTAATCAAAGCTTTTGTTATAGTCATGATGATGAAACTGCCAGTGTCCTGTATTCAGCGTTGGCTGATCCAGAGATTGTTAAAGACTCAGAGCCAGCAGGTTTCTGATTGAAGTGGTGACAGCTCGGCTCTGAAAAAGTGAAATCTGCCGCTAAAAACTGGGAAAATCCCTCCAACAAAACTTCAGAGTAATCAGAAAAGAAACAATTGAGCCATTTTTCTGGATAAGCAGAGTTAGAAAGACAAATTTAAGAGTCCAAACTTCACATGCAAAAGGAAAATTGAAACAAATCCACTATTTTTCATTTTCAGGTCATGTGAGCGTTAACTAAATCTGAATAAACCTTCAAATATGGCTGGGCGATAAACTGAAAACTTACAGATACAGAAATTCACAACAATAACCGATGTAATTTTGCCCATATTGGTATATTTGGTGTCAAATAAATAAATAAAAGTTGGTTTTGGATGTATGTAGGTAGGCTGTTGTCTTATGTGACTCCGCCCCATCCAGTCCGTAACAAAGAGGGGAAGACAGGTGAGGAGATGGAGGACGGTTCAAAAGTTGTAGCTGCTGGAGCGGCGGCTGAAGTAGACTACGTTAATGTAGGAGGGGGTGAGCATCGTCCATTTATCGTTATCGAGGTGAACTGCTCAATATTAGGGTGACCACATTGTGACTTCCCAAAAAGAGGACACAACTACGCGGGGGCGGAGTCCCAGAGTCGCATGAAGTTAATTTCGAGAGTTTTTCGGGTCAGGTCGAGTGTCTTACGTGCTTCTAACTCAGTAAGTCCATGTGACACAAAATCGAAACTTACGTAAAAAAACACGGAGATTTGAGGGATTTTCTAAGCTTCCCCAGACAAAACCGGACAATCCCCGGACATCCCCCCAAAAAGAGGACATGTCCGGGTAGAAGAGAACGTATGGTCACCCTACTCAATCTATCGTGATGTTGATTTGAGGCCATATCGCCCAGCCCCTCTACAAACCAAGATCATTGAGATCTGCCCACCCAAGCAGCCCTGCTCAGTGGGATGACATGTCAGTGTCACAGCCGACAGAAAAAACGACCTCTTAGGGTTCTGGGTAATCTGAACTGCACTGAGAACAGGTTATTACAGAGGTGTCATGGTTGTGAAGAAGAGCAGATCGACCCTGAAGAGATAAAACTCCGAAGTGCAAGAAACGCAGCTGTGACTCGGTGTCCCTGTAGGTGCATCAAGGATTGGAAGAACTATCCGCACATCTTTTTCAGGGATCCTCTATAAAGACACAGCCAGGTTCGACTAGAGTCAGTTTCTAAACCAGATGTCTGGATACCGTAAGGCCTGGTGAAGATAAATTAGCCTGTTGAAAGCAACAACAACTTGTTCCAGCTACTGCACTGACCGGCTCCTTGTGTGCATTGGTTTGAATGTGAGCTGACTTCACAAAGGCTGCTACAGACAATACAAATTATTCTGGGCGCTTATCCGTGGTGTTTTTTGCCGTCCTACGGTAATCCACCTCCAGTCAAAGTCTGACAGAGAGCCACTAGTGTAGAAAAACCAAAAAGTAAAGTCTGTACTTCTCACATTTTAACGTCCCCGTCCAAGGTGCTGCAACTTAATACAGCTCTGTCCCGATTGGATCAGATTGGCTCGTGGTTTAGCCTTCAACCTACGCTGGAGTGGAAAGTTGGTGCAGAGTACTGATATGAATAATTTGATTTTGGCCAAGTGTAGATCGAATCCTGTCTGCTTCATTCATTTCCCTGCTCCTAAGTCTCTTGCGCTGATGATCTGGATCTCACAAGGCGCATTCGTGACGCAATCTGGGAGGATCCCGGAGCGCTGATTAGAGAATTTTTCCACCCTAAAACTCAAGTCTGCACCAAGACACACAAATACACACAGCCCAGTCCCCGGCTATTTGTTCACTTTTTCTGATACCACATCACACGTCTTGGGTCTTGCTCTCCTGCATACCAGCTCGGCCTAATTACAGCAGAGAGTCCCACTGCTCCCCACACTGCCTGCGGGCTCCTCACAGCACCAGGCTATACACAACAGTCCAAACAAAGACTTAGCCTTTCAACACGACGGTTAAAAGAAGCAGCACACCACTTTCAACATAAACTCTGCAGCACCAGAGCCAAATTAGCCTTATTGATGAGCAACACGGCCCTGTAGTAATTAGTCCCTTCACTAAATCTTCAAATCATCTCCTCACATTCAGAGGAAGTTAGCGCTAAGCTGAGCAGTCGTGTCCTTATTACACTTAATCTCTGCCGGGTGAAAGCAGAACCTTAGAATAGATAAGGCAGAACAGATGTCCTCCCTTATAACCCCAGGGGCGTTTCTGGTCTGTGTGGTGAAGGTTTCAAGATATGAAACCAACAGTGTGAGGGTGGACCACCATGGAGCATCAGTACACACAGACTGGGAGTCTGGTGGGAGCAGGCCTGGGTGCCTCACTGTCTGAAGCCAAGACAGACAAAGTGGGGGAACCGCAATGTAAAAGTGGAGCGTCTCACCCAACAAACCTCCCTCTTGGTGCGGTTTGTCCTTCGCCGTCTTTGCTATCGTTTTCCCTGCATTACAAAGCGGAGAAAACGGCTGACTCAGATCTGTGATGACTACATCAGTATGAATCTTTTTTTTTTCTTGTTTAAGGTACTTTTGGGATATTTTGCCTTTATTTGATAGGACAGCTGAGAGGGAGAGACGCTGATGTAGCGGTTAGAACCCTCCCTTGTTCACCCCTCCTACTGGTTAAGCAACGGTGGCCATCACTCAAGTAGGGATGGGCGATTAATTACAGTTCACAATATATCGTCAGAAAAATCCTCCATGATAAATATTTGCCATCTCATGATATATACGATAAATGCAACAAAACATAACAAACAAACATGGCCGACGGTAATGAAGAAGACGTTTCTGACCAGCTCATGACTGAACGAGGCTCCACATGAGGGACTTCCTTCAAGATTGGGGCTGAGATGAATACAATCAGGTCCGCCTGACATCGGACAGTAGATCTGCTGCTGTTCACTCTGTGCAATAAGAGTTTTCACATTTGAGACTTGTTTGATCTCATTAGTTTTCTCCAGAACCTACCACCCAAACTTGTGATTAGGGATCTTATTTAACCGCTCCAACTGGTTCCCAAGACAAGATGATTCAAGGACAAGAAGCTGCAAGTATGACACACTCATGAATATCATTTTTATCCTGCACTTTCATATCCTAAACTGGATCAGTAATTACCAGTTTTGCAAGGTTTAAATATTTTGCAGGATTCATTTTTTCATGCAAGACAATAACTTCTTGCGTGCAAAACTTCTGGACATAAGCAGCTGTTATGGAGCGCTCACTCGCTTCATTCGTGCGTCAACGGTAATTTCAACAGTAATCCCTGTCAATTCAACCAAAGGGATCAAGTGATAGACAAAGGTTTTTTACAATTTACCAGGTAATTCGACCTCCTCACTCACTTGCCTCTAGGCGAGCTCCTTTATATTCCGGTTTCAGTAATTGAAAGAAAAGGTAGCCTATCCATTTTGGATACCAGTGAACAACCGTCTGTTTTCATATAACACCTGGCAACCTTCGTGCTGATTAGTTATCATGACGTGAATATCTGTTCAAGTTGAGACATTTTCAGCCCCTGCCTATTTCGCATCATTTGCGCCACCAGAGTAGTAGAAGTGTCTAATCGCGTCTTTGCATGGACTTAACATGAAATTCATTCACTGTTTTGATTTTACTCACGCAGTTAGAGGACTTTAATCCAGCTGTGTATTTCATTTATAAACTGTAAAAATCTAAGTGTTGTACACATTTTACACGGTGTAAAATTCTGGTTTTAACTCTCAGAGCCTTGCATGGTCAGGCTCCAGCTTACATCAATGATCTGATCCAGCCTTACACCCAGGCCCGGGTTCTGAGGTCTGTGGGTCAGAATCTTCTGATGGTGCCTCACACTCATTTCCGGACCAGAGGAGACCGATCCTTCCAGGCTGTTGCTCCTGAGCTCTGGAACGATCTTTCGCCTGCTCTGCGTTCGATGGAGTCTGTTGACTCCTTCAAAAGGGAACTTCAGACTTTTCTATTTGTTCAGGCTTTTGCCTAACTGTCTTGGGGCTGCTATGGTTTTGCATGTACTTATTAACTGTGTATTGTTTTTGTTTTTACTGTAAAGCGCTTTGTGACCCTGGTCTGTGAAAGGCGCTCTATAAATAAAGTTTACTTACTTACTTACTTACATCTGAGAGAGCATGCTTGACTCATGATCACCGATCAGTGAGCAGTGAGGAAGAATGGAGGTTCGATAACCAGCCCTGAGCACTAATTTGGTCCACACAGAAGCTGCGAGCATTCACACCATCATTACCGCTAACAAGCATCTGCAAAACATCCTGCTCTCTCTCTCTCTCTCTCTCTCTCTCTCTCTCTCTGTGTCAGCCCAGCTCCCACATCTTCCTGACCACACAGAGAGGTATAGCCTCGGTTTTGCAATCCTAACCTCTGGCTTTGTTTGTATTTTGCACATTTCCCTCCGTTTTACAGCTTTTTTCCTGAAACAGTGCCCCAAACTAACTAACCTCTAGGCTCAGCCACCTTCACAGCTCGGAACCAGACCTGTAAATACAGTTTGATCCAACCGAGAGCAGAAATAGGATGATCTGATTCTGACCACGGGGCCCTGTAACTGAATGCTTTTCTCTTTTTTTCACGAGCTTGCTGGGCTCAGTAACTTTCTTCTCAAGCATTACTTCGGCTGGCAGTCAAGCTGAGGCAAAAAGGGGGGCTGAGGTTGCTGGCAGACAAAAGCGATGCATTCTTTGTAACAGTTGCGTTCTGGATATGGAGACAATTTGCTCAGTGGTCAAGATATTTTGGTGCTGTGTGTAAATATAGTTCTTGCTTTTCTGGAAAGAGGCAGTTATGTGAATGTAAGATACAACATGTTGACGACTCTGAATCCACCAATGCAATACCTTCACTTCGTCGCCACCCCCAGGGTTGAAGAAATCTGTTTGTTTGAGACCTCGTATTCTCCGGTTACTGATATTAGTTACCTGGCAGGCTGTCAGTTAGCGTCTGCTTTCCAGTCTGGTGGTGTCTTGCGGACAGCAGGGGACTGGATGGATGATTTAGCTCAGATTTGCTTTGGAACAGGATGAATATTATGAGCAGATGATGCTTCCTGATGCCCAGCTTGTTTTGCGGGGCCAACTGTCTTGCACATGTGCAAGGGGAGCGCGAGCTGTGACAACAGAAGGCCTGGCAGCCCTCCTCGCAGCAAGCCGCGGTCCGTTCCATCCATCGTATTCAGCCGTCCCAAAGGAGGGGACGGCAAAGTGAATAATTGTGTCTATTAGGAAAGGTCAAGCTGGAGTGCTCTGGATGCAAAACTGTGACAATGTGACTGTGGAGGAACAAACACCTGCAGTCTGACTTCACTCTGCTGGTAATTTACACCCGTTTCTTCCTTGCATCATCAAATTGGATAAGCCTGGGCCTCGTCCGACTGGGACCCACAGAGCGGTGTGTTCAGGTCATCCAGCAATCCTTGAGGGTCCCCAGGCAGGCAGATGTGCTGCTCTCACCTGCTTGGATCTACATGTCACCACTCCGGAGGGAGACCAGGGGAAGTGAGGAGGTGTAACTGGATCAGAGAGGAGACGCAGCAGTGTGGGAAAAGGAAGTGAGGGGAGATAAGAAGTCTGAACGCACAAGGAGAAAGAGTAAAGAGGAGACAAAGAGACAGGAAGAGTTCAGGAGATCCCACCCCTCTGAGCCAGAGGAGACATGTTAGAGGAGGGATTAACAGCTGGATCCAGCTGCTGAGTCGGGGCTTTGTCACAGCTGCCAGAGTCTGACTGTCCCCCCGGAGACGACCGACTGTTTTCTTTTCTCCGTCTCCCTTTCGCAACACTCACACCCTTTCATAGAAACTTGGACGCGGCGCTGAAACGTCTGCCTCACCTGCAGCAGACAGACCGTACTAATGAAATTTCTAGTCCCGCGAGAGAGCCATATAAGCCCATCTTCCTTCCTCGCCAGATGTAGGCAGGAAACCCCTCCGGCGGACTTTTATCTCGCAACTTTTCTTCACAGTCGCGGTCGATGTTACAAGGCCGCATCACAGTCCGCGCTGACCCTTCAGAGCCTCCCTGAGGGTTTGGAAATGATGTTTGCTCTGCCCACATTATAGCTATCGACAGCATTGATTTCATGTTTTTAAAAATATCACTTGCTTTTGGCTGCACATTTACAAGACAACAACAACAAGAGCCTTGCATTTAAAGAGCCTGAGTGGGTTGAAAAATGAGGACTGTCGAAAACATAAGATATTTGATCTAAAAGAAAACAAAACGACTTATATTCTGAAGGATTGGTTATCTGACTCAAACAAACACCTGCTCAAACAAATGCCTCCTGTTAAAGACAGTAATTTTGATGAATGATGCACCATTGGAGTCATTTATCAAGTATAAAGACAAACGCTGTCTGGCTTGAACTCCTGAAACATGAGGAGACCTTTCTTTTCTGTGTTTGTAGAGTTCAGAGCCAATATATTTGGGCTTTGGACACTGAGTTTGAGAATTAACGCACTCTGAGGACATCACCGTGAACTCTGAGAAAGTCCGATAGAAATCTAGGGCTGGGTGATGAAATGGTAATTGTTTTGATAGAAGTTCTCTCTGTTGAAACACGACAAATGTTTGATAAAAGTTTGGCAGTATTCGCACTCAGAAACTGGGGAAAGGGAGTGAAAAAAATGCCAGGAAAAATGCGAGTAACCACACAGTATTAAGGAGGAGAAGAAAAAGATGGCATGTTTACAGGCAATTGAAACGAAAATGAGACGGCTGAAAAGTGCAACAGTAACACTGTGGTAAAAAAAACATCCACCTACCAGCTAAAAGCAGGGTCAAAACATGTTTTTTCAAGGCTATTCAGATTCAGCAGTCGAGAGACATATTTACAAACCAAAAGAGCAGCGAATGAATGTAATAAAAACTTCCAAAGATGTGCCAGCCGACATGGGAAACACCTCAAACCTTTTCCATCATGCTTCTGATGTGCAAAAACGCACAAAAAGCAAGAAATTACACTCCTAAATGAGTGATAGTGTGGACCCTCAGCAAGCATGGCAACCCTAAACATGATAATCATCCTTCTGACTGACATGAATAGTTTGTGATAACATTTTAGCCATATCACCGCACCCTATAGAAATCATCTCTTTTTTTGAAAGTGAGTTTTTAGATTCATTTAAGACCCACTCTGATGAAAATAGAATTTTTCTGATGCTACAGGACATATCACGAGAAAACTGAGTGCGAAATTGCATTTCTGAGTATTTCTGCATTCAAATTACTGTGAATCTCTGGCAGACCCAAACGGCAGGCTTAGGTACAGTGAGATTTCATATGTCACAAATCCAAGCTCCGCCCCCCGAGCCCTGTTATGCAGGCTTGTAAAAGTAGAGAGATGATCGCGAAACAAGCGTGTGGATTAGCAGATGCTCGTAAGAAAGCTAATTATGATATTAACTTTCATCATGTCCCTAAAGACAATAGTGTAGGATGACCATATGTCCTCTTTTTTGGCGGCTGTCCGGCCTGTCCGGTCTTGTCCGAGGGGGTTTATAAAATCCTTCAAATGTCCGGGGTTTTGTATGGAAGTTTTGAGTTTGCATCGCATGGACTTACTGAGTTAGAAGCACGTAAAAATCACCCGATCCGACCCGGAAAACTCTCAAAATTAACTACTCCATTGGCAATGTTAGGCTGCAAGCTAGCATGAAGACGAGGGTGCAGGGCAGCGCTGTCTCCGCCCACAACTCAGAGGTGAATTACTAATAAGTAACTGGAGCTCTGCAGAAGAAAAGCCCTTGAAAATGACAAAGGTAACGTGATTTTGGCTAAAAACGTCATGATCACAACTTAACCCTAACCCTAACACTTTAAGTCATAAAAAACTATCAGAGTGGGACTTGAATGAAAAAGTAAATGTGCTCTGTGCTTCTGTATTCAACCCTAAAACATTCAAAGTTTTACCACTGCGTTCTCCGCCTCCTGTTCCACTGGAGAAAGAGAGCGGCTGGATTTGCTGATGGACGTCTGAGCACAATAAAACAAGCTAAGCCGTCTCGAGCGCGGCAACCTTGACCTGAACACCCCCACTCCATCCAGATGTACATCAGTGTTTATGCTCGCTTCAGTGCCCCTGCTAGGCCCAGGAGTAAGTGTTCGAGGAAGTATTACATTTGTGAACACATTAAGTCGCACATCCAGTTTCCTGCAATTTCACCATTCCCTGAAATACTGTTCTACCACAGAGCCACAGTGAAGCTGGGTAGTTACAGCAGGAGGAAAAAGAAACAGAGGAGACCAAAAGCAGAGTCAGCTGGCCTCAAACTAAACCGATCTCACAGGAGACGCGCCAGTCTGGTATTAAGACAGACAAGAGAACATTTTGTGTGACACAAACCGTCCACTGAAAAATGTCTGGTGAGAACTGATTCCACGCTTTGTGTACCAAAATACTTTCTGAAACTGGCAATTTCGCTCGTCTCCACAGTTCGGGTCCCCAAAGAAAAGCTTTATTTGAGAAGTTAACAAAGTTGACCAGTTAGGAATCCATCTGAGTCACCAAATCGCTGCGTTTTACATGATTGTTGTTGGTTTTCTTAACTTCAGTTTAGGTGACGGACAAACTGAGCTGGTATTTAAAACCCTGTAGAGGAAACTTTTTCAGTGAAAGAGCTGAAAGTCCAACAATAGAGTGATTTCTTCACACTTTTTCATCGATCATCAACTTTTTTCGGGGTTTTTCATTTTTGTTTCTGCTTTCTGGGTGATTTTAGGTATTTGTGCTCAGACAAAGACCACCACATGACAGGCTTTACAAAGTCCTTTCACAAAACTACAATAAAAGAAACTCCTGTAATTATTCTGTGAAAAACGGATCATTATCCTGCACTGCAGAGCGCAATTTGAACATTTCTGGATTAGATATTACCTCACAGCTCTGCCTTACCAGCATTTTTTAAATCAGGTAATAAAGCTCAGGGACACAATAGCACCAAGTATTGGTACCAGTGTTCTGAGAGCCTGCCTGGTGGTCAGCGGTAGGTGGTCATTAAAGTACACAAAGACCGAGGAAACTGCGAGGGGCGACTATGAAAGGATCACATTCTTTCAATCATTCATACTTTCTCTCCAGAAGTCTTTTTCTCTGACAGACGAGTTGCTTTTATGTCAGCGGGGATGAAGAAATGATGAAGAGCGCCACTCCACTGAGGCACCTCTCCCATCAAGCCTGCTTTTCAAGCGTTCAGTGAATGTAATGAATGTGTCTGAGTGGCACTTTACGTTACGCTGATTATCTACGAAAAAAAACGGGGCTCTTAGAATTGCTCAGAACAAACCCCGACCCAAAAAGGGGCACCAATGTAACGCAATCTTGCAGATGTTTTTCCCGAGACAGTGATAGGACTGGGCGATAAACTGAAAATTTACCGATATAGAAATTTACGACAATAACCAATGTCATTTTGCCAGAATATCAGTATATTCAGTGTCAAATTAGTAAATAAGTAAAAGTTGGTTTTGGATGTGTGTAGGTAGGCTATGGTCTCATGTCCCCTTAAGACGCTGTCCTACATCAGAGACGTGACTTCACCCCATCCTGTCCGTAACAAAGAGGAAAAGACAGGAGAAGGAGATGGAGGACGGTTCAAACAAGTAAGACACTTCTTCGAGAGATGAATGTTGCCGACCACTTGCTTCTCTAGTTATACCAACTTTAGTAACGACTGCACGATAGCAATACACAGCGGTCTGAGGAGCCATAAACAAACCTCAACCAAAACGCCACTTTATAGCCACAAATAATGCTCAGAACAGCACCTAACTTCATCAACAGGACATATAGGGTCCCAGCCATAGTACTACCCACCAAACAACTTTTTAACTTTGCCTAATTTCTTTAGCAAAGAGACTAAACACAACTTACCTACTCTCTTCCAGCAGCCGTTTGTTGGGAGTGAGACCTCGGGCCAGTCCATTACGGACTGCAGCGGGGTGACACAGCTCAAGGAAGAACATTTATGATCATTTCTTCATCATTATCTTGACATAATAATCACCATATTGATCATTTTGCACTGTAGACGCGGTAGTTCTTCTGCCTTAGCGTCTCGGTCTGATTGCATTTCCATGAAGTAATGGAATCAGGGTGTTAAACCCAATGTTACGGTGTGTTTGACCCCAAATTAATTTTACGCCGGAATATCCCTTTAATGTGGGAGTGGGTGAGTAGCTTGTGGAGAAGTTATCGTCCATTTATCGTTATCGAGGTGAACTGCTCAATATATCATGATATTGATTTGAGGCCATATCGCCCAGCTCTAGACAGCGACATGTTGGCCGGTGGAAAAGCTGCCCAGACTTCGCTGCGAAAGGAAACAATTTGGGTGGCAGAGCAGACGCTTTCAAAATATTGAAATATTCGCTTCTTTAATCACAGTAATCAGTGTCGGTCTCATGTTGCTTACAAGGCTCCAGCAATGACAAGTGGTCCACTCTGTCATGACCACAGGGGAGACGGGTTCAAAAAAACGAAGTCTGGCCTATCCTCACACCCGGCTAATGAGAAATGATGTGAAATCAGATAAGAATTTGGAGAGGGACAGACCAACGGACAGACGAGGAAGCCCCCCTGCTCGTGTCACCTCCGCCACTCATGCCAGCACTTGTCAGGGCTCATTTCCTCCTCAGCTGCCTTGAGACCCCCTCTCGCCTTTCGACTGGAGCCAGAACGACCCCCCAAAACAGACAGAGGGCCAATTCACTCCAAGCCAACCAAAAACCACAACACTACGAGGTGTAAATTATTCCCCAATGTGAGATTCTGACATAACAAACGGGAACCTTTCATTATTTCATAAGCGAAATAACACATAGGAGAATTGATGGCAAATCTTTCCAAGAGCCAGCCAAGAGTACGAGGCTTTGCTTTAGCAGATTTGGAAATATGAAGGCTGGCTGGTATTCCTCATTACCCCTAATGACATCTTTTCAAACACTTCCACCGTGTCAGGAATCAAAAGCCTCGTGCTTAAAGGCTTTATCGAATGACCTCAAAGTCATTTTTCTTTCCATCTGCCACACTCTCCGACTCTTCTCAGAGGACTTCAGAACAGTTTTGTCATGATAAGTTCTGGCATTTAGTTTTCTCCTTGTTTTATTTGAGTGCATTTTGTGTATTTTCTTTATTGTTCCTGTTCTCCTGAAGTCCAGTCTGGTGAGTTTTCAGTTTGTATCTGACCCCGTTTCTCTCCTGTTCTCAGTGTTTTATTCTTTAGATCAGTTTTCAGTCTTTCCTGTTTTATTTTGCAGTAGTTTATTCTCTGTGTTTCTAGTCTTGTTTAACTTCCTCAGTTTTCTTTCCTCTGTAATTGTCTGTACCCGAGTCTAAGTCAGTCGTTTACATGCACATCTTAATCGGACTAAGCTCATAATTTGTTTTTTTTCGCTGAATCGGACTTATTTCCATGTCCGCGTATACATGCAGCTGAGATAATTGAATTATTGACGTGAATGTGTCCTCCTCCCCAAAACTAGGGGGCGATATGGGTCGCTGCACGCTACTCCTCTTTTCTGGTGTTTTTGTTCTGGAGTTATGGGGGCGTGGCGCATGCTCCGACTATGCTGGTTGCATGGTCGAGAAAATCTAATTCCAATCGCATTATCTTGGTGTCTTAATCAGAGTTCTCCGACTCTAATTGGAGTTCTGAAACTCAGATTATAGTCAGACTAATGTGTTTACTTGCACTTCAATTGTCTGGTCTGAATCGCAATAAGGCAATAATTCGGTTTTCTCAAGTGTTATGTAAACGTACTGAGTGTCTCACCTGCCTCTCGTTGCTCGTTTATATATAGTCCCTGTCCTCCCTGTTTCTTTGTTGGTTCAGTGTCTGCGTGTCTGTATGTCGGTGTGTGCCAGTGAGTCCTCAGTGATATTTGGTTCCTTGGATTTTGCCTCTTGTGTTTTTATTTTAAGTTTTTGTTGCCTTTCTTTTATTTGCTTCTAAATAAATCCTGTTTTTCATCTGCATTTGGGTCCTTTCCCTTCTGTTCAACTCTGATTCATGACAATTTTACTGCAACCCAGTGAAACAGGACCTCTGAGTGAATGAATGCTTTTCGATCTACAGAGTAAAACAGAGATATAAAACAGTGTTTGAGATCATGATTTGTCGTTAAAAAATCACATAAATGTATTTTAAGAGTGCGGCGGCCTATTCGGGTTTCTTTATGGCCTCAGATCAGCGGTGAAATGGTTATATTTGGCTTTTCACAATCGAGAGAAAACTAGTAAACTCGGGCTCAGATTGAAAACTAATAATGGAAAATCGAATCAGTAATGACTCACGAAACACATTCCACTGTGAAGCCCTGTGGTTTTTTGGAAATGTTGTCGTATTAGATTTCCACTCCCAACGATGACCCATTTTCTTTCTTGCAGCAGATCTTGCATATTGAATGACAAAACTGATTGCTGTTAATAGGCTTAAGTCTTTATTTTTAGTTATCTTTTTTTCCTCCGCACATCTAATTCCAAAGACATCCGCACGAGAATCGAAGTGGCAAAATATCACAGGCGCCTTAGCGAGGAGCCAGACTACATTAGAATAATCGCGAACTGCTGTGCTGGTGACCTGCGGAGGAAAATGACCCGAGCCACTTCAAACGTTTGAATTAATGGTCACAATACCCAGATTGTAATGGCTTTTTGGACAGCACAGGGTTCGAAGAAGAAAGAAGAAAGAAAAGGGGGATAGTGGGAATTTCTTCTGAGGAGAAAAGAAAAGAAAAGAAAAGAAAAGAAAAGGCAGACATCAGATGTCTTGCTGAGATGTTTGGATGTAGAGCTGGCACCCTGAGTAAGAACCGTCTGTTCTCACATGGCCCGCCAACCGCACGTCTGCAGCATCCAGGCAGGCCGGAGAGAGAGGCCAGAGAGCTGTGGCTTTACAGAGCGGCTTCACAGTGTGAGCCAACTGATCAAACATGTCATACTATGAGAGTTTGGGAGCAGGTAGAAACATGTTCCTGGAGGGAAGATAGCTAGTTTTTGGAAAGAGTGATTAAAAACCTCCAGAGTTTTCCAAAACATACATTTTTTAATCCTCCTTTGATTCGGATTCAAACTCTATAATCAATTTCAGTTCGTTCCTCTTTGCTCCTTATCTTTGTGGTCCCTGTGATTCATAATTAGGGGGCCTCCCAGATGAGGTCCTCATACAGCTTCTATTTCTGCGTCCGAGCCAGGAGTTGCGGTAAGGCCTGTGTCTCCTTTCACCCCTCCCTCTCCCAAGGCCAAACCCTGGGCCAAGATCCCGTCTGCTGGGGCTCTCTGTCTGGACTGAACTCTATATCCAACCGCTTGATCCATGCAATACTACTGCAGACTCTTGTGTAATAGAATATGCATCAAAAACCTCGACACTTTAAGAGAGCAAAAAGCTTACTGACTTCACTTGACTGATTTGAACAACTGATGAGCTGTCTTTCGGTAAGTGCCGTCTTCTTAACAGGATGGCCAAAAACTACAGGAGAGCGATCTGTTTTAATGAAACATGACCGCGGCCGCTTGGGGGATGCTGTAATTCGTCTGAACTTTACATCATCTTGTCGTCTAAAGCCATTTTTTCTCACGCTCAACTAGCCTAATTAAGGTGGCTTTTCAAAGTGAAGTGACATCTATTTCTTTGGATAAAGCCCTGAATTTGTTTCCGTCTGTGAATATGTGAAAAAGCTCTTTGTGCCTGGGCTGACAGAGGACTTAATGCTGCCTCTGTTACCCTGGAAACATTTGGAGAGGTGAAGGGGAGGACAGCCAAAGACGGGATCATCTTGGCCTAAATCTGCAGGTAAATCCTCAGTGAGGCAGTCCAATTTAAACAGTTTTACCATTAAAGCATAACTCCTCTGAGAGGAATGCAAGGAATCAGCAAACTCTGACAAACTTCTCTCCTATTTATCTAATAAATTTTCATTTGTTTTGCTCATCACTTTTGCCCTCAGGTTGAGTTCAACTTCTTGCATGAGCTCAGCACTCAAGTGTGGGAGTGAATTTCCAAAATAAATCAAATCTGAGACTTTCACTGAAGTAAATTCCCAAGAAGATGTCCTACCTCAAGAATGCAGGTCCCTGAAGCTGTGTTCTCCATGATCGACACGTTGTAGAAGTTCCTCTCAAAAACAGGCTCGTTGTCATTTATATCCTGGAGTACGATATTCACCACGGCGGTGGAGGACAGCGGCGGTTTTCCTCCGTCTGTGGCCATCACAGTTATACTGGGATTGGGGTTCTTTTCATAATCCAGCTGTGTGAGGGTGGTGATAATCCCCGTAACCGGGTCTATACTGAACCAGTCCGAGAAGGCACCCTTGTCTCGCAGGATGCTGTAACTTATGTCCCCGTTGGGTCCCTGGTCTTTGTCCCTGGCCGTCACCTGCAACACAAAGCTCCCAGGAAAAACCACCTCAGGGATGACCTGCCTGTAGACCGGCTGGTCAAACAGCGGCGGGTTGTCATTGACATCAATCACCTGGATTACAAAGGAGGACTCTGCTCTGAGAGGAGGGGTACCCGAGTCCGTCGCCATCACCCTCAGTTCATAAGTGTCTCTCTCCTCCCGGTCCAGGATCTGGTCCACACAGATCAGGTAGATGATGCTATCTTTAGTGGTCAAGGCGAATTTTCCATCTCCTCCCTCCAGCGACACGTTGACATTCGCGTACTCTCCATAGTCGGGGTCAGTGACCGAAATCCTGGCCACGTACTGGCCCGGCTGTGCGCCTTCAGAGATCCTTGGAGATCCGTCCTCACTGAGGAAGATGATGGTCATAGTTGGTTGGTTGTCATTGTAGTCTCTGACGTGGATGGTCACGAAGGCGTTGGTCACCTCCGGCTGGGTTGCGTTGTCCTGCGCCTGCACCACCAGCTCGTGGACTCTCCTCATCTCAAAGTCCAGAGGCTTGTTGAGCGTTATGACTCCGGTGCGAGAGTCGATGACAAAGTAGCGGTCTGGGTCGCTCTGTCGACGGTTGATTTCATACAGAACCATCCCGTTGTCTCCGTCATCGACGTCCGTGGCGAACACCTGCAGGATGTTGCTTCCTGGCTGGAGGTTTTCAGATATTATGGCGTGATAGCGGCTCTGGTTGAAAACAGGAGCGTTGTCGTTGATGTCTTGTACAGTAATATCTAATGTGATCTGATCAGTCCTCTTGGGTGAACCCCCATCGAAAGCCTCCAGAGTTAAGGTATAGGTGGATCTCTTCTCTCGGTCCAGAATGGCGTTGACCACCAAGTCCAGATAGAGAACCTCATTGCTCCCCCTCCTCGTCTCCAAGGTGAACGCCTGGCCAACATTTCCATCCTTGATGAGGTAACCCTGTGTCGTGAGCTGGCCGTTATCTGCATCGACAGCCGGCTCCAGGGGAAACCTGGTGCCGATGGCGGTCTGCTCGGGGATTTTAAAAGTGGCCCGTTTCCTTGGGAACATCGGGGCGTGGTCGTTTATGTCAATCACTTTGATCGTCACCTCCACCGTAACGCCTGTCATAGTGACCGCGATGAAGTTGTATCGATCCCGAAGTTCCCTGTCGAGAACTTTAGCTGTTTTAATAATGCCCGTACTCTCGTCTATGTCCAGATCGGTGCCCACGCCTGTGCCTTCATGGTCCGAGATGAAGTACAGGGACGCGGTGACGCCAGGAGGAAGTCCTGCGCTGATGTCTCCTACGATTGTACCCGCTGGCTGCTCCTCGTCCAGCTGTAGCTCAAGAGTCCCCAAGACCACAGGTGAATGGACCGTTACAAGCTCCAAGACCACATACACCATTAGCACTAGTCTTCTATTCCACCAACCAGAAGGGTCCATTATAGACTTCCCAAACGCCTTGGCAGCTGTCTTCATTTTGGCTCCTTCTTTTTAAACCTGGAGACACACAAAGAGGAAAAGCTGAGAAATATCAAAACCCGACAGCCGCAGAAACTAAGAAAAGGTGTATTATTTCTGTGTAAAAATACAGAGTGAGTTGGTTTAAGAAAAATAAGTATATGCCTTAAACACTTTCCCACATGTTTTATGGGCCCGGTGCCTAACCACAGCACCTACAATATAACCTGCACATGAGATTTTCCTTCACTTCTTAGTTCGCTTAATAATTCGACACCTTGTTCCCTCTGCATACCAGAAAGCTCTCCTCTGCAAAAGAAACATCAAACCACAGGCCACAGCGTACTACCTCAGACTGAGTCTTTGGCTGTGGCTCTTCAACTCTAATTAAAAAGGTGCAGGAATCCCTACCCGGCGTGCACACTATAGCAGTTCCCCTCATCCGTCGAGTCTGGGAGGCGAGGTCCTGGTTTTATTATTAATGTGTGCTATCACATTTAGCTGTGTTTTGAAACAGCCCTCCAAGAACCCTTAAAATATTTAAGTAACCCCGAGCTAATATATGTCTCATAATACCTTTGAGGGTTAATAGTTTGAATGTTAAATCAAGGAGAAAATATTCAAATATTTATATTTCAAAAGGACAAGAGTGTTAAAATTTCTTGCATAAACAATAAGCCTGCTCTGCTCAGTCTCCCCCTTCACTGCCACAGAACAGGATCTGTAACTGAGAGACAATCTGGAGCAGGGTGGAAATTGTTGAGCAAGCTTGTCACCATCTGCGGGATAATCCAAAACCACTGAGTGTCTGGCACTGAAGAATTATAGTGTCTTTTTTATTAAATAATGAGAGCAGCTTTCAATTATCAGTGGTTATGGCTAAATTCATCCAGCTCGTGTCTGTTTTGACATGCCTGCAATGTAAATAGCTTCAATGTGAGGAAACTTCAACAAAAGCAAATTATACTAAATTAAATCAGGGGGAATTAGGTGACAATTTAAAGCTTTCCAAGGCTCCCTCTAGTGGTTTCACTGATAACTGCAGGGCAGCATTCAGAGAACATCTGTGTATCCGTGTGTCGGTAAAATAGAGTGGATTAAATGCCTCCCATGTGTCCGTGACTGCAGTGATGTGATCCGTCTCAGCTGTGTTGGTGACGGTGTGTTTGAGTGACAGACCAGTACAGCAGAGATGAAGGGCTCCATGCAGTCTACCTCTCTCCCTCTTTTTGGCTGTGCAGAGTTGTAATTGAGGGCTGCTGGAAGTTGGCCATGAGCACACAAGATTTCAGGGCTAATTTCAGTCAGCCGTTATCTGGATCCTGCAACGCTGCAGATGCTAACCTCACTGTCATTAATGGGTTTTAGGTCAACTCATATAGTGTGGAGAACCGAAATTTTTAAACACAACTTTTGAAGTATGTCGAGTAAATCTATACTTTAAACATTTATTCTCCAAACTCTGGAGAAGGATGTGTGTTTTTCCTCCACTTCCTTTCACTTTCATGGAGATCATAATAACTTCCACTGACAGAGCTAAAAAGGACAGCAGTTCAAATCCACCATCACATACCATACTTTGAGTTTCTTTGTGAGAGCTGTTCTCAGCCAAAATATAAGCACATCCATGAAAATCTTGACAGCTCTTGAACTTTAAAGCTTCGGATTTGATTTACTTTACTGCAACACTGGGGGATGCACTTTTAAAAAGCTTTCTCCAAAGCACAAAGGATGGCTTTTCAAGGCCAGAATCTTTGTCCAAATGCCACAACTCAAATAATGCTCTCTCTGGTTGAGCTACAGTGGAGGACCTCTGCAGAGCAGTGCAACTTGATGGATAAAGCAGACAGAGCCGGGCAGGCTAATTGCACAATACCAGGTTAAGAAGAACATATGGTTTAAAAATATTCTGTCTGCTGCAGTCAAAGAAAAATTTCTGAACCTTAAAGCTTAGAAGTTATATAACAGAGACAGGATCCTGCCTGCTCGGGCTTCAATCACAGAGATGCATGTCTGAAAGTCAGTGGCCAGTTAGCAGCCGGGATATAAAAGGTAACAGCCAAGGGCTTGAGGGAGAGCAAGAAAAACAAACCAGCCAAACAGTTAAAAATAGCAGCTGATGGTTAAACCTGTTGAATTAAGTGAGCTTATAAACCACTGTGGCATAGTTTACGCTGCATCATTGTGTCGCATCATGACTAAGGTTAACTTATGTAACTTAAGAAGGATATAAATCCATGCACAAGGAGAAAAGTCACTCAGATATTCTCTCTGTTATATTTCCAGAAAGCGGCACACATGTGTAGACACTTTACATCTCACTGAAAGCTGTAACTATAATCTTGACCTACTTTCTTTTGAAATTCTCTGAACCTAGTCAACCGACAAAATCCAAGGTTTCTAGGATTTACATGCAGAATGAAACCTCTGTTTGAATTCTGGGTTCTTTGCTAGCATGACTGGAATCAGCATCAAATCCCTGGCAGAGACATCAGGGCTGTCAGGGCTGCTTTTCTACCTCTGCACAGTCAGGTCTACATCATGTTTTAGGGAAATGTGTCCCGTGTTCATCTTTCAATATAGCTGGGAAAAAAACAAAAAGAAACACTTGCTTATTTATTTTCACATTTCAACTTTCTGTGAGGTATAATTTGTTTTTCTTGCGCTGCGGGATCAAGACCGGCAGCCAGGCCATCGGTTTGGCCGGAGCAGCAGTTAACAATACATCTGCATAAACACTGCTGTCTCTCCCCGTGAGCCAATGCCTACGTTAGAGAGATGACTGCCAAACCTCTCATGAAGCATAAATATGATGTTGTTGAACATCAAAACCAACGCTTTGGATACGCCGCAGATCAATCTGACAAAAACATACAAGGTTATTTAAGGATATTGAATAATTATCCTATAACTAAGAGGAGCTAATATTTCAAACTATAGTCATAACTCATACTTAAGTCAATCAAACTGGATCCTCTTGATCAAACTAGAGTATCTACTTTCAGGAGGAAACCAAAATGCTGATCAGAATATAGCTCAGTTAATCCAAAACATGATCCTAAATACACTGCCTCGCTTTAATTTACTGAACCATTCCTACCACCAACAAACCACGGGACATATCTGTAGCGACCGGCTCATAAAATTAGCTTCTTATTCCATGCCGTGATTCTAGTTAACTCAAAGAAAACTTCTGCGGTTTCGCTAACATGCCACACTGCCTGAGGCTCAACAGAGCTGTAATGGAAACCACAGAAGGAGCTGCAGATTGACTGGACATGAGGATGACAGGCTCAGCACAAAGCAAACTAAAAGCTCTTAGTGTTTGCCAGCCTCACATAAATCCACGTTTCTGTGCCCTGCATTAGTCTCCAAAATATCAATACCTTGTTGGCACGTTGAGAGCTCTGAGATGAATGCATACCTGGCCCCGACAAACACATCATTGACTTCTTGTTCACAGTAAAGTTAAGGTCACCGAGGGTCCACCTCGAGAAGAATCATCTCTTTCCCACAGCAAGAGCAGCATGGGTTTGTTCAGCTGTTTGTGTAAGATGTTCCAGATATAAAAACACACACCTTCTGCTTTGAAGATGACACCATCTGATACACTAGAGGTTGCATCATTGAAAACACATGTGCGCCAAGTTACAGTAGCAGGGTAGAGGCGGGCTTTTGGACCACATTTCTGCAGCTAGAGTCAAAGTTCAGCTCACAACAACATATGTTTCCACACAAGACTCCAGGGTTATGGAGGTTTGAGGTTATTCTAGGGTGGCAGCGAGGTTAGTCAACACGCCAGAATGATCTTTATTAGGAGACACATGCAATATGAAAAGTCCAAAACAAATGCAAGGACTGAAACGAGCCGTCGACTGATTCAGCTATTTGTCCGTATCAAGATTTATATCAGTTTGTTGTCACTCAACACGCCTGATTGGCTGACCTCACATGACACTGGTTAAGTGTTCACTCCAGTGTACGATGTTGAAAGTTTCATTCACCAAAAGCATTTTAGCGTGGGTTTTGAGATATTCCAAATTCTGAATTTTGACAGAAAGATTTTCATCTTTATTGTTATTTCAAATTTGGTTCCACATATCAGTTATTGGCCTCATGAACTACGAAAACTCAACCCTAAAAAAATAAAACATGTCAATCCCTGAAATTCAAAACAGAGCGAGAACATTACAAATCCAGACATGACTCCTGGCGTCTTGGTGCCGCTTGGTTAACCTGTCATATTTCCCAAGGTTAGCCACTCCATGCATGGATGTAGATCTTCATGTTTGGGTGTCTATTGTTCAGTCTATCATAAATAAGGAAATGAGCTCCAGCTTTGACTTGTTTTTCTGATGACAACACTAAGCAGATGAGAAAAAAACCACTAACAAATGAAGGCAGGAGAATGAGGCTGCAGCAAACTTCCCCGGTGGTGTTGGCGTGGTCATCCTGGGAGTTGTATATTTTGTGTTATTCATTCCTTTTTAGGAGTCTGGAAAGCTAGTTTCATCAACAGCACATGCAAGCTGCAAAGACAAGACTGGCGAAATGATTACTTCATGCGCTGTTGAGGCTTTATGACACAATCCTGGGAATGTTGTAAAAGCTGTGGAGGTCCAATTCTTGTGGTTTTATCCAACAGAACTGCATTTTTGTTGTGTTTTGTTTTTGTCTCTTGAAGTTTGATATTTTAAATCATGCCAGTCTTGATAGGACAATAATATACCTCACAGTAGGGCTGGGCGACATGGGAAAAAGTTTATCATGATATTTCACGACAGCCTGCTACTTCACAGTTGTTTGCTACTTGGCTCTAATTCAGCGCATGATTGGTTTAGCGCGGCGCGACCCGAAGCAACTTCCCTTTTCATAAGCTATTTGTATAGTCTACCAAAACATGGCAGAAAGCTGGTGATCGAAAAGCATATTGATCATGTTTTATATTGATATCAATTTAAATTTTCGATATATATCGTTATCGTTTTATGGCCCAGCCATACCTCACAGGTAGGGCTGGGCGATTTGGGAAAAAGTTTATCATAATATAATTTTTTAGAATTAGAATTTAGAATTAGTCAATATCGATATATATCACGATATAAGAAATGAAATTTAACAGTACTTATTGGTATTTTCACCTTCACATCCTGGATTTGTTGTGTGTAAATGTCAGAAGTGAGTTTGATGATGTTTCATTGTCCAAGTTGGATGCTATAATGTGTTAATGTATTGTTTACCGTACATATGGCTAATGCTATCTCTTGCTACTCGACGTTGAGCTAATAAACTAATTATTACAGTGGCTGACGTGACCCTTGTGTGAGATCATTTGTTTACAATATATGAGTCATATATCATGTGACTGATTGCTGAATACGGTCCTTTATATTCAGATTTAGATTATATGTGTGTGTGTGTTATGTATGGTGTGAGCTGTACTGATTGTTGGACATCTGTATCCGAGTCTTTTAATGGGGACACACACCATACACCTTGCCGCTCTAAACTCAGCTAAATCACTGAGAACACACTTTTCTCCTTCTTAATGCAGACTATCACAAAGGCATATTGACCATGTTTTATATCAATATTGAGTGAAATTCATTTTCAATATGTATCCTTATCATTTTATCGCCCAGCCCTACCTCACAGGCATTGATGGGAATCATCAGACAGGTACTATAATCCAAGTCTGGCTGGATGGTGGATAAATGAATCCTTGACAACTCAACTTTAACAAAGGCTAAGTAGTAGGATACTCCCATGGTCCAGTCAATTAGCCTCATTTAAGCTGTAGGCTGGTTGCAGTAAGCTTTAAGTAGGCTATTCAGACAGAGGCTGGCATCAACAATGAAACTGCACATGTGGTAACTCAACAACTGCAGAAGTGGCACACACACATTAAAGTTCTCTGCTCCTGCCTGACTGAAAAACTGATGACTGGTGGTGAGAAAAAAGAAAGGAGGAGCCTGAGCTTCTTACTCAAACTGAAGAGAAAAAAAACACCCAGCATAGTTACTGAGCCGCACCATGGCAACCATCACACTCCCAGCTAAAGTGCGCGGTGATGGAACCCAGCGGAGACTTAATTAATTTATTAATTGAGGGAAAGAAACACCCATTCACGGTCAATGAACACAAGTCCACACACAATAACTCCGCCGACATGTGGGTAATCATCTGGTATGTGTTCAACCGGAGTGAGAGGGTTAGGCACAAAAGCGCAGCGGCAGCAGCAGCAGCGCGCAGGACAATCAAATAACTCCGAAGAATGAGCAATTTGAAAGGAATGTCTCCGAGGAGTTACAAGAAAAAAGTGCGAGTTGACATGCTGTTAAAATATCTGTCTGCTTCTTCAAGGATACTGAGCGTGGTCTGCTTACAACAAGATCACTGCAGTCTCAGGAGTAAAGCCGAAACTCTCGATAAACCTCCGCTATCAGGAGCAGCTCTGCACAAATACCCTCAAATATCTATCTATCTATACTAAATCAAGAGCTAGAATTAAGCCTGTAACTTTAAAACTGTGCAGCCTTCAATAGGGCTGGAAACTGGTCTGCTCCATGAAGCCAAAGTCTTAGGTCATGTATGAGTTTTGCAGATCCTCCCATTACTAAGTATCTGAGCTAAGAATCAGTGAGTGAGCTCTAAAGAGAGTTCAAAAGTGTCTGAAACTGCAGTGATGGAGAAGTTTACTCATCTAGTCCCATTTTCAGGTCTCAGAGTTACTCACATTCATCTGTTGCTCTGCTGTGATTGAAGAGAAGCCGAGATTCCAGGTATCCAGTTTCCTCTCAGAATTCCCTCATCAGGTTCAAAGTGAAAGTTAAATCCATGTCAGGACTTGAGGAACATCTGTCCTTTTTCCAAAAAGAGTGTAGAGATCCCTCACGCTGTTTCTTAGCTGAACCCCTCTCCAGTTTTCTTGAAGATCTCTCCAGAGAAAAAGATTTGAAATAAGGTTAAAAACTTGGGAAACTTTCCTGTCCTCCTCCTCCAGTAGACGATAACTTGTCGGCATCCACTGTGTGTGTGAGAGTATGTTAGTGTGTGTGTCTCTGCTGCAGCACGCTGACTGGAACCAAACAGTACGGGGCCGAGCTGTGGACGTCCCTCTCCAAATCTAATTTATGCAACACGTGACTGAGAGCTGCCTCCTTCTCCTCCTCCTCATCTCCACCTCCTTCTCTTAAGTGCTGCTGCTTCTGCTGCTGCTGCCACAAGGAGACACACCGACTGCACAGAGGAGAGCCAGGTTATTGCTGAACTATGGTGCCACCATCCTCTGCAAGAGGGAAGTGAAAATCAGCCACTGTTTGATCTGCTCCACGTGATTTATCGCAGAGCTGCTGCACGGGGTTTAATTAACCTGATAGAAAATTAAAAAAGTTTGAGAAGTCAGGGAAAGTTTACAGAGGTGTGCTGGCAGCAGATTATGCAACAGGCAACACAAATCTCCTCTCACAGACTGGTTAGAGTAAAAAAGTCAAAGGTGGATATCTGGTAGGAACAACTTGTGCATGAGTCATTATCTTCAAAAATGATCTTATGAGCTTCAGATATCATCTAATCTGACATAATATAATTACTGTAGTATCTTGAGAACAGAATAAAGTTATCTTGAGTGCACAGGATGATATGAAAGAGGATTAGGGCCAAAAGAAGAGGGACAAAATACAGGAAGGAGATTTTCTTACAATTCGAGATTAAAGTTGGATTTCAAAATTGAAGTCGAAATTAAAAAAATCGAAATTGAAAAATCGAAACTTGGAGATTAAAGTCGAATTTTGAAGATTAAAGTCGAAATTTAAAAAAAAAATTGAAATGACAAAATCGAAACTTCAAGAATAAAGTCAAAATTTCGAGATAAAAAAATGAAATTACATGACTAAAGTCAAAATTTTGAGATTAAAAAAGTCGCAATAAAATAATTAGGGGAGACCGGGGCTTGTTGTCACATGGGTAAGTCGTCACATTGCAATTATCTTTGCCACCAGAGGGCCCAACTAAAAAGTGGAATACTAGTTTTCTTCCTTAGCAAATCCTCGCAGTGATACATGTGGACTTGTTAGAGGAGAGATTAAGGCATCCTGTCATACCTCAGTCATTGTTCTGTTTTAAACTAACTTTAAACTAGAGCTACAATTAGCAAACATGGTAGTTTGGGGCAACATGTCTCAGTCATTTTGGGGTTAGTTGTCACATGTTTAAAAAGGGATTAAAATGAACAAAGACAGTCTGATTATCAGACTGGCGAGTGGTCTCGAGAGGAGAACACGAGAAGACATGGTCAATAATTACAAAAGATAAACTGCGTTTGTCAGTGAAGTTCCTGACGTGATGCTGAGGGCAGTCAGGCAGGTGACCCTCGCTAATAAATCAATCTGGAGGACAACAAAGGACTTTAATGTCAACTACCATATCTTGACTCGATACTGCAAAGCATTCACCCCATCCGAAACACAGAGTCAGACAGCGCTCTAAACTCCAGAGCATGTTTCATAATATTTTACGTTAACATTTGTTCGACTTTTTTTAGCTCAATGATAAATATTTTCTGTGCTTGACTTTGATTTTCACCTTCATGTACAAAAATAAGAACAACAATAATTTTGTCCTTGGTGGGGCAACAAGTCACATGTTCACACTCTCTATTTTATTACTTATAACTCTGCACTGACACAAGATATAAAAATGACATGAATACCATATATATCCTGAGACTTTGGTCTTTTGTTTGGTACACATTTTGTTTATATATGATGTATTGATTTCAAGAAATATATAAGAGTGTAAAAAGTGTGACAACAAGCCCCGGTCTCCCCTAATTTCTACATAAACTTGTGAGAAAAGTTATCCGGTCATCTTGTTTAAGTATTTTCAGTTATGTTGTGGGAGTTAGTTATACTGTGCAATGATGACAAGTTACCATCTTGTGCATACAATAAATCATTTTAAATGCAAGTGGTATTTTATTTGTTCCCGAGGTAAAGATAGTTATATTGTCTGAACAAAATAGTACCTTGTGGGCAAAATATGAAAAAGTCAACCTTCTGGGACTGTGATGGCTTCATCCTCTCCAAACTTAAAAGCTTTATTTTCTCATATTTTCTGTCTCTCAGGTGTAGTGAGCGTCTCCTCGATCTGTGCAGCACTTCACAACACAACCACAGCATCATAGGGAGACCCGGCTCTCATACACAGACAGTTTTCCCTCAGATGTTTGAAGTCAAAAGACCTCCTGCGGGTGTTTTTCATCCGAGTCTAGAGAAGAATCAATGCCCCTAACTTTTCCTCTCATCTTGTGACTCCTTTAAGGAGCGCAGTCTACCTCTCTCTCTCCTGTCTGCTCCCCGGAGGAGTGATGCTTTAATCTTCAACAGCGCCGGAGCCCTAACCCTGTTTCACTCATCTGTCACTCACTGAAAGTTATTAAACTCTTGTCACTTTGCATTTAGAGCCTCTAAACATGACAACAACAGGAGGTCCCACTGTGTCAACAATCTTATCAGACGATTAGAGATCATTTAGCTAATGTTAACAGTTTCAAAGGTGTGTTTTTTATTTTATTATTAATAAAACACAGTTCACTTCTATTGGTACAACAGGATTAAGTGATATGAACCACAGAGTAGGCAGTGACTGGTGTTAAAATGCCGTCACTGTCACTCTGTTTGTGCTGATTAAGAGTAATAAAAGTTTTAGTGAAAAAAAAAAAAGTTTGGATGGTGTCAGTCCTGCTGTAGCTCAACATTTTTGTGAGCTGAACCTTTTTTTTCACCTCCAAGCAACCCAGTTCTGTCTCTAGACTTTGTGAACTCCTGTATCACCGAGTGGAATGAGTTCCAGCTCTGCCAGCAACTCATTATCAGTGTGACAGCAGAGGAAGAGGAGGGGAGCTCACACAGACAAGGACACACACGCGCACACACACACTCACACACACACACACGCTCCTCAATTTTTCCTAGGTGAGAATAGCCCACAGCTTTACTTCTCAGAGAAACATCATGTCACCTGTACTATCCGTCCCTTATATGCTTCACTGTCAGTCATTCTGATGAAACAGGCTGACAACACCGACTAAATAACTTGTCCTCCAATATGTTATATATGCACTAAATATCTGATTTAGTCTGCAGTGACAGTGTAGCCAAAGATGGGGTCCAATAAGTATCAGAAAATTGCGTTGTGTTGAGCTTAAAACCCAACAAAGAGATAATCTCTTTCATATCATCAACACAACTCATTACTTACACAAACAGTCATTATCCTCCGCTCCTGTGTACGAGGAGCAGAGAAAATATTAAATGTGTCGTCCAATCAAGGGTCATTTAATTGCAAATACACTCTGTATTTTAAATCAGTGCAACAACGCCTGAAATCTGCAGTAAACAGAGGCCGCTGACAGGAAAATGGATGGTCAAATATCCTGCTGTCAGCATCCTAATAAGACAAAGTGTCCTGGACAGAGCCATCAGTTTAAGATGAGAAAAAATGACTTAATGTAAAAATTTCCAGGTGATGCATGTGCTTGTCAGAGGAGCATGTCATTTTTCAAAGTTTATGTGGGGCTTTTACGCCGTTATTCAGAGGGGATAGGGTGGAGGATTGAGAGGGGAAGTGAGAAAGAGAGACACGGGGTGGAATCAAACCCTGCAGCCTGCACACGATGGGGTGATGATACCGCTCATTTAAAGACAGAGCATGTAGAAATATAAATAATTGGCAATATCTCGCAGTCGGGTTCTATAATGATGTGCTCTGATTGTTTGTGCGCAGGGCACTATAGTGAAATGGAAATGTTACCCAGCAAACCAGTCACAGGGTTTACAGTCTGCATTGCTTAAACATGTATTACATTTATTTAAGGAGGTGCACGACATGCTGCGTGCACAGATCTCTGTGAAAGTACAGGGCTGTGTAAACCTATAGCATATGTTATTGTGGTGTAGATTTGAAGCAGAAGTATAAAACAAAACCATAGACTGTATATAGAATGGACGCCGTCTGCCTCCTCGCTGGGTGAGGCCACTCTGAGAACAGCACCCTCTGGTGACGGGCTGCAGTATAGGTCATAAATCCCGCCTCCGCCAGCAAAGCTTATGGAGCTGTGAACAAACTTTAGGAATTATTTTGGTGCGATTATTTCGGACATGAATATATATTTTTTTAACCCGTATCCTGTCAGTACAAGTGTTCACATCAGCGATGTTTTCCCGTCCTGCGATATTGCGGCATTTATTTCTTTCGAATCACTGTCAATTTTTTTAAAGTTTTGCATATTCTGTGTCCACTTCTGACCAATCAGATTGCGTGTTGTTGTGACGTCAGATTCACCGGTATATCCAACATGGCTGACTGGCTGATTGTTTACGTGTCGGAGAACAGAGTGATTTTTGATAAAAGACAAAAACATTACAAAGATAATGACCTGAAGGACAACTTGAGGAGAGTCATAGGCTGTGTCTCAGTTCAGAGACCGCATCGGGATAAGCGCGCTTAAGCGCACTTAGCTGAGCGCACTGCCGTTTTGTGCAATTATGTGCCGTTATGCGCTGTTATGTACCCTTCCTGTGTCCCATTTCAGATACTGCAACCGTCGAACGGCGCATTTGATGCGTGCGTCGAAAAATCGCATTGGGCTTGATGTGTATGGTCATGCGTGTCAAAATCGGCCTCCGAATATTTCGTAATTTCGCGTTCTATATTCGCATCGGCCCCGGTGTGTAAGGACCTTAAGACTGGTTTGTGCTCAAGTCTTCTTTTTTCTGTACAGCTCCGTTTTTAAAAGTTGTTATGGGTTCATGTTTTCTATGATTGACACTTGATGCTGCCTATGGGTGTACGAAGATTGCCTAGCTCACCCAGGGGATACACTGTTTGAGCAGAGTGTCATCATAGCGACTCTCGGCGACTCTCCGGCTGAATGCGCACAATGCTACTGCACGAGTAGTTAAATGCGTAAAACGCGACTGTGCAATGTTGGTTTCAGGAAATGAAGAAAGATCGTGGAAACAACGAGAGCTTTTCAGCTTCAAATCTGTATACTTGCAGAAGGCAGAACCAAGTTGTCCATAGTATATACCGTCTATGAACAAAACAAGCTTTAACTCAACTCAACTCAACTCAACTTTATTTGTAGAGTACTTTAAAACAACCACAGCTGTACAAAGTGCTGTACATAACAGGACAAAAACAAGATAAAAAACAATCAAGAAACAATTAAAACAATGGATAAAATAAAAGCAGAATTAATAAGAAAATATAGCTTCAATGTTTTTAAAAACTCATTTAAAAACATAGAACAT